GCTCTTTATACAAGATGATTGATAAAGAAAGCGAACAAATGTAAAAAATTTTCGAGGTTTTTTTGTGGGAATGAAAAATTTCAAGAGATGCATGTGGGCGAAATGTTGGTTATAAAATGGTAGCTTTTCTTTCTTCTGTCGTTTATTACTTTGGAGATTTGCTAAAATCAGCAAATATGGCTTTTGCACGGCACCAGAAGTTCATTAGTCCATGATTTGATTTTTCTTGCCATTATCGTACAGTTTACAATAAGGAAACTGTAACAGGAGAGGAGATTTTAAAGTCACATATCGCGTGCTTGTTAACGTACAAGTTCCCGTGTGTAACAACTTCGGCTTCCTCCCAGACCGTGGATGGCGGGAAACTCTGCCTCCTCATTTGAAAAGAAATATCAGTAGCCCCACGAAATTCATTAAATGCGCTATGTTTCCAGAAAATAAGACTGGAAAATGTTGTTTCCACCATCCACCATCAAGAAATTCCACGCAAAAATATTATTTGTAGCGTGACTTTGTGACCTTTCTTGAGAAGTAAAAATGTTCCACCTTTTTTTTCAAGGTAAAACTTCTAGAAAGTTCTTAAGCCTTCTTTTAATTTATTTTCCTGTTTTTTGACTTCGAATATGGTCATGCCATGGCCTTTCCTGCGTGCACGTTCGAGCCAGTTGGTACGAGTTTCATTGCGTGGTGTGTAGGTGTGGCTCAAAAGATATCTGCAAAAGTTCAAGCAACACGGGTTCCTATGTTGTCTCCTTTTTCTTTATCTGTATTTGTATCCTCTTTCTTGCATTATCATATATGTATGTTTTTTTTATTCCCTCTGTGCGTTCCCTCAGATTTGAAAATAGGCTATGAAAAGTCAATATTGACCAGAACTGAAACCCTCTCTCTCACTACTTGTTTCAAAGAACCCTTGCTATTTATAACTTTATTTCTGAAGAGAAATTGTTTTTATTTGCTATTTATTTGCTATTAGAACATGAAACTAGGGCCCGATGCGATTTTTATATCGTGACTCCCAAAAGCTGTGTTCGCGACAACATAAACTGAGAAATCAAAAGCAATTACGCTCGAGAAATTCGAGAAATAAACCCGTCTTTGAATTATGAAAATCTATATTTCTTTGTTGTGAAAAAGAATCATTTTAAACTGGCTTATATAGTAGTATATTTCCACTTAATCTGTTTGTCCAAAGAGCTTGTGACCAGGCATTAGAGTTTTAAGACATAAATTACGTCCAAACGGAAACAGTTAATGGCACAAAGTAACAAAATAACGGATATAAGGTGGCACTTTGCCAGATTCATGCTTCGTTTATGTAAATATATTTTTTTAAATTAAGTTTCTAGATTTCCACTTTGATACAGCTCATACCGAGAACGAATTTTTGATTTAATCAATGTTTTAACCGGCGTTTTAACCGGCGTTTTCTCTTTTCTCCCGCTTCACCATGGAGACAGAGAAAGACAACAAACTCGCCTTCCTAGACATCGCAGTTTTAAGAGAACCTGACGGCCGCCTCACCATCAGCGTATACAGGAAGCCCACGCACACCGATCAATACTTAGCGTATGATTCACACCACCCTCAATCAGTAAAACGCGGTATTGCTAAGTGCCTCTACGAGCGCGCCAAACGCCTCGTAACCAAACCCTCCGTTATCTCCGAGGAGAAAAAACATCTGTCATCTGTTCTGGTTTCTAATGGTTATCCTTTTTCTTTCTTGCAGAAACTCACCAAGACCAGAAAACCAAACAACAGTGCCGAACCCGCCAACGAGTTCAAAGCCACTGCGGTTTTACTTTATGTTAAAGGTCTATCCGAACAGCTTCGCCATTGCCTACAACAACAAGGCGTACGCGCTGTTTTCAAGTCGGAGACTACGCTAAGATCTTAGTTAGTACGACCAAAAGACGCTGTCGACCCGGCTAAACAAGATGGTGTAGTTTACAGGATTCCCTGTGAATGCGTCAAGGTGTACATCGGAGAGACTGAAAGACCTGTGCCAGACAGAATTAAGAAACACGATCGAGACATTCGACTCGCCCGTACCGAGACCTCCGCCGTTTCAGAACATGCCCACAACACCGGACACAAGCCACTCTGGAACGAAGTAAAGTTTATTGATCGTGACCCTTATTACTACACCCGCAGGGTCAAAGAGGCTATTCATATAAGACTTCACCCTAACAACATCAACAGGGATAGTGGGATAGAGATTCCAGAAGCGTGGATGCCCACGATCAAGAAACACAACAACAGGAGAGCCATGCGACAGAGGACCGCCGAGGGAGCAAATCACTGAGTGAACAGCAAGGATCGAAATGCACAAATCAGAGCTGTTGAAAAACAACCAATCACAGCAAAGCATCATGCTTTATAAGATCACGCATGACCAGTCGACCTCATCGCCTGAAGAAGACTAGCAGTATTCAGTCGAAACGTCGTGATCTACATCACACGTGACTACACCGTGAGACAAACGAAAAACTTAGCTTCTTATTGGTATCATTCAGTTGTCAATCATCAACTACAATCATCCAGGTGAGAGTAGTCCTGAAAAAGTTTGTTGTCGAAACTAGAGACTGGCCTGAGCAGAAGTCATCAGAGTCGACTGAACAATTTTTTGTAACTCGAACGTTGCAAATTTGGTTTGTAAAAGTGATTGGTCAGTTTTGCATTGAAGTGGCTGTCAGACTCAAATTGGGATTTTCGTCCGTTGATTCGTCAGTTTTGATCAGTCGGTAAGGTTAGTTCATTCTATTTGGTCCCTTGGTAACCGCGCCTGGTTTTTTTTTTTTTTTTTTTTTTTTTTTGTAAGTCGTTTGTAACTTGTCAAGTTTGGTTCCCTCTGTTGTAAGACGTCTTCACTTAGATAGCAAACCAGTTTTCTAAAATTCAGTCTTTGATGATAGTGTAAATCGATGGTGTTCAGCAACTTGATTTTTGACGTAAATAAGATACGAAAACTCATCAAAAGATTTCAATTTTGAATTCCATTTGGTCTTTGTACGGCCGAAGTTTTTTTTTTTGGAGTGCCACTTTATATCACCTTTGTGCGATATCAACTAGGATATAACTGTGATACTAACTGTTAAACAAACCCCCAAAAATGAGCGATCAGAGCTTCCGAATTTAATAATTTAAGTAACAGCCAGGATTCTATCAGTTTCCAATTGTTTCTGTCTTTAATTCGATGCAACCAGACTATCTGAGATAAATTACACCAAATTATGACTGGTAACTCAAATACTTGAAGTCAAATGACAGGGTCTGTATAACAATCCGTAACATAACAAACTATTCCAAAAATGGTGGCTAATTAAGAACTATCCACTTACCATGTAATCAGTTTTATCCTTTCCAAGACAATTGGTAAAAAAACGAACACTTCGTATAATAATTATTACTAAATAATTCGGAAGTTCTTATCTTTGCAGTATCCACTAAAAAGTTAGTAATTCCAATGTCTTCTCTTGACCAAAATCTTTGTTTCTCCATCCTTCCGACATGAAAGGGTCTGGGTACGAGACTAGTTTGACACTTCTAAGGGACTAGTCATTATTATTTATCGCCGGGGGGGGGGATGGAGGATTTTAAGGATTACATGGTTTTTAGGGAGAACGTTTGGGAATTATCCGTCGCTAACAGAGTTTAATTAAAGGCGGGACCATAGTAAATTGATTGCCAATTAACTGCTAACGAGGCGTGGGGGGGGGGGGAGGGAGGGAGGGGGGGGATGGAAGGTGAGATCCTCACAGGTAAGCCGATTTAAAATCAATTGTTGTCGGTAGTTAAATGAAAACTGTTTTGTTTCTTCTTTTTCGCTTGTTTCTCTGTTGACAGTCACGGTATCTGCTGAGACTTCAGTCAGTGCCTCCCAAATATTAATTAGGCATTATTATCAGCTGAACCACGAGTGAGTTAGAGGTTAGGGGCTTTTATGCTCCAGTGATTAACTTTCCTGTTAATATAATCCGTGTATAGAATATATGCTATTGATTTTAACGCTTTTAGTTTCTGTAACAGCGGGAGTGGTTGACGTTAAAGTAGTGAAAATGTTTGCCGCGAGGTATTTAGAAGATGAATCTGGTAAAGGAAACACAAAGGAGAGTGCATGAAGACAGCAGAGGGGGGCTGATGACCGCTTGGAGAAGGTCAGCGTACAGGGGAAGAAATCAAGTCAGGTGAAAGAAGAAGGGTGCGGCGAGGGTGGTGACACAAAATCTAGTGATGATGACCTTATACGCCCACTGGTGCGGTGAGATCAAATCGCAATGATGGTGATGATGACAACAGAAATCTTGGTTTATCTTTGGATTGTTGTTAAATTCAGCCAACTTAACAACTCAGGGGGATGTAACTTAAAGAGTTGAAGCCTTAAAATAATTAACGTAAGCCACAATGACTGGTATTTGTGCGCGCTTCGCTATCCCAAATAGCCTTATTCACTACTGGTTCGCCGACTTCTAACCCTCAACACCACAACACCACTTTGTATATTCTTCATGCTGTTCTCTACATATTTCCTAAGGTGCTGACGAGGAGAATTTGTTTAACAATCAAGAGGTTTTTCAGTTGATGATATTGCAGGGAGAAATTAGATACTAGTCATTCTTAGGGGTTAAAGGGTTAACAAATAGAAGAAAAGTACTCTCTTGATTTTCATCGGGTAGCCAAGGAAACAGATCCAACCTGAATCCTTAAAAATCCTCTCAAGCTTATAATTTTCACACTAGGATTTTAAGCTAAAAGTTGAACTATTTTGAATCCTGCCTCTGTCTCTCTCTCTCGGTCGCTTGCCCAAGCTACTGATCTGCGAGGGAAGGGCCTCTTCGATAAAATGGACCACAGTGGTTAAGTTCATTCTTTCTCATGTTGACAGCTTTTACAGTGAACAAGGTCTTCTTGACAAGTGCATCACAAAGTTGCTAGCGTCAATTCATGGGACTCAATTCATTGATTTCAGGACTGATCTAAACAACAAACAAATTCGCACGTCATAGAAAATTACCTTTGTTTATTCAATTCCTACAAAATGTTTAAAGCTTTACTTAACATTCACAAAAACATAGAATCCACTGTATCGAGAGAGTCTGGAAGCTGTACTCTCTGTAACAAATGGTTTCACATTGAAATGGGTCATGGCAAACGTGCAAATTGACAATATTAATCTCTACTTAAATAGTTTCTTGAAGATTCACATACAAACTCTACACTTTTTCAAGAAATATTATTGTCCCAAAAAGGTTTAACTTAGTTTGCTCTCACATTCTTAAAGAGCTATATTACGGGCGAAACGACCAGAGCGTTGTAATGCACTCAGTGAAAAGCTTTAATTGCCTTCGAGAAAATGGAAGTGTATTATAAAAAGCGCCCAGTACAAAAATGACGGTTTTTCTTATCTTAGTAAAATTACGAAAAATTAAGTTTACGAAATAGAACGACTGCGTGTTTGTGGTCGTTGTTAGCTTTTCATATAAACGAAGTTAAATGAAACAATATCATACCACATAATTAACTTTGACTCTCTTTAAGAGCATTAAATTAAATACTTTCCTTGCTTGATGAAGACAAAAAAAATTAATTTAAGACTACCTATTAATTTGCTCTGCCTATTCAAATTCGCTTCGTTTCAATCCAAAAACAAAAATGATTTGAAAAACAGTTTTTTCCTTTACTTTTTCGGACCTTTCTTTTCTTCTCCGTTCTTTAACTTTGTTGTTCCAGGGCTTCTCGTTGTACTTTTAGTCATCCCAGAACTTTTCGTCGTTCCTTCTTTGGCTTTGTGAAGACTCTCCCTGCTACCTCGCACATTTTCCCGACTTCCGGTTCTTGCCATTCCAGTCGACTTAGTAGCTGATTTAGACGCGGCCGAACCTGGACGATCCGGAGACCCGCGAGACGAGGTGCTGCTTGGGCTTGAGGGAATTCCCGAAGATACCCGAGGTGAAGTGCCCTCCGAAGAGTCCTCGAGCGATCCCGTACTACCAAGTGACGTCTGACTGTCAGATTTCCTAACCCTTGATACGCCACTAGGTCTCTTCGTCGAGGGGGACTTTTCAGCCGTCCCCTTTAAATTTGTTCCGCTTCTCTGTTTGGTGGGACCACTTGGTAGCCGAAGTTCTCCCGACTTTTCACGACGAGGCCGAAGTTCACCGGATTTCTCTCGACGGAGGCCGTAACCACTACTCGGAACGTCGAGCCTAGGTTTTCGACCGAGACCAGTGGGCGGTTTTTCCGTGACCACTGTCGATTTCTGTTCCGAGTGTCGTTTGCTTGTGAAGGCTCCCATGGTCTGTGTGACGCCTTCAGGTCTTGACAACTGTTCTCTAAGTTCTACATTTGTTCGTCCAGTAGCTAAAGGAAAAATATGACACAATGAGATCAACATGCAACATCTCCTTACTTGTTCAAAAACAGATTGTCCTGCCAGTACCATAGAAATTGTAGAGAAGAGTATGAAGAATACGGAAACTGATGTTAGGGTGTAAAGGGGTTAAAAAGTCTGTGGTCGGCAACAACTTGTTTAGTTGTGGTAGGTTATAGTTTCTTTGCCTCTAAGTACTTTCATTTACCTTTGCTGGGTTCGTTCTTTAGAAGGAATTCTTCCAGTGTTTCCCAGCCTCCTCCGACTCGTACCATGACAGTGCTGCGAAGGATACGAACCAAACGCATCTTCTGGGAGTCACCGAACTGTAAGAGATGGCAAAACAGACGGTTAAATATAAAGTAAGCAGTGGTGATTGGTGATCAGTTTTCGGTGTGCGGCAAGATCCGTGAGCAAGCATACAGAAAACTACTCACACCGCGGTCACAGGATAAGTATAAACACAATCCTGAGGAAAATTCTCCTTAACAAGTTGCTATGTTGCATCGTTTTACAAAGTTATAATTAAAGAATTTTACATATTTACTTCGTAATATCATGAAAATCTACAAAATTACATCGTACACCACTTCGCTGTTGTACTTTCTGATACGAAACGAGCAAACAACCAATCAGATTGCGCATAATAGTATCAAGCAAACTGTCCAATGCTGAGAGAGTAGTTTGGTGCGATGTGACGAAATAACCGAGGAAATAAATGGGCAAAGCGGTGAAGGAATTGTGAGCTTGGAAAGCTAAATATTAATTATTTAAGGGGGCTCTTACCCTGTACTTGTTCTCAGCCACTTTGACAAATGTCACGCCGCACTTGCGACATAGGCGTTCAATTTCAGACTGAATCTGTTGTTCTTCAGTCTTAGGCTTCTCTGGCTTCTTAGTCTGATGAAAGGAATAAGTGTCAGACCAATAATTATAATTACACACTCCTGGTGAATACTGGCCCCTTACTGCAACAACGTTTCCTAGTTTCAGTGGCACGAAGCGGAGAGCTAGTTTAATTTAAGGGAATCACCTAAAATCCGCTAGTTTTCACTGATAGTTTTCTGGTACCCTTCTATATTCCCCTGTGGAGGAAGAAAGTCTAGAGGTTAAGTGTCTTCTTCCGGAACACAACACAATAAACCAGCCGAAGGCTTGGGGCCAGAACTTTCTATCTAGAAAGCACGCCCGCTGACCACAAAGCCTGCGCCTCCTAACAAGATGTGACACAACTCCCCTTTTAAATGTCATGAGTTGAACTGGTAGGAAATGGTGCTTACTGGTTTTTTATCCTTAAGCGAGTTTACGAATTCTTTGTAGTCGATCAGTCCATCACGTTCAAATTTACTGGCGACTATTTCCATCTCCCATCTCTCTGTTGGGAAACCTGGAAAACAAAGACAGAAAGGGTGTTACTCCAAACATGTCATGTTTATATTAGACAGTATGTCACGCTTAGCTTAATAAGTATCTCAACAAGTTAAGGTGGAACAATATGTCACGCTTACTTGTGCTGAGCACTCCTGAGATAAACTGCTCTCTGGTAAGCTTGCCATCTCGGTCTTGATCCATGCGGCGGAAGATGTCAAGAACGCGTGACTTGCTGTCACGCAGCCATTTGTTAAACTGTGAACAAAAAAAAATTCATCAGATCAATAAAACGACAAGAAGTAACTGGAATAATACGTGTGCATATCTTGAAAAAGAAGATCTATCTTTACAGTAAATTGTTCATAATCTGTTTGATAAACTTACCCTACTCTTCCACTCGTTGAAGTCAAACTTCGCCGAGGCTCGTCTCTGAAAAAGGAAATAAATTGAATATTTGTTATAAAAAAAGAAAAAATAATCAATTTACTATTGAAAATTGTCCACCCACTTATTCAGAAAGATTGATAAAATGTCACAACAGCTAGATAAAAAGAAAAAAAAAGCGGGAAAAAAGCAGCGATTCATTGTGAACTTTGAGGAAAGGCATCGCTAAATAAGCTTTTTTTCGCGAGGAAACAAACTAAATCAAAACAGCGTGAATCACGCCTTTTTATTTTCCTGAGTGATGCGCGACTGAATCACAGTAACTTTACTTACGATGGCAATTCGTTCCAACTTCTCTTGAAGACGTCGCAGCCTCTCCATCGAAAGAAGCCACAAATGCTGCCATCGTTTGGACAAGTGCAGCAAAGCTGGATGATTCTTATCAAGTGTGGTGGAACCAGACCGAGTGAACGAAGAACCCGGGCTGGTGACCAGCGTCAACTTCTCGCGTGACCGTTCGCGAGTGAAGGACGGAGAAGGACTGGAGGTGAGTTTAGGTATTCTGCTTCCACGCCGACCTTGCTTGTCCGGAGTGGTCTGAGCTTGGACTGGGGCAGCAGAAACAGCGGTAGGCGCTACAGAACCACGTCGTTTTACCGACTTGGTGAGTCTGTCGTATGTTATCCGTTTCTTGGCCATTTCTTCTTGAAAACCTTTGTGGTCTTCCAACAGCGTCATGACTTGCTCGTAATCATCGTCAGGGATAGGCTCATTTTCCTTTTCGATCAGGATTTCTTCTTTCTCTCCAATCCACTGCAGCAGTTCCTCCATCATGCTTTGCTCCTCTGTCAGCTTAGATTGTTCTTCCTCCAGGCGAGTCAATCTTTGAACTGACCATTTGCGAACCTGGAAAAGAGCCAGCCAACTGTTTGTTATTCATCCAATTACAGTCAAATTACACCAGCAGGTTTTCTTTAACAAATATTCTTTAGAAAAAATTTCCCTTAGCAGTGAAGGTTAAACAATATGACGAAATTTCCCTTGACAAGTCACCTTGTTGAGAACCTCACTCGCCAGTTTTTGGAAAAGGAGGATTGTGAAGGAATAACTTTTCAAGGAAAAAATTTTCTGGTGTAGATGACTTAACTTGAAAAGGACACTTGTCACGAAGATTTCAGGAAAATTCTGCTCCACCTTAATTCTTTGCCACTCTAGACAAGGAAAAAGTTTTAAAGGAGGAAGCTCTAATGTGTCCACACTCACAGACAATATTACCGACGAACGTTTCATAGCGAATAGCTTTGTTTTACAGCTCGTATTCAAATGTACAGATTCACTAAGTCACCTCATCCCATCGTTTCTTTAATCTTGCAATCCATTGCTGGATGATTGGCAGTGCGCTTGGATGACAGAATCGTGCAATCACTTGGCCCTTCTTAATGGCTGATTGAACGTTCACTTCCTCTGCCATTAGATCTTCGTGGAAAACCTACCATGGACACGAATCCAATGAATTGTTAATGTGGCAAACTTAACGGACCTACACTAAATTTTTGTACAATTAAAGGCAAACTTCGCGATCGCACAAGGAGCTAAGGCAAATGTTAGAAAACCTTTGAAATTCGGAGATCGTCATGACTCGTAAAAAGAAGAGCCACTTCTCATAAATTGAAAGTTAGCCAGCGGTGTCCTATTACTTCACACGTACCTTGTGTTCATTCAGTTGATCAGCAATAGTTTCTAAGTCGTCGGCAATTGGACCCAGTCCCCTAAGCGTATCTTCGAAGTCTTTCAGTATGCGTAACTCTGTCTTGACGGCAGTGTCGAACTCCTTCGCCAAAACGAGCGCATTGTCGAGTCTACCAGATGAATTAAATGAAGAAATTAGGTATCTGTGAGTGGGTAGTGTGAACAGTATGCAATTTTGCCAGAAAGGTAAAATGTCAAAACATGCTTCCGTTTTAGTCAACTTAAAAAGCGTTACCTATCTTGTTTAGTGTTAGATAAGGCGCTGATGGCTTCCCAACGCATGCGCAAGTCATCGAGCCTCTCTTCCAGTTTGTGCGGGTCCTCCACTTTGTTCTCATTGATCATTGTTCTACCTGCATTCATTACCGAGTCGTAATTTGCTTGGCGGCGTCCGAGCTCGCGTTGGAAGGTCTGCAAGATTGGAACAAGTACACTGTTAGAATGTGAATATAAGAGATCCTCGCAGCTAAGAAAACTACTGAACTGGTAGTTGAAATAAGACCTGAAAAAAATTTTCAGGCTCGTACGGGATTTCAACCCATGACCTCTGCGATACCGGTGCAGCGTTTTTGTCTCGGTCAGTAGCATGCGTTCTTTGTGTACAAATCTGTCATGCTAAAATCCGCGAGTGAATGTCCTATGCTTAGGAAATTTTCTTAAAAGATTCTGATTCGGTTCAAGTATGCTCGAAATCCATGTTGCATCCCTAACCTTGTGATTGTCAATTAAGATCTGTACAGTTTCAGGGTCACCCATGACGGCAGTTTCAGTGGAAAGACTGGGCTCCACTGCACTGAGCCAGTCAAGCAGCGACTGCAGGGCATCCTGGAACATACCAGTGAAGAGGAGAGCCTCCTCTAGTTTTTGTTGTCTGAAAAAGGAGTGAAGCAAACATAAGTCATCATATAAAAAGAAACCGTAGAGCTAATTGTTTTACTATTAAGCGTTAGACCTCCATGATACTAAGTGTTACATGCAACTAACCTTTCTACTGATAGCGCGCAGATGGCGTCCCATCGTGCCTTGAGGTCAGCTATCTTTCCTTCGATAATAATGGCGTCATCTCATCATCATCAGCACTTTACAATGATTCCATCCATTGATGTTTGGTTGGCACCGAGCATGGATTGGAACTCCTGAGAGATAAGTAACAACATTGTCAAAAAGCTGCTTCATTCTCTATCATCTGCGACCCGTGCAAGTTGTCGCTTTATCGATTTATATTCTTGTTCCCTTTCAGCTTTTTTTTACCACCTTCACCCTTAAATCCCTAGAAGTGATAAGCGTCCAACTTCTGCCGACACTTCTCACCCCTGAATCACACCTTAAGCTCATGTGAATAAAGGAGATGATCGCGAACTAAAGAAAGTATTGATTGTTATACACATTCTCCTTGTAAGGTCCACAGGAAAAGATTAGAGAACAGTATGGAGAATATGCATACTGATGTCAGGGTGTACAAGGTTAACAAATAACTATTCGACGTTTTATTCTGTTGAACGAAACTCTCTACGACGTGAAAAATGACCCAAAATAAGGTAATGCTGCTCTTTTAGCACAAAGGAGACAAAAAGGTGAAAAAAAAGACATTCACAAACCTTGTGTTTTTTAAGTTGGGACCTCAGGTGAGCGGGGTCCACCCCAATAGGTTCCTCATCTTTAAGGCTCCGCTCAGCTTCGTCCAGCAGGTTCAATAGTTCTTCAGCACCTTTGAAGAACTTGTGCGACAGCTTGTAATTTTCATCGAGATCTTTCTTTCTACCCGAAGACAGACCTGTCAGCTCTTTCCAGCGAGCGTCCAGGTCACGGATCGTATCGTCGATGTAAGTCACGTCCTCCTGGAGACACACATCTGTGATCTTGAATGCTAGTACCTTGAGTTGTTTGAACGGGTCACGGTGTGCGTCAATGTCCTCTTTGAGATCCTATAAGGGAAGAAGGACCATTTATCTCTTTGACCCTCGACCTAAATTCTCAAACTCAATACTTAGTTTTTCCATCAGAAAGAGGTAACTTTTTAAAATTTAGGAGGACATTTATTGGGAATTTTGTTCAGACATTATTCTTGAATTTAGTAAAACACTTGAACGACCTTCGTAAAAAAAAGAGCAAATAAAAATGAAGAAATTTTTTTCGAAGACCGTTTCTATCAACTGCAGTAAACTACTTAAAAACGTTTTCTTGGCAAAGAAATAAACAAAAGCTTAAAAAAAAAGGAAGAGTTTCATTTGAAGGCTGCGGCTCCATTAGGATGTCATGATACTTCAGCTAGCGCGTTTAATCATCTCTTAACCCTTTAGCTCCCACAAGTGATAAAAATGTCACCTCTCTATAATATCCATACATTATCCAGCAAAAAGGTAATATACTAAAACTAATCAGGTAGAAGTCATACAAAATTCTTGTAATTAATTTACAAGGAAATGTGTAACAGCTAGAGGGGAGAATTTACCATCTGATCTTGGGAGTTATAGGATTACAAATATCACTCAAGTAATGTGTCACCATTCCATTTCCCTTTCATACCTTGTATTCCTGTCGTTGCTTTTCCAAAATGTCTAAAATGCAGCTGACATTATCAAAGGACACTATTTGATCATGAACCTGCGTGAGCCAAGAGTCCATATCTGTGATTTGTTTCTCTAATTCCACTGCATTCTTGAGCGCGTCATCCAACTTACGGCCTTCCTCGTCAGCCTTTGTGCTCACTTGTTCCCAGGCTTCTGTCAATTCATCCGACTGCCTTTGAAGGGAGGCTGCTGTGGTAGGATCGCTGTTCTTTATCATGGCTTGGACGGCTTCAGTGATTCGTTGGTATGTTTCCTTACGTTTTTCAAGTACGTCTAGGAAGTCCTGTAGAAGTAAAGGGATCATTGACATCGTCAATAAAAAATATTGCCTGCGTGGTTCGAGTGCAAATCGTTCCCGGTTTGTTTATCTATTGCAGTACAACTTAAAATTTTTAGTTCAGTAGGAACTGGTTTATTCTTGCGCGAGTGATGTTTTCTCTACTCCAACAAAGTAGATTATCAAGGATTTTTAAACATATTCATATTATGTTTTCAAACCACCGCAATGAATCAAACTATCGTTCAAACCCGTAAGTAAGAATTTCAGGCATTTATTTCCCAAAACAAACCTTATGCTTGGTCAGTTGGTTACGTGCACTCTCAGGGCGCCCGCCAATTTGTCTCCTGGAGTCAAGGAAGTCACGTCCCTCATTCAGCCAAGTTCTCAGTTCCTTCATCTGGTCCATGACGTCATGAGACGCGCTTAGGGCAGCTGCGAGGTGGGCGTCTAAGCGGGCTGCTTTGTCTAACACCTCCTGCCAGCCGTCCTGTAGTTCCGTCATCTTCATCTGCAGGGAACCACTATCCAACTTGCTGTCTCCATTTTCCGTCAGCAGGGAAGAAGCCGCGCGCGTCACGGATTCCACAGATGGTTCGTGGGCCAAGATGTCATTGTAGAGAATCTGAAGACGAAAATCGCAGAAGTAAATATCTCTCTGAGTGTCCTAATAACTATAAGCAGTTAAGGTGAGAAAAGCCAGAACCGAGAGGGCTCAGAGGCGAGATAGCTTGCTTCCCATCACTGAGGACATGGGGCCGCCTCGTGCATGTGTCACAATTACTCTTTCTACTTTAAAAAACAAACAAACAACAACAACAGCAGCATTTGACGATTGATATTCGTCACTTGCTCAAAAGTAAAGATTCACACCTTGTGTTTGGCTTTTTCCACCTCAATAAACTTAACGTCTCCCTGAACATCCCTGGCCAGCTGCTCATCCAAAGTAGCATTGGTCTGTTTGACCCAAACCAGAAGCTCCTCTAAGGCCAGTTGGAACTGTCCTAGCTGTAACAGAGCACCTTCAATTGTCTGCTGCCTCTCACCGGAATGAAGACACAAGTCATCCCATCGAGTGTTCAAATCCTCCAGCTGTGCCGCTATTAGATCTGCGTCCTCCGGACGACACTGCTCACTAAGAATTGTACCCTTTTGGTTTACAGCTGTCACATCGCTTTGGAGTGGTGTAAGTTCCTTATGGAAGTCCTATAACAGAAGAAAGCTTTTTAGTTTTAGAGGCCACGAATACGGTAGTTTAACTTTTACAACAGAACCAAAAAATCCTCGGTATTAATTTTGCATTTGTGAAAAGCTTCTACATAAACTTGACTAGAAATTGGCAAATTTCAATTGCTCTAGGCTAAGTTGTGATGATGATAGAACATATCATTAGAGGACGTTTGTTAATTTAGCACAAAGAAGTTACCTTTTGCTCTTTAAGTTGTTCTTTGACGATATCCAACTCAGTTCCCACCGGCGGCTGCTCGGCCAGCCTTTGTTCTAGGTTAGTCAACTTAGCCAGCAAGGGGTCATGGGTATTGTGATACTGAGTAGCTGTTTCCTTGACTTCCGCCATGTCAGCTTCTCTCTTGTTCCAGGTCTTCTCGATGTCTGCCCACTGTTTGGTGACCTTGGAGAGTTCTGTTTGTACTAGCATCTTGTCGCCTGGACTACAGTGCGCTACAAGAACAGGACTGGTCTCACACAACACATTCACTGCTTCACTGTGTGCGTCCAGCTCTGTTCGAAGCTCCTAAATAAAAAAGACGAAACAACCAGAGATATTTAGAGGGGATGTCGCAAGAAGTTTATTACCGGTAGGTCCAAATATGCTATGCAGATCATGGGTAAGACTTCAAAGAAAAGAGTTCCCCATACCGTACAAAGATTACAGTCGGAGAAACCACGGAGAACACAAACTGGGACGTCACTGACTTGACATGGTTGATGGTTTGGTGTGACTGTGTTATTTGACGTCTCACGAAAAGAGACATGCTGGTGGTAAAAGTGAGATAGTTCAAAACAGTAGGAAGTAAGAGATTCCTACCTGATGATCGTGAATCTGCTCCTCCAGTACCTCTAGCTCAGCGGCCGGGGGTTCTTCGGAGTCCTGATGATCCTGCACGTCCTTGAGGATGTGCTTTATCTCATCTAAGCCCGTCCAAAATTTGTCCCCGGCATCGAGGGTCAGTTCTAGAGATTTGAGCCTGTCATCATACATGGTCTGCGTATCGGATGCAAGCGTGGAAACTTTGTTCATCTTGTCTTTCATGAGCAATGATGTTTTGGAATCTGGGTTGGCATTTACCACAGCAGTCGCTAGCGGTCTGATTTCTTCCACCATTTCCTTCTCTGGATCAAACTCACTTTGAAGTACCTGAACAATGAAAGATAGGAAAATTACACTTGGGTTGTGTATAACGACAGCCGATCAAAAACCGCTTTAATATTCCCGCAATAAACATTCTGCGCAATAAACAAACGCAACCTTTTGTGTCACATGTTTGAACACTGAGTTATGCCAAATTACCTTCAGCTCTTCAATCTGTTCACGAATTACATCTGGTCTCACACTGATCGGTTTCAGACTTCCAAAGTCTTCTTTTCTCTTTTCTAACAGTGTCTGTAACTCGTCCAATCTGGTCTGCACTTCTTCTTCTTGTGCTAGGGTCATTCCGATCTTAATTCCTCGCTCCTCTGTCTGTAGCTGAAGTCGTTCGTAGCGCTCAACACAAGCTGCCACCTTTTGTTCAATTGAAGTGGATGCCTCACCTGGGCCGCTCAACTTAACAAGGTCGCTTCCAGTCTCTTCCAAATTGCCGATTAAAACTTTAAGGGCAGTGATACCCTCTTGGATTGACTGCAAAAGAAACCAAAGAACTCGTTCTTTCAATGAAGGAGTGAAATTGAAAACAGGTAAGACGCGTTTAGGTAGTGGTTGACGCGCTGGTGTTGTGCCCCCACGCAGGGCACTTAACTGTCTCGGGGGCCTCTTCTCCCTCCAGGAGCATGAATAGATACCAGTGAAATGAAATGTCGCAGGATCGCGCTTCCCCGTGCAAGCTGCACCACAGGAACTTTCCAAACTCGTGATCGTGCCTTCTTAGAGTCTAAAGGTTTTAAAGACAACGGAAATATCTCAGTAAAGCAAAAGAAAATTACCTTGATTCTCTCCTGTTGAAGTTCCGCAACCGATTCATCGTCCAGCTTACGGAAGTTTTCCTCGCAGCGATCAAGCCAAGTGACCACTTCTTTGTGAATGTCTCTGAACTGCTGAGACAGCAACAGAGCCTCTACTAAAGCTGCCTGCCTAACTGACGTGTCATTCTTTACACCCTGGTAGCGAGTCTTGATACTTTCGAGATCGTCTTTGATGGCTTGCTGTTCCTCATCCTTAAGTGCTGGTATCAGCGCCTCGCCGTTCTCGCACACAGATTTAACGGGTTTCTCATGGGCTGCAACGTCTGCGTTGAGGGCCTAGAAACAGAAAACGAGAAACTTGTATAAAAGATCGCCAACCCTTTCAACTCCAGAGGCGATGAGTACGTACAATTTCCTTACTATTTCAGTGCACTGTCCCGCAGAGAGGTAATGAGAATAAGGAAAATCACCCTCTCAACACGCTTACTCGTTAGAGAACTCCTAGTTTTACAAATAAAACCAGCGCTATTGTAAGAACTTCCGTGTTCAATTTACAAGACACATCTTATATTTTACAATTAATTTCGCTGTTTTCTTTAGCTTAATTTTTTTCCTTCATCACTCTAAGTAAGCGCGAGGGGGTATTGGAGGATCAGACTGACATAGCCTCTTCCGCACAGCCACGCAACTTACCGCCTGTGTTCCCAACTGTTGTTTGACTTGCTCTGGCTCGACCCCCACAGGCTCCAAATTGGTCAGCTTTCCTTCTGTATCAGTGAGCCACGCCTTCAACTCGTTCACTTCAAGCTGGTAACTGTCTACACGAGCCTGAGATGAAAACAATTTCTTGGCCAGCTCGTCCACATCGGCTTGCAAAGAGCGCCACTTTTCGTCCACCTCGCTCTGTGCTTGATCTACTTTTGGTTTTTCTTCTTGGACGAGGTATTTCTTAAGGTCGTCTCCAAGTTCTTTACATGAAGAAAGATCTGGTTCCTTGGCCGACAAAGCCTTCTGGATTTCCTTTAACAAGATAAATAAGAATAATGAACCAATGTCTTCCTCTTTAGACTTTCGGCCAAATTTTGTTACTCGTGCTATGCTCACGAGGCTGGACCCCTTTTACGTTGGGAAGAGATTATAATGTAGCTCCTTCCCTGTATTTCGATACATTATTTAGCAAACAGATAAAGGGAAGAGACTTATGAGCCAGGAGTATTACATGGAATCCACTATCTTGTCACAAGATTTTGAAAAATTTTCAATTGAGTGTCGAGAGTAATCCAAGATAGTATTGGTTTTGCTGCACTTCTCTCTGGTCCAAAAAACTCGCGCCATTCTCACTCTTTCTTGTGATTGGCCGATCTGATCACTTTGGCTCTGGATTTACGACATTCAATCGAAAAGCGCTCTATTATCAAGGACATGTTTGCTGTAGGGGCGAAGTTCTAATAAAATCTTGCGAGTTGAAGGGTAACCAAGGCACAAACATCTGTCTTTAGCCTCTCACACAGTGACGAAATTGTCGCCGTTTTGTAGAGAATATCACGTTACTCAACAAGCTGTGCACTTCTTTCTAAGTCAGCCCTGTGGCAGTAATGGCAGTGCAAAGTTCATTGATACTAACCTGAAGTTTCTCCTGCTGAACATTTTCACTCTCTCCCTTTGCATCTTCCAGCTTTCTTGCTGTCTCATCACACCATGCCATCAACTGATCTTTAGCGTTAAAGAAATCTTCAGAAAGTTTGGCGGCGTCCTCAGCCTCTTTCCTCTTTTCATCTGCCTGGTTACGCAATGACTGGTAACGTTGTGACAACTTGTCTGTTTTGTCACGGACCAGGTTCTTATCGTCATCTGTGCAGTGTGAAATGAGTTCCTCGCCTGCTTGAGTGGCCTCTTGAACGGGGGACTCCAAGACGTCGATTTGTTCGCACAAGGCCTGATAAATAAATTAAAGAGCAGTATGTCAATACAAAAAAAATGAATCTTTATTAAGCTGCTACAAGCGAAGAGATGCATAAGTGCAACCCTCAGATACCTGACGAGCTAAAGAATGTGGTGGGCTGCGGGGAGGGGGTAGGGGGTAGGGGGTAGGGGGTAGGGGGCAAAAACAGATTCAAACCCTTTCAACATCAGAAAGCAGTCGATTAGGATTTCTCACCTGTAGTGTTTTGGCCTCCTCTAGGATGGATGCAGGTTCTACCTTCTGACCAAGTTGTTGAGCCTGTAGTTCCTCTTCAGCGGCGGTTATCTTCTTGTTGGCGTCATTAAGCAGGGCGTCAAAACTGACGGCCGCCTCCATGGCTGCGTCCAGTGCGTTCTTCCTGGTGTCTGTCATATTATTAAGCTCCTCCCACTGGCCTTTTACGTTTTCGAGTCCTTCCTCGATTCGTGCCTTAGTTTCTTCGTCGGCGCTTTTCAGAACCTCTTCCCCAGTCTCCTGTAAGGACTTTACGGCGGGCGCTCGATCGGCGATCATTCGGGTAAATAGCTGTGGTAAAGAACAAAGTTTGCTTACTTTGAACAATTTCACCTCCAAGGGAATAATAAGCAATTTCTTAATACTTATCTTTATGAAGAAGGAAAAAACATCCAGAGGGCAATATTAAAAGTTTGGCGGCGAATCAAAAATTACCTTCTGTTCTTGCATTTGAGCCTTCATGACATTCGGGTCGGCGGCTGCGATGGGGCCTTGATTCTCTATCAGTTCACGACTCTCTGCCAGCCAGTCTAGCAACGACTGCAAAGCATCCTGGAACTTTCCACAGGCCAGCAGTGCGCTTTCCAGCTTGCTCTGCCTGTTTCCAAGATCTTGATTTAACGCTACGAGTCGTTGGTTCAGATCACTTATGGCCGTATCGATATCACTTGTGTCTGCGTCCGGGTAGGCTACAGCCATCTTGGATTTCATGTCATTAATTGCCGCGAGTTGTTCCTGAATTCCATCAATTTCTTTTTGTAAATCCTGAATTAGAAAAATTCAATAATAAATATAAAAAATTTGGCGAAAGAGCTCCAAACAATTACGATACTACCTCATACACTTAATAACCCAAAAGGCTTCGTTGACAATCTTACTCAAACCTTCTCTTGGAAATTAACGTAAGGCACCACTGAGGTGCCTTTCAAAGAGAGGCAACGAGGCAGCACTTTCATTTAATACAGTTCGTTTGACCAGAAAAAGATGGATTAAATGGTAAGGTATATGGAGGCACCGTTAGTTTGGGTCTTTTTGAAGTGAAAACAATTGCTCTTAGACGCAACTTTCATGTCGCACGGTTTCCTGTTGTAGAGGATTCGCGTAACTTTAATGTATGTCCGAGTTGAGTGAAATCAACCGAACAGAAACTTCACGAGGTGCTGCTGATTTTGCAAAAATGTTTAAGCAATCTTAAGCGATCCCAGCCTATGAAAGCTTTATAACCACTATTTCATGTCAAAGTTTTGCTTGTCTTTTGGTCATTATATCATTGACATTTCCTTCTTTGAGAGTGGCAGAGGATCTGGTACCTAGAGCAAAACCCTTTAGCCCCTAGCAGTAAACAGCATCTACTTTTCCCTCAGCAATTATCCAAATATATTACGAGAAAAAAAGGAAATGATCAGCAAGTGAAAGATTTCTTGATCATTCACAAAATTTCCCCCAAGGATATCCTTCGAAATATGGGGAAAATAGCGTGGAGATTGAAGCTCAGACCTTTATGCCCTCCAGTTGTTGGTTAATCGTGTCAACATCTGCACCAACAGGTGGTAACTGTTTCACTTTCTCCTCTGATTCAGTCATGGCTTGGTCTGCTCTCTGTAAAGCTTCTTGTAGCTCTTCCACCTCTTGAAGAGCCTTCTCGATTTCCGCTTGTTGATCGGCTGCAGCGTCCTTAACGTCATTCCACTGTTTGTCGGTGTCAGACATTTGTTTTACTACCGCAGAATCTAATTTCAGGCCAGCAGTGATCAGATCCTGAGCTTGTTTGTTAACTGTGTCAACATCCGGCTTAAGATCTTCTACTCCTGCTTTCAACAGCTGGATAACAAACATCAAGAGAGTAGTTTTAAATGTGTATAGTAAGTAATCAGGAACTTCATTAGTTTAATTTTAAGTAACTCTTTGATTATTCCAGAAAACAGGTGTCACCCTCTCAACCAATCAGAAGCAAAACTTAAAGCAATCACGACAGTTCCGATCGAAATTAACATTTCCATCTAAAAATCAACACCACTGACTACAAAACCTTAAATAGTAACAATTCTTTCTCCAATTACTAAACGACCGAGGATTCCTCAGTAAATCCTCTTCACTCACAGTTTGTGATTTAAGCACTGGTCAATGTTTTAAGAGTTCATTTATTACAATGTAGTCTCTTAAAAAGCTTTCACGTTGCATTGGTCAGCAAGAAGAACACGCAGATAAGTGTCAATTTAAACGAGTGCCGTACCTTTGCCTTCTCCAACTGCTCTTTCAGTTTCTCAACATCCATCACCGCTGGTTTGTTTTCTCCCAATTTATCCCCAGTCTCCTTAACCTGTTCCACGACCTTATCCTGTTGTTCCCAGTACTCCTCTAAATCTTCTAGAATCTTCTTATTCTTTTCAATCGCAGAGGCTATCTTATCTTCAAGAGCGGCATAATGCTCTTGAAGGTTGTTGTTATCTGATTCAACAGCAGTAGTGTCAGCGCTTGGGTTACCCTCCTGAATACTGTTCCCAGCTTCTAAAGCGGACTGAACGTCCGGTTTCAACTCTTCAACCTGCTTCTTCAGCGACCCAAGATCTTGAATATGTTTCTTCATCTCTTCTACATCTGATACGGGAGCCCTTTCCAAGTTAAATTCACTTTCGACCCCAGATATTTTCTCATCAACACTGTCAACAGTGTCTCTGTACTCCTTCACCTGGCCTTGCAAGGTCTCAATATCTGCAAGTTTGTCCTTAAGGTTTTTGTTCAATTCGTCCCATCGCTTGTCCAGATTTTGAATGTCGTCTTCGACAGAACTGACTTCTTCTACGCAGACTTGAGTGATTCCCTCCGCTGTGTTGTCCAGGTCACGGTGCGGATCAGAATGGTTCGCCACATCTTGCTGGAGTTCCTGTTTAAAAAAAATGCAAATTATAAACTTGCACCAAAGGCATCATTACAACATAAAAATACAACCAAAAGATAATCACTAGCATCTGCAAACTTTGACGACTTTGATCACTTAAGTGCAATTCCAATCACTAGCAAGTATTCTACGCACAGTTAAGTCGGAATATTTTTCGTGAAATTCCAGTTGGTGTTTTGCAACACAGCTTCGATTGTTCATTTTACACATTTTTCAATTTGAGCTGACACTGAGGAGATACTGAGGAATAAGAAAGATTCACATCTACAATTTCTTGATGATGTGATAATGAATCGTTCATGAAGTTGAGAACCGTTTGAAAATGACACAAAACAAACAGACAAACATAGAAACAAAAACAACATCTAACGAATAAGTGGCTAATTGTACTGTGTATGAATACCTCGACATGTTGCTTGTTTGTCTCCAGAGCTTCTGAATCACAAGTCAAGTGAATAGCGTCCGCTCTTTTTTCTGCTGAATCCAGCCACGGTGCAAAGTGGCCGCGCTGCTCCTGGTACTCGGTAGTCAGTTTTACTGCTTTTTCTAAATTGTTGGTTCGGACATCAGACGTCGTATTCAGCTCAGTCCATCGCTGTCTCATGTTATCAAGTTTTTCCTGTAGGTTTTCTTGGTCAGCGGGTAGCTGACTTGTTTCCTTCAGTTGTTCACCAGCTGCCATCAGGGCCGCATAAGTTGGTTCTTTTTCTCTTATCTCCTGGTGGATGGGCTGAAAAGTTTCAAACAAATTAGCTGGAAAAGCTCTATCACTTTTAGAGCAAGTACGTAACATGGGAAAACTTCACTTTATTCTCTATTTATCACAGGTTCGTAGGGAGTAGGTTCGTCTTATTCAAACCATTATTCAAACTCGAAACATAGGATCAACGTCAGCATCTGCGCAACCACGTACCTACCCCTCCCCTAGCCCAACAACATTCCACTGATAGCAAGTTATGGTAAACGCCGGGTTAAGGGAGGGGCAGGTGCGCAGTTACAAAGATACTATTGCTCCAAAACATCATTCCTAGCTTATGATGTTTTCTGTGGCAGCAAATATATCGATTGTTTCTTTGCCGAGCCTGGAATTTGCTACCGTCAATGAGTTTTTTTTCTTTTTGAGCAAATTAAGGATAGACTTGCCTGAGAAAACACTAAAGGATTGCAATTACTTTTTTTAAGTCTCTTTAAGGGCTACTACAAAGAGCTTAGGATGATACTCGTACCAACCTGAAAGCTATCTTTTTGTTCTTGAACTGTCCCTGCATCAGCTGAAATAGGCCTGAGCTTGGCGAAAGTTCTCTCCGTCTTGGTAAGCCAGCGTAAGAAAATATCTGAATCAGCCTCGAACTGATCACACTGCGCAAGGGCTGCTTGGAGCTGATTTTCCCGCGCTTCGATCTTATCTGAGAGTTTTTTCAACTCGAGATCAGCTCTGGACAGACGGCTCTCAAGTTCAGCTGCAGCGATCGGATCTTCGCTGTCGGACAGCAGCTTCTCTGCTAAAGCTTGGGAGTCTTTAAGACTAGCGTGATGTTTTTCGAGATCATCCTTCATCGCCTGCAATCGAAAGTAAAGCTTTAGATTTAACCTTGCCAAAATTTTAGGGAAATTATTTTCTAAATTACGAGTAAAGAACATGTCTGACTTCTCAAGGAAGTTATCAAAAGCTTAATTGAGCTTTGGCAACCACAAGCAATCAGTCTCTTTTTGAGGAGGTAGGTCAGCGGCGGGTAAAATCCGTGTTCATTTCCCGCCTTTCGACGGCGAACTTCATGTATTAAGTTCAAAAGAAACTTAACTCAAGCGACTAATTGCTTCATGACTTCCACCAAACACCAATAAACGCTAAATAACCATTGAATAGTTGCATTCATAGTTTGCTTATTATATTTCATGTGTGTCGCAATTGTAAAAATTAGAATCCTTGTAAATTAATAGAAGATTTTGATCCTTTTAAATTTCATGCAAAAGTTTAATTTCCCTTAACTAATTAACTGTAAGTTCTACCAAAATCCAGATTTTCTCAGAGAACTGAATCCCTTCCTTCTTGAAACCTTGAACTTTCAATAAGTGACTAATTCTTAACTTCTCCTCAAAATTTAACCAAATTGTGCAGTCATCAAGTAAAGAGATTAAAGAACCTATTTTGTCGGAAAGTGGTATCCTGATTGTAGCACTGAGTTCTCATACCTAATTTACAAGGACATATATGGCAACTACAAGTGAGAATTACAAATCAGATCAGAGAATTAAAGTGTGATGTGCGTTAAATTAATGTTCATCCTTCAAGGAGTAATCATACCTGTAACTCCTCCAACTGTTTCTTGGCTGTGACGGCATCTGTACTGATTGGTTCCCAGGCTTCTGCCTTCTCAGCACTGTCTGCAGTCCAGGCTTCAATTTCATCCAGTTTATCTTGTAGCTCCAGACCTTGACCTATCGCCTGTTCCAGCTGCGACTGTTTGTCCTTCAGTTGATCCATTAAAGAATCGTGGTTGGCATTAACCGCTTTAAGTTCCTCTTGGACAAGAGCGGGATCGCCGTCCAAGGCTGTAATGGCCGCAGCTGTTTCCTTGCCACTTGTCTCTGCACTGTCGAGGTTGTCTTTCATATCGTTCAGTTGACGGATCAACGCCTGTTTGGCAGGGAAAGGAAAAACGATGAAACACCAGACAGAAGAAAATTTGCAACGAACGAAACACTGAACTCAACACGATGTACAGCCGAACACAAAATTTTACTACCTGTAAGTAAAGTAAACGTGTCAAGTGATCAAAACGGAGCTTTAAAATTCTTTCTCCTTTTTGTAAGTACTGTAACTAGCAAAATTCAAAACAGATTTGCGAAACTTCAATGGGGCGACGTCACCTACAACCGGTGTACCCTTCGAGATGAGATGTCTGAGATGATTACGCTTTGCTTGCGACAAAACTCCTTTTCTTCCTCTAAAGAAAAAAGCTTTTAGTCGAGTGATATACAATACTTACCTTAGTCTTTGCAAGATCTTCCTCGTTCTTTTTCACGTCAGCACTAACTGGTCCTTGTGAGGCAAGCTCTGCGCCGACAGTTTCCAGTGTATCCTGTACAGGCTGCACCAGACCGTGATACTTGTCCAACATCTGCTTCACGTCCTGTAGATCTTTCTCTTTGGCAGCCAAAGCTGTATCCAATGCGTCATATCGATCTACACTCTCTTGAGCTTCGTTCCTTATAACGTCTCCATCGGCATCAGTCAATTCTACAACAGCTCTCGATTTCTCACTTACTGAGTCTCTCTCTGGTCTGTGTTTGTCAATATCTTCACGAAGCAACGCTACTTCATTATTGAGTTTCTCCACAACGTCTTGATTGGCTACAATAGGTTCTAAGGATGTCAATTTTCTCTCCGTATCCGCCAACCACGGCCCGAGACTGCCGGCGCTCTCGTGGTATGTCTCCGCTTCGGGGAGAGCTGTATCAACACGAGCTGAGTGTTCAGACGCAATTTGTTTGATTTCATTCCAGCGCCTCTCTGTGTCAGCGATTTTCGCCTCGAGTTCGTCTTTCTCAGCCCCAGGTTCTGCGCTTTCAAGGAGATTTTTGCCATTGCTCAAGAGCTGTTCAAAAACAGGTTCTTGTTGTTTGATCTTTTCTTGCAGTTCCTGTGATAAACAACTTACAGTTAGTATTTCATTCACTCTTTAATAGGTCACCTCTTTTTGGGAAATTATACCGTTCTTACATCCAGTAAATCACAAATTTGGAGCGCGGAGTGGTATTTTTCTCATGAATAGAATTTCGGATAAGATGGGATCTTTGTGTCACAATTTAAACACTGAAGTAGAACTTCGAGTCGCTCTGAAGTAAACGGAGCCTAACACCTGTATACCTTTTCTGGTATAAAATCCTCTCAGGGAAAAATATCACAGTGGTACGGTATTACAAAGTTTTTAAAAACCGATTATCTTTGACAAATGTTGGCAAGACTTTTGTTTAAGAAAGGCTGGTCGGAAACAAAAACCACTTTATACCTCATCATCGTTCTTCTGTTCTTTGAGCCTGTCGTATATGGCGGACACAGGCTTCAGGTTGGTGGAAAGTTCTTCTAAGTCTTGCAGCTTGTCTTTAAACACACTGAAAGACACGTTGAATTCCTGTGAGCGTATCTGTGCTGCCTGTAGTCTTCCTTCCAGGTCAGCGAGTTTTGCCTTGAGGTCTTCAAATGGCGACTCGACTTTGTCAAGTTTGTCTTTAATGGCTGCTACGATAAGCGGTTCGTCTTTGTTCTGGTCAGTCAACTTCTCACACAAACCCTGGGCATCTTCAAGAGTTGGTTTCTTCGCCTCCAGTTTCGCTTTCAAGTCCTGAAAAACGATATACAGTACAAGTTAAAGAACAACTCACAAACTTAAAAGCGCAACAGCCCATTAAATTTGCTGTCACCGTGCTTTAAGAAAATAGACAAAATAGTTGTATTTTGTCAAGATTAATAAGGGAAAGACCTCCCTTGAGATCATAACGTATTTATCCTATGAGCCGTGCAGCCCCGCTCTCACAATCCTATAGAAATAAAAGCTGAATGTGTGGAGGACTGGAGTCAACGTGAATCGGTCCTTAAATAAAAACTTTCCAGCCCCTCACTGGCACGGCTCTCTGAGTTTTACATGAATGTAAAATCTGATAGCAAAACATCATCATAAAATTTTCCTATGACACTGAGAATTAATAGAAACGTGATTAGAAGTACAATCTCTGTAGACAGTAACCTAGAGTGCGATGAGTCAATTGAACAGCACTGAGCCGAACTTGCTAACAGCTTATGAGAACAGACGAGCTTATCAGCTTGAAGGTGTTATGTAGATAAAACACCAAATCCTTCAGTCTTCTTTACAAGCAAATGCATTGAAGTCCTTTAGGAGAGTTAATAATTGGATCTTGGGAGTGTAAGAGTTCTTCCAAGTGTTACAGTTAACTTATCACGATTTATCAAAGTACTATGAGTTTTGATAACACTCTATCGAGTTTACTACTCACCTGTACAAGCTCCAGCTGTTTTTCTACAGCAGTAGGGTCAGTGCTGACAGGTCCAACTGCCGCGAGCTTCTCACGAGTGTCTTGTATGCACCCGTCCAGTTCTTCCACCTTAGCATTGAAGTTGTTTGTATCTCTGATCTTGCTGGTAAGAGCCTCTTCCTGAGCCTTGAGCTTCTGCTGCAATTCTCCAAACTTTTGGGATACATGTGCCACTTTACTGGTAACGACTGCGTGATCTGGTGATGAGTCATGAACTTGTTGGAGAAGAGTTTTGCCCTTGTGGCCGACATTTTGTACCTCTGGGGCGTGGTCATCAAGAACTGAACTTAGTTCCTGGAGGAAGTAAAAAATTCACGAACGTAAATGTAAAAATTCCTGTGCACTTATACTGAATGAAAAAAAACTTTTCATTACGGGTAAAAGCTCCAAAATCTCTCTCAACAGCAGTTATAATTACCCGAATATTGTTTTTACAAGAAACACACAGAGAGATTCACATTAAGCATGAAGGTAAGTTCAGTTTTGGTGACAAAACGCGGTCAAAACATTTGCATATTGCGACTAGCACAATACCGTTACTCGGCCTTTTAAAACTGAACAGTTTACCTTGATCTTGGCAAGCTGTTGTGCAGCTGACTCCGTGTTCGTTCCACACACCACTGGTGCATCGACGACGTCACATGCCTCGCAGAACACGTCCTCCACTTTCTTAACTGTGACATGATAGTCATGTGACGCCGCTTCCATCGCTGACAGCTGGTCGTCTTTCTCGCCGACGGATGCTGATAACTTCTCGATGCGTGCAACGTAGTCTTCCACCTCAGCTTCAAGAACAGGGACATCTTTCTCAGCCTGTTCCTTGAGTTCGTCAGCGCTTCCTCCAACCTCTTGAACATCTGACTTAAGTTTGTCTGCCATTCCCTGAATCTGCTTCACGAGTTCTTTTTGTTTAGCAATGTTATCTATGTCTACAGTAAGCGGTTCAAACTCATCAACCTGTTTTTCTGCATCTGCTAGCAGCACAGCCAAGGAATCTGCATCCTGACGGAATTTCTGTGCCTCCGGTTCGACTTTAACCAGTTTGTTTTGACGTTCATCGACTTTTCCTTTCAGACTCTGCCATCTCGACTTCAGTTCCTCCATCTTTTTCTCCATAACTTCCCTCTCCGGCGCATCTTCCAGTGCGTCCACCACACCTTGTCCGTTTTGAACAAGTTTTTCAAACACAGGATCTTGAAGTGCCAATTCTTTTTGTAAGGCTTCATTTTCTTGCCGCTGAACTTGAACAGTTTCGTGAAGAGCAGAAATCGGGTCTTGCTTCGCTAGTTCGTCTTCAAATGTGTCCAGTTTAGCCATGAATTCATCGAAAGACACCTATAATGCAAGAAAATTGGAAAGAAAAATAAACCCCCCAAAAAAATAACTTGGGTAGTAAGTGACAACCCTCTCATTTCCTCTTAAATATAATCAAATATTCCAGATCACAAAGGCACAATTCTACCTTAACGACATGAAAGCTTAGAAGTGGACGATTCACTAATTTAACTGACGGCACACAGCTTTGCGAAATTAGGACTGCCAATCTGTAGGCTCAAATATTCCTTTCTTTTAATATGCAAGTGTTTAACTAAATACCTGGAATTCCTGAGATCGAAGCAAAGCATTCTGTAGTTTGACTTGACGTTCAGCGAGTTTTCGAAGAATCAAGTCAACAGGAGAAACGATTTTGTTCAGTTCACCCCGAACATCGCGAACCACTTGGGGATCGTCGTTGCTGTCTGCAATAATTTCCTTCCCTGTGTCTTCCAGTGCGTCCAGAAGAGCTTTGTTTTTCGCTATGTCGTCCCTTAAGGCCTGCGGAAGAGAAGGTGATGGATTAGTGGGTAGCTAGGTTAACGCGACAAGGGATTAGTCAGATCTCCTCACTACAAAACTGACGAGAACAAAAATTAACATCTAGATGGGAAAAAAATCTCTCTGAGCTACCTAAAATACATTAGGAATGTACAACGTATCTTTCAGACGGATCACACAACATTACAAGCAAAACAACACCGACCTCCGCCTGTTGAAGCTGTTGCTTCACAAGTTCCGGGTCGCTACTAATTGGTTCCTGAGCTCCAACGGCTTCCTCCACCCTGGGTAACCACTCCTCCAGGTTGCGCAAAGCATCCTGAAACTTCAAGGCCTTCTCGGTTTCTTTCTCGAGTTGTTCTTTTTCATTGCTTAAACTCTCCAGCAGGTCCTTGTATCTCCGACTAACTGCTTCCACTTCATGGTTAACACGTGGGACTTCGGAAGATTTGGGATCCATAGCTGATGTCAATTTGTCTCCCGCCTCCTTCAAATCGTTGACGTCAGGTTCGTGCGCTCGAAGGGCCGATAAAAGATCCTCTACAGCCTTAAGTTGGTCTTTACCTTTGTCCACATCTATACCAGTGGATTCGCGCGACGCCATCGACTTTTCTGTGCGTTCCAAGAGTTCTTCGACGGGTGTTAAAGCCTGGTTGTACTGGATTAACGTTTCCTTCAATTTTGTCAAATTGTCTTCTATTCTGGGCACCTCAGAAGACAGATTTTCATAGCGTTTTCGGACATCTTGTTCCTCTCCCTCAATCACGAACTTATCCGCACTACAACTGTTAGATAAAGATGAAGAAGTATCTTCCATGGTCTCGACAATTGGTTGATGCTCAGCAATCTCCTTGTTCAAATCAGTTAGCGCCTGCAGTTGTTTGTCGATTGATCTCTCATCACAGGCATCTGGATCAATGGCTTGAAGTCGTTTTTCAGCATCGCTCAGCCATGGTTTTAAGTCCTGAATCTCACCGTGAAACTCCTTTGAAAGAGGCAGCACTTGATCAAGCTGTTGTTGCCGGTCAGAAGTTTGTCTTTTGACTGAATCCCATCGCTGTGTCAGATCATTCAATTTATCCTCCAAAGCGTCCCGGTCTGGTCCAGGCTCAGATGTTTCCAGAATATTTTTTCCAGCCCGCACAAGCTGCTCAAACAACGGCTCTTGTTGTTGAATGGTGTCATTGACGGTCTACGAAATCACATCAAAATGAGCAACATATTATTCAATCGAACTTTTGACTCTCAGCAGTGACTAACACGCAACCACTTCGGCTTAAAATATCGTTACGCTATTTAAAGAATAGACCACACTTTCTATCTGTTTATTGGTGTAATAATCCACTTGGGGAGTTGGACGAACATGAGAAATGTTTTACTTGACCAATCAGGAGGCTCGTAATATCTCAGTCGTTTTAAAAAGAGCAATAAGGTAATGGGGATATACAAACCTACTTAGTAGGTGCAATTACAGCTCCTCTTAATAGGAGCATCTACACCAGCACACTTTCCCCAAAAATTTTACCTTAACGTAGAAGGAAAAAAAAAATAAAAACAAAAACTGGCTAGCCGATTTTCTGACTTGCAAGCCCATCGAACGAGGAGACTTGTAAAGGATCAACTGTGAAGGACGAAATATGCTGATGTACTGCTGTAATAGACTTGAGAAGGATTCTCTACCAGAGAAATTGAGGGGGAAAATTGTGCTTCGCAAAGATTTTCCAGACATGAGATATTTTTTCTTTTCTAATGCCTACAGCCGACAATTTTTCGTTTTAAATATTGCTTATGGGTTTAAGCATGGAGTATCAGGAAGAAGGCTCTGAATATAGAGGAAAAGTGACACAGCTCCTTAGCTCACCTTTTGTTGTTGGTTCTGTTCTTTAACCGTGCTGTACACTCCAGACACGGGGGCCTGGAGAGCAATCTGTTCTTCAACTCGACCCAGTTTCTCCAAGAACTCGGCGAAAGAAACGTGAAACTCCTGACTTTGCAGTAGAACATGTTGCAGCCGACCAAGACGCTGATCAGCTCGCGCCGACAGCTTGTCCAATGCAGTGCGCACCTTGTAAAGTTTACTATAAACGTCGGCGACCACTGCTGGATCCTCTTGGCTCCGTTCGATCAGTTTCTGTCCAGTGTTCTCTGCTGTTTGGAAGAGTGCTCTGTGTTTAGCGATGTCGTCTTTAAGAATCTAAACCAAGAAAGAAACAAGTTTAAAACCCCGGCAGCTATACTCATAGGAATAAGGGGAGTAAGTTTCCATAGAAACTGTGGTGCTGCGTCAGTGGGAGAGTATAACAGGATAATTTAGTGTTATCAACCGACTTGAAAACGTAAATTGGCCGCCGTAAAGAGTTCAAAGGCTGACGTTTCGAGCGTTGGCCCTTCGTAAGCTCTGACGAAGGGCCAACAACGCCATTTGCCAGTTTTTTAAGGTCACGCCATGAAGACGATAGAAATTGTCTGCTCACTTCTCACGTCTCAGGCAGTTATCTCTCATTACGAAACTCGGAAAATTGTGTCGAAACGTTACAAATAGAAGTAACCAACCAGATTGATCAGTCACTAAGCCATTTGCCAAATGCAAAGGTAAAGAACTGTTTACATTTGATATCTGACTTCTTGATGACACAAATTCGTAATGTGTTTATACCAAACTCGGATCCGATCACGAGATTGGTCACTGAGTTGAAAACAAATCGATTAAGAGAGAAGAAAAACAAACAAAAACCTTAACCCATTCTCTGAGATCATTTTGTAAATCGAAAATGGCCCTAAGACGGCAAGTGTGATATATTGAAACGTCATGAAATGCGGGATAAAAACAGTAAGCCGATATATATTTTCTGCTCACGTTTCATGTCTTCTTACGTAATGAAGGTCTCAAGGCTGTTTCCGGAATTAATCGGAAGAATATGAACGGTCACTTCCGGATCAGTTTATTCTCTAAATTTCAACGACAAAACATTACTCGACCGTGGCATAAACACAAATAGGGCATGTTTTGAGATCATCAACACAGGTATTATAATGTAAACGCAGTGGGACCAATGTCTATTTAACAAGAACGATAAATGTGACGGTGTGCAAAATTCAAACTGACGAAAAAGTAACGCCAGACACCGAAGCAAAACACGCAAGGTGCAGTATGGCGTTATGAGCTAAGAAATGTAGGCGAAAGATCGTAGTGCCGCAAAATTGTTTCTTGACACTTCGAAGTGCTTATGGCGGGAAATGAAAAAGCTTCACAGATGAATACAGTTCGCTTGGCGCGATTTTACTGATCACATTCCGACACGTGAACCTAAAATATTTATAGCAACCACTGTGTCAAATGATCTGTCGACTCGCTGGGATAAACTCAGCAGAACGGTAAAGAAAAAGGCGATTGACGAATAGAAAGGTTCGATCGACAACCTGAACGAATCGATCAATTCATAATTACCAGAATGAAGTCTTCGCGTATTGATCCAAGACCAGGGACAAAATTCGAAGGAAGAACTAGAACTTCTCCACAAACCCTGCTAGATCCTCTTCCGTTGGATCGCTGCTGTCTTAAACCGCTTTCCTTCATATTTAATCCTTGTGCGTTAAAGCGTTCGACGAGATCGTTATGCATCTGTTTGGCACGAATTTCGTTTCGGTTGAAGCACAACAGCCCCACAAATTGTTGGTGGTTTAAATTATTGATGCGATGCAGTCCCTCGACGTCTTTTGATGTCCGATGAACAAAACAATGAAATACCTGTCACAGTATTTAATTCCCACCGGTGCCAAAGAAACTTAAGTCTCAGAGGAGCTCATGTTAATGATGTCAAGCCTACATCGAGGATCATTAATCCGGTGTGTCGTGAAAATAAGACCGCACCGAAGTTTCGTAACACCACGTGTGCTGTGAATATTAATCTCTGGTGCGAAAAACCGTGACTGATCTAGAATATTTATGCAAGCATTCTTGTGTGATAAAGATCGAGAAGAAGTTCAGACAACTTACGAGAATCTAATTACATGGTGAAATGACTCATTAACGATGTTCGTAATTTGCATGACAGGAGGACCCCGAAGATTTTTAACAAACAACTAAATAATCGTGATACTAAAATCGAGGAGCAGTCATATGTTTTTCACACTTAATTCACGTGCTAAAAGCATATGTAAGTGAAATTTGCCATATGAAAGGCATGTGAAAAATTTTATCTTTCCATACCGTGTTTTCGCGTGTTTTTATGCTAGCTCATAGACAACGTGTGAGAAACTTGGACTCAAGCGTGCGCTTTATAGCCTTGATGGCTATTTGTAACTGATTTTATCTAAAATCGGGCCTCCTACGGTGTGTCTGAGTAAAAAGCTCATGGCATATCACTTTCAACAAAAATGAAAAAATAAGTTTGATTTCATTTTCATTTTTTTACGGAGAGGCTGAATTTGAACACACTAAGACTCCAAGAGTGAAAATATATTTTTAGCACACCACCTACAAGTCTAGGTACCCATAAGTAAGAGTACATTGACAATAAATGCTGCCGATTATTAAAGAGCGAATAATTTGTAACTTATCTCATCTTATCTCGTGAAAAGAGTCAGGGGGGTCTAGTTCCAACTGTTTGTAGCGGCACTTCATATCTTAGCAACAAATGGATACTAAGTCTACTCCTACTGACCTCCCCCCTGAAAATACTCCAACCAACCTGTGCTTCCTCGAGCTGTTTTCTAACCGTCTCAGGATCTGTGCTGATTGGTTGTTGAGCAGAAACACGCTCTTCAGCTTCAGGTAACCAGGCTTCTATGTCGGCGAGTGATCCTTGGAAGACGCGCGCGTGTTTCACGTCCTCCTCAAGGTTGATTTTGCGGGCGTTCAGCTTTTCGATGAGCTCTTTCTGTTTCTGGTCCGCCTGTGACACTTCAGCCTTAACTTGGGCTGCGTGAGGCGTCTTCTCGTCAACTTGCTGCATCAGAAGTGACAGGTTGTCATTCACTTCATTCAGTTCAGGCTCCTGTTCTTCAAGGACTGAAAGCAAAGCCTAAAGATCAAAGAACAAAGTTTTAGAGAGCAGACGCTTTCTCTGTTTTCTGTCTCATTTGACAAAAGGCCGAGGAAGGAATCAGTTCTACAAAACCTTATTTGCTCTTTACAAACGGAAAAATATCTTTTCGAGTAGAAAGTTCTTTATTGATCCTTCCCATGGTGCATGGCGAGTAGGCAAACGTTCTTGCGATATTTGTTCCATAGCTCCCTTTTGACAGTCAAACTCCCAGCCGAGAATATAAACTTAGATAGAAGGGGTTACATGGGAATGTGTAATGGGTAGAAGGAAAAATAACTGATAAGATCTAGTGAATAAAAGTCAAAGTAAAAAATAAACTTATCAGTCCATTAAACATTCTGGGACTGAATAAAATAAGTTTGATATCACAACCCTCAGAGCGCAAATTTCTGAATATTTGGCAAATTCACGAAACCCAATTGATTATTATAATAGGATTCAGTGAGATTTCAGAACACGTCTCACAGATTGATACCATGAATGTTTTACCAGGCAAACTTCATTACCTCAATTTTCCTGAGCTCTTCTTCTCCTTTTTCAGCGTCGGTGAGGTTGGCCAGCGGCGCATCAACTAGTGCTTCTGCTTCGTCCAGTTTCTCCTCAATCGGCTGAAGCTGATTGGTCAGTTGTTCAAGCAACGTAGCCACGCTCTCCAAATGTTGTTGTCGAACCGTCAGATTCGCTGTTAGCACCTGCCATCTCTTGTTGGCATCCTTGCATTCAGCTTGGACAACCTGTATGTCATCACACAGGTCTCCCAGCTCGCGAGCAGAATCATTAACAGCGTCGACTTCAGGCTTGTGCTCCTCGAGTTGCTGCACCAAAGTAGCCAAGGTTTTCCTCTCTTTTGCGATACTCTTCTCGTCGCAGGAAACTGGCTCAAGGGAATCGACCCAGGTTTCAGAGTCACTCATCCAGGGAAGAACCGATTGCAGTGAGTCATGATAACATTTTGCTACAACTACAACTTCATCAATTTTTGATTTCCGATCATCAACCTTGCCCTTCACCGCATTCCAACGAGAGGCAAGATCATCCAATCTCTCCTTAAGTTCATCTTTCTCCTCTCCCGGCTCAAGACTCGCAAAAATGTCCTCACCGTTCCTAGAAATCCTTTCGTACACAGGCTCAAGTTGTCTTACATCGGCAACAGCGTGTTCAATGTCTTCGCTCTGCTCGCGTAACACGTCATACTGAGAAGACACAGGTGTCATTTTGGCCACATCATCTTCCAACTTTGCCAGCTTCTCAGCAAAATCATCCAGTGTTTCTTGGAATTCTTGCGACTGTAAAACGGCCTCTTGCAGTTTCTTTTGTTGGTCATCAACTTTGGCTGAGAGGAGATCCAGTGAGGTTGTTGCTTTATATACTTTACTATTGACCTCCATTACAATTGCCGGTTCATTTTCACAGCATTCCACCAACCGCTGCCCAGCATCATCCGCGGACTCGAGGACGTATTTTTGCTTCACAATGTTTTCCTGAATTTTCTCAATTTCATCCAACTGGCTCTTCACAGCACTCGGATTAGTTCTTGTAACATGAAAGGTCTCGATCACGATGGTTATCTCCTCAGTCCAAGTTATCAAAACTTCGTATTTTTCCGTAAACTCTATTATATACACGATGATTTTCTCAAGCTGTGTTTTGCGTTCTCTGCCTCGTGCCAGAGCAGTTGTGTATGAATCTCCAACTTTACCTAACTGCTGCTTCAACATCACGGCATCGACGGAATCGGGATTCATTCCTTGAAGTAACTTCTCTCCAAGTTCTTGCATCTCTTTGTGACGAGGTTCACATTGTTCCAAATCATCCACGACTTGTTGAACTTTTGCAAGTTCTTCCCTGCTCTTACTGACGTCGAGATCGGTCGGTGTTTGGCATTCAAGCGATGTTTCAGCCTTCTGTACAACTTCTTCAACAGCTCCCAAGGCATCTCGGTATTTATCCACAGTATCCTTGGCGGTTTGTAGGTCAGTTTCCTTTGTCTCCATGTCCTTGAAAAGTTCGTCCCAGCGTCTGTTTAAGTCCTTAATTTGCACCTCTACAAAATAGCTGTTATCTTTACATTTGTCCATGAGTGAGTCAGCGGTGTTATTCAATGATTTGTGGTCCGGCTGATGACTCTCTATAGCCTCTTTAAGATCCTCGAACACTTTTTGTTGTTGAGTCAGTTCTTCTGGACTCACAGATTCGGTGTTGACGGCGGCAAGTTTTCTTTCCGTCTCGGAAAGCCAAGAGTCAAACGCTTGTGCTCCAGTATGGAACGATTTCGCATCGGGAATCACAGAAGAAATACTTTCCTCACGTTCCGAGGCCTTTCTTTTAGCATCCTTCCATTTCTCTTTAAGATCGTCCAACTTCTTTCGTACAGCGTCTCGGTCTTTTCCAGGATCCGATGTCTCCAAAACCTTATCCCCTACAGCTAAAAGTTTATCTAAAACTGGCTGCATCTGAGCGATGTTTTCACTGAACTCTTCTGTTTCGTCCTTTTGGCGTCTTGTTGTTGGATAATCCGGAGAAATCGGCTCTTGGCTTTGAAGGATGTCGTCGAGAGTCCCTAAACGAGCAATGAAATCGTCGTACACTTCTTGGAATTCTTGAGATTGCATCATGGCGTCATGCAATCGAAGACTTCTCTGTTCCAACTTTGCACTGAGTTTATCAAGTGGTTGGCGAGCTTTCTCCATGTTGTTTTGAATGTCTGCTACAGCGTCAGGATTCTGCATACTGTCCTCGATCAGCCGCTGACCTGTCTCTTCCACAACGCACAGGCGCACCAAATATCTCTTCACCCCATCATGCAGGGCTTCGGTCTCTCTGATTTGCTCCTTGATATTTTCCGGTTCTGAACTTACAGGTTCAAGGGCTTCAACAGTTTCGACAGTTTCTGGCAGCCACTGTTCTATTTCTGCCAGTGATGAATTGAACTGCAATGTATCCTCAAGCGCTTTCTCCAGTTCCTTTTGTCTGTCGCTGAGTCTGGTAGGCAAGTCTTTAAATTTGCCGTTAGTGCTTACCAGTTGTTCCTTTACACTCAGGGTGGACGGCGCGTCGTCTTCAGCTTGTTGCAAAAGCTGCTGACCAGACTGATTCAGCTGCTTTATATCTCCTTTCCTTTCATCCAGAGTAGATACCAGGGCCTTTATCTGCTCCAGTTCTTGTTGGATTTTGTCAGCGTCAGTTCCCGCTGGCTTATGGGAAGCCAAAGCGTCTTCTGCTTGAGTAAAAGCCTCTTGTACAGGCTGCAAGGCACTCTGGTACTTCTCAAAAGCCTCTTTGGCTTCTTCAACTTTGATTTTTTTCTCCAGCACCGCAGTCTGTAATGCGTCCCAGCGGCTCTTAAGCTCGTTGAAATCTGCTTTGATCACATCACCATCCGCTTGACACACGTCCGTAAGAGTGCTGGCCGACTCGTTCAACTCATCGAAGTCTAAATTATGCGACTCTATTTCAGAAGCAAGTCCATCAAGTTCTACAAGCCTTTCATCCAATTCGTTATCGTCACATGAAACAGGATAGATCTTGCTTACTTTCTTCTCTGCGTCCTGGAGCCACTCCCTGAAGTTTGTCGCCCTCTGGTCATACTTCTGAGAAGCTTCATGAACCACCTGAACACGCTTCTGCATGTCAGCTGTTTTCTCCTTGATCTCATTCCACCGCGTTTCCATCTGTTCTAGTTTTTCCTTCTGCGCGTCCTTCTCGTCGCCTGCTTCCATTCTTTCCAACATGCCATGCCCATCTTCCAAGATCTTATCGAACACAGGTTGCTTCCTCGTGATGTTGTCGCTGACACTTCGCTGGATGTGTTCTTTTTGCTCGCTTACGATTTCCAGGATGGCAGAAATTGGCCTGAACTTGTTCACTTCATCTTCCATCTCTTCAAGTTTGGTAACGAACTCATCCAACATCACATCATAGACCTGAATCTGAAGCAGGATGTTCTGTAAAATAGCATGGCGTTGTTCGATTCTGGCATCCAAGCGATCCAACTGAACACGAACCTTGGTTAGTTTCCCTTGTACATCAGCAACCACCAAAGGATTATCACCACTGTTGTCTATGATCACCTTACCAAGGTCATTCGTACGATCCAATGCGGCACGTTGCTTGGCTATCTCGTTTTGCAAGTTCTGTTATATCAAATTGAAGAGGAAAAACCAGTAGATAACTTTGTCACAAACGAAACACAAAGCGTAAACAAGACCTAACATTTAGTCACAAACAACGTAACGTAGACAAAATCACAATATTAGGTTCACTTCTGTTTTCATTAAAAGCCAACAATGTCAAATAAGTTACCAGTTTCATATGAGTTAACAATTTAATAAGCTTGCCACTGGATGATGTCTCTCTGTCCAATCATAGAGTACGTAGTTTTCGGTCCGTTGCCTAATTCTACAAACATTCCCCCTTCCACTATTTACCTCAGTCTGTTCCAGACGTTTGTGCACAACCTTCGGATTAGTACTGATAGGCTCTTGCATAGCTGTGCTCTCAGAGACTTCCGTGACCCACAGCTCCAGCTCTCTGATTTGCTTTTGGAACACTGAACTATCCTGGATGATTCTCTCCAGCTGCTCTTGTTGTTCTGTGAGCTGGTTCTTAAGGTCCGCGTACTTCTCTGGGATCTCTCTAACTTCCTGTTTGAGTGATGAGACTTCTGGAGATGCAGAATCTGAGTTTAGAACCAGATTCTGGCCGAGTCTCTGTGCCTGTTTCATATCAGCTTCACGCGTGGCCATCAGGTTGAGCAACGCCTGTAAACAGTTTCGTCATAAGACCAAAATTAAATCATTACAACGACCAATCAATAACGGAACGCAACACAAAAGAACGTACGAAAATTTTTCGTAAGTAAATGTATTTGGCCTAAATCAAAAGTCCTGCATATGATAGATTTAAAAGGTGACACGAGATTTCTGGACCTATCAAAAGTTGACCAAGAATCGATAGTTCAATCAGAAATACTTTCTGAACTTAACTGATGAAAAACCAATATGGGCAGACTGCAAGTTGATCCTTAAACCCCTGTGTTACAAGCTGTTCATCACATTTCCTGAAATCTGTTTGTAGCGAAGTTGCCAGGCTTGTAAAGGATGAGTTGCTTAACGTTACTCGCACAGCTTTACTAATCGTCCACGAAACTCGCAAATCTTTCAACATTTTCCGCATTAAAAAGGGCGCCGAGAAAAAAAAGTAGATATTGAAAAATGAAAACCAACCTTTGTGTTGTTCAGTTCTTGTTTAGCTCTTTCAATGTTCGAACCAATTGCCTCTGCCGGTACTATAGCCTCTTCTGCCCATGCGTACAGAGCGCGCACAGGTCTCTGGGCCTTCTGATACTCCTCTGCAATGTCCTTGACATTGTTAATTTGGTCTGACCTGTCCTTAAGGCGGAAAGAAACGCTTTCCCACATCTTGATAACGTACTGCAATTGCGCCTCGACAACATACACATCATCTGGCTGGCGTTTGATCACATCAGAGGAAATCTCTTTCACGGTCTCAAATTCTGGCTTGTGTAATTCAAGATCTTTGTTCAGAGCTTCTACCTGCTGGAGCTGTTTAGCTATCATCTTCGGATCACATGAAACAGGGCTCTGTGATGAGATCTTGTTATCAAGGTCTGTCAACCACGCGACAAAGTCCTCCATGTTATCGTGGTAGTCATGAAGGACTGGGGCTCGCTCTTCAATTTCTGTTTCTCTAGCGCTAACTTTATCTTTGACGTCACCCCACTTAGCCTTCATATCTTCGAATCTTGTTTGTAATGCATCGCGGTCTGGGCTGGGCTCAGCGTTCTCCAACACATTTTCCACGCGGGAAATTAGCTCGTTAGCTAGTTCGTCTAAATCTTTGACGTCATCTTTCATGATCTGTAAAAGGAATTCGCATTTAGCAACTAACTGTGTTGAAAATTGTGACGAGAATGTTCAAACTTTTAGGCAAAAATTTTGATTTTTATTTAACATCAAATTCTCACAACTGATTCCCATGGAAATGTGTGGTAGCTAGAGGGAAGAATTAACTATAAGAACTTGGGAGTTAAAGGGTTAAAAGAGAAACTTCCTTCCAGAAGTAACAGGGGACGTTTTCGTCCTTCCCTTTCTTTATGCCTGCACATGAACTTTCAATTCAAATTTCAGTCGAGGTCATGGAACTCAAATGTGCTATAATATAAAATATAAGGAACTAGGTTGGTTCTGGACGTAAGGAAACTTGAACAATTGATAAATCTGTGAAGCCGCATCTTTTAGCGATACAATTTAAATCTTGAGAATGCTTTGTAAAAAAAATCTGACTGATCTCTACCTCAAACTGCCGTTCTTGCTCCTTTAGTGTATCACGGACCACAGAGATTGGCCTCATGCCAGCAAGCTGCTCTTCAATCCTACTCAAGTCATCGACAAACTCAGCGAAGGTTACCTCGACGCTCTGACTCGCGATGACTGCGCTCTGCAGTCGAGAATGTCTCTGATCAATATAAGCGGTCACGCGATCCATCTTGGCATGGCATCCACTTAGAATGGTCACCACATCAATCACCATGTCTTCGTCTTCTTTGCTATGTTCCATCATCCACTCTCCTTCTGTTTGCGCACTCTTCAGAAGATATGTCTTTTCTTGTATTTCACGCTGCAGTTCCTCCGCTTCAGCCAACTGCTTTTTCAGTTTCTCCGGTTCGGTGCTGACTGGTTCTAGGTCTTCAACGGTCGCACTGAAGGTTTCAAACCAGTTTTCTAGCTGTTCGATGTTTTCCCTGAAGGGCACAAGGTGCTGGTTGTGCTTCTCCAGCTGCGCTCGTCTTCGCTGTAAATGATCTCTTGTCACATGGAATCGTGTATACAAAGCATCTACTTGGTTTCTGATAATGGCGGCATCTGGGGAATCATCCTCCAAGAGGTCTAAGAGCTCCATTCCTACACTTTGAACCACTACCAACTCTTCTTCTTGATCAGCGAAAGCATCAAGTAACTCCTGGATCAAGGCTAGTTCCTCGGCAATTTTGTCGGCGTCCATTAAAGGTGTTTTGTAGGCGGACACGACAACGCCCTGCACAACCAGCTCCTCAACAGCGTGTCTGCGGAAGTTGAAGTTTTCTAAAAGCTGTTTGATCTTCTCAAGTTTATTTGCTTTCTCTAGGAGGATGCCTTGAAGCGCAACATACCGATTCCGTACGTCCTGTACTTGTGCATTCACGATGTTGGCGTCTGCTGGGTTGAATTCCAATAACGAGCGCGCGATCTGATCTAATTCAATGAGAGCGCTCTCCTTTTCTTGCAGGTCACTCTCCATCTCTTTCAGTAACTCTTCGTACTTTTGAGGGCCCTTTCTGTCACATGGAACATACTTCAGCAGAGCTGTATTCTTTTCGGCGGTTACCAACCAGGACAAGAAGCTATGCAAGCTCTCTCCATAATCCTGCGCCGCAGGGTCTATCCGGTCTAGCAAAGTCTTACGGTCAGTGGTGTTCTTTTGAACATTGTCCCATCTGCTTTGAATTTGGGCCATTCTTTGCTCTACTCTTTCACGCTCTTTACCAGGCTCCGTCGCTTGAAGGACATCATCTGCTGACTTCTTTAAGGCGGCCAACACAAGCTCATGTTGCTGTACGTCTTCATTGACAGGCTGTTAAAAAAGACAAATAATACCAATGTAAGTAACGTAAAAGCAATTGTACACATCAGATGGTATTGGATTATGAGCCAAGTCTACTTCTTTGAACGTCTTCTGACGCAGTAAGATGCAAATGAAGATTGCCTGTAACAAATATCAGCGCAGAAAGGAACAGGGATCTACTATCTCTCTTTTCGAGGAATACGACGTGTTAAACTGATCTTCAGTTCCATTACAACGCAGAAGATGATGGCGAAAGTATGGAGGAATCGATCAACCATGAGGTATATTTTGATTTGGTTCAAAATCTTACCACGTGATCCTTTTTAAGTTCCCGGATGGAGTCTGTGTCTGACGTCACAGGAGGTTGAGACGCAAGCCTGTCTTCCACACCATTAAGCCAGATGAGGAAGTCATTTGAAACAGCCTTGAACTCCTTGGATTGCATTAGCGCGCACTTCAAAGCGTTTTGCCTTTCGTTATTAACAGCCATGAGCTCGTCTATGGCTTCTTTAGAAACTCTAACTCTGGCCTTCAGTTCTTCCTTCGCTAGAGGTTCTGAGTCACAGTTTGCAGCCAACCAATCAGCGGCTTCCTGAGCGCCGTCAAGTGAGACCCGCTCGTCAACAAGAGAGGACTGCAACTGCTCAGCTTGTTGAAGTTGTTCTTGGACCACTTCTGGTTCGGTACTGATGGGTGGCAGACTGGCAATCTCTTCTTTAACCTTCGGAATGAACCTTTCAACATTCTTAGTGTTTGTCGTGTAGACAACAATGTGACGGACAACTCTCTCCATGAAGTCTTCCCGTTCGTGTAACTTGATTTCCAGGGTGTTGTACTTTTGACGCATGACTGCCACGTTTTCCTGCCATTCAGGTGAGCCAGTCTTTTCTGTTAAAGCTTTTCCGCTATTTTCAAGATCTTTCAAATCCGGTCGTCGATTTTTAAGAAGCACAATAGATTTCTGGAAGGAAAACATACAAAAAGACTCAAACACGTAACTCCGAGGTGGCAGGAAAACTTACGTTTATTGTTAGCTTATTAGTCATTCTTCATCACCAGAAACTCTTATCAATTAGAAACAGCAAGGAACACCTGTAAAAGTTTCCACTTTTCCAGGCTTATGGCTGAGCGAGCTTAAGCCCTTATCGATAACACTGCATTGCGTTAGGCGTCACAAAAACTGACCTGCTATTTCGTGCAAAGAGAGTTAGCTACACTGTATAGAGTGGAGCAAAATCGTTTCATTTCTCTACACTGTACCAGCGGCGTGGCAGGACACTAAGTTCATGAGAGATTCAAACACCAACTCTCTGACGAATCAATACTACCGCAACTTTTTATCTATTCCCTTAAGAAAGGTATCCATCAAACGCCAAATTGTTCATTAACAAGTTGTGATTATTTTCAGGTTTATATAGGAACACTATGGCTCCTTTAAATTCTTGTTCCTCTCAGCTCAAATGCGACTTCGGTGGCCGCTGTTTTTTTTTTTTTTTTTTTTTTTTTTTTTTTTTTTTACCAGAGAATTATCATAAAACCAGCATGCCGTGAGTTATCTTTTAGTAAGCATTGAAGAATCTATAATAAGCTTCAGAGTCACTTTAAATTAACGCAATATCATGAAAGCTCTAAGCCTACAGAGCAGATTTTTCACAACTTTTCAAAGAAGGAACTTGCCAGAAACTAACAAAATATTCGACCTGAATATCCACTATTTCTATCTCTTACCTTAACTTCTGCAAGATCCTGCTTAGCTTTATTCTGATCCAAGACCAAGATATACTCAACATACACAATCTGTTCAAGCTCTATGAGTGTTTTCTTCACGACATTAAGCAACAGCTGATGTCGATGGACATCTTCTTGCACGTTCTCTAAAGTCCGGAGGCGTTCGCCAACAGTGGCACACAATTCATTCCATCGCTTATCAACGGATGCGATCTCCTCTTCTAAAACTGACAAATCAGCTGTCACCTCCTTGTCATTGCATATGTCCGTGTGGCGAGTGGATGTTTCTGTGAATGTCTGATGTTCTGACATGTGTAGCAGAATTTCATGTTGTAAAGTCTGTTGAAAACGAAACAAATATACTATTCAAAGTGCAGTTCTGAATGATATAGGCATGAAACTAAAATCAAGAACAGTACCAGCCCAATAAATTGGTCTGATAAGTTTGTTTCATCGCCAGTTTGCTGAATAAAGTTAATCACTTCTGGTATACAAAAGCATCACAAACACTTCGCAGATAAGGTTAAATAACGCATAGAACATTCTCGTTCAACTTTCCTTTAACATCACTAGATTTGTTGAACGATAATGTCGCCTGTATTATTACTTAACCTCAAATATTTCGATAGAAATAAAATACGTGAAAACTTTTTAAGCCGAAAACGCTTGGCGATATCAATGATCGTGGATATCGCACCATGTGATCCTCCACAATTGTGTCATGAACCATTAAATCTCAAGATCTGACACCCAATTCTCCTTTCTAGCTGCTATACACCCGCTAGGAATGTGCTTTAGAGAATTGAGCATTGCATCGAAAAACAAAACCCAGATGATTAGTTAGTCTGTAATCGTCACATCTTTCAGTACGTTATAAAAGAGATAAAAATTTGAGAAGAACCAATATGTCGATCGCAGCAGTAAGAGCCTTGAAGTATTCAGTTCAGTCTCAAAACCAAACTTACCTCTAACAGCTCAATTTGTTGTGTAGTACTCTCTTCATCTTCCGGGATCTTTTCGCAACTTTTCAAACGCTCCTCTGATTCTGCTAACCAGTTTGTGAAGGGTTCAAAACTGTTGACATATTTGCTTGCAGAAGGTTCTACGTTCTTCAGCTTCTGGTTTCGTTGACTGATATTTTCAGAGAGTTGGTTCCAGCGAGTATCAAGATCTTCAAGCTTCTGTTGCAGATTGTCTTTCTCACGTCCAGGTTTCATACTGTCCAGCATTGCTTTTCCTTTTTCCATAACGTGTTCGTGAACTGGCATGTGCTGTTCAACATCTTTTTCAAGCACCTAAAGAGATGCAAGAAAAGAAATCAATGGCTACCCTAGAACTCTTCCACGACAGGCAAATTAATTATCCTGGGAAATATAAAGGGGGAGGGGGGAGGGGGGAGGGGGGAGGGGGGAGAGGGTGTTTTCCTAATACCTGTACCTGAACAGCTAAAACAAAAAGACGTCAAGGAGGTAAATTATAACAGAAGGAAAGGGCACTACTAGGGCTCAGAACGATTTGGACAGCTCAGTGGCTAACTTGAAACCATGAACCGGAACCAATTGCGCTCCATTTACATTATAACTTATGATTCCACTCGTAAGATTATAAGAGAGGGCTGAGCGAACCCTTGCACCTTTCATATTTCTGTTCATTCCCCACTGCATATCTTTAATGCGCATAATTTCACGCATGATTTGCTGCGCACACATCGAAAAAAATTGAATTATGGTGGAAGTTTTTAGAGAGCATTACCTCGTTAAAGAGTATGGTCCCTTTTTTATCTTTGAAATGACAAATAACCTCTTTTTTTTCCCTTATAAACGAGCGTGGAGACCCTGTGAGTTACTAAGACAATTACAAAAACCAGTGGGCAAAGCCTGACAGAGGAATGAGCTTAAGTAATTTACCTGCAGCTTGTCTTGTTGGTCGACAATGACCTTGTGTCTGGCTGACACCGGTCCTTGAAGGTTCAAAAGGTTTTCAGTAGCCGCTAGCCAGCCACCGAACTCATCCAAGGAATCTTTAAGCTCCTGACTTTGCAGCAGTGCCGTCTGAAACTCGGTCTGTCGTGCGTCGAGGAGCGAAATAAGCTCGTTCATCGGTGGCTCCACTTTTTGCAACTGTTCGTCCAGGTCTTTGTTGATGGTAGGGTCTTCACCACTGAGCTCTTTGATTTTGTCCGCTAAAGCCTTAGTGTTGTCTAATGACGTTTCATTCGCTTGCACTTCATCTCTTACATTCTGTAGATACCACAAAATAAAGAAACGTTTGCCACTCTGTTACAAATGCATTACTTACATTTGTTTTCATGGCTGCTGACACACATCACTGTGGTTCTGGTCTTTCAATCTACAGATCCAAAAGCTATTTCTCCTAGCCCTTTATCAAAAAGTTCTTGGTTGGCTAGCCTTTTTCATGTACCTTATCTACAGTCTGCACGACATTTCTTTACTATAAGTGTGACTGAGAAGATTTCCTTTCCCATCACTAACGGAAGTTCACTAGTTCTTAAGCAAAACAACGACGCGCTTCCCCTCAGGAAGAGATAGAGAGTCAATAACGACAAAATGCAAACACACTACAAAAGACAAACCTGGAGCTTGTCCAGCTCTTTTCTAATCGTCTCAGGGTCACCGCCAGTGAGATCTAATGACTTTACCCGTTCCGCTCCCTCTGGCAACCACTTTTCGACCTTCTCAATCTGTTCCAGGAATTCTCCATACAATTGCAGGCTCTTCTCAACTTTCGAGCGTCGAAGCCTGAGACTGGACCTGAGATCACGTTGCTTGTGAGTGACTTTAGCCACTTCCGTCTGTACCTCGGTACCAGGCTCCGACTGAATGTCCATGACTCGCAAAAGCTGCTGGCTTGACTTCCTCATCAGGCGTACTTGTTTACCGCTCTCTTCCATTTCTTTGATCATCGTCTATGCATTCGAGGGAAGGAATTGAAAAAATTGTTTTAGTTGTTTTTTCTATGCTTCAGGTCAACTTAACCAGAAATAATTTTGTTTTACTTTTTGGCAGCATTAATTTCTCAGGCTCTACTCTTTTGACTCCGTTCTAAGTCACCAATGAACGTAAAAATACCACGAAAATGAGCCAATAGTTTAAGTCATGCAGTTATAACACCTTTAGAGCGAAATGGGCAAATATTTCAATTACAATATGAGGTGGAAAGGTTGCAAAAATTACGAGACGTTTTCGACTTTTGTAGTCATCATCACGATGATGGAAGAGGCACTACGAGTGTCTTAGGAAAGTGCCTTGCCCAACAGGTGTGGACCCTGGACCTTTCTACCCGTAGCCCAGTGCGGTCAGCAATAGGCCACCGTGTCTGTCTGGAATGGGTTAAAACGTTTTACAGTCGTATCTCACTCACATCCACTTTGCCAAGTTCATCTTCGCCTTTGTTTAAATCGACCGGGGCCTGAGCCTCCACGGAGGACTCAACCTGAAAGAACACCTCTTGAACAGGCTCTAGCTGTGCCTTGTAAGCTTCTAGATGTTCCTGGGCACTCTTCAAGTCCTGCTCACGTGACTGAAGTCTCTCCAGTAGGTCTAGCATGGGTGTTTGGACTTCAGCTAGTGACTTGTTGATGTCATGAGTGGCCTTTAGGTCGTCTTTCCTTTCAGAGCAGATGGTTGTCGCAGCTACCTCGGCTGATGATAAAACGCCAACCTGGGCATTGGCCTCGGCTTGGAGCTCCTTGATAAACGATAACAGAAAATAATGAGTCACTTGCAGAGGTTTAAGGAGAAAGACGCTTTTTTCATCACCAAAGGCTTACGTAAAGGTATCGCACAAAAGACCAACTGAAAAGTTATATTACTTGTAAAATCGTATCGAAAAATCCAGCGTGGCATTGCTTCAGCTTAACTTCGGTAAAGGAACAGTACAATTTTTTTTTCACACTTCAGGGAGTTTGCTTGTTTTAACTTCGAGTTACGGTAGGCAATTTAATCGTCATTCGGATTTGCCATGAGCCGACCAACTAGATTTGTGTTTAGTTTTGATTTTAAGATAATGAATCGACATACGCTCTGAGTGAACTTACTTGCACTTCTTTCAGCTGCTTTGTAATAACCTCTGCATCGTTATGAATAGGTCCCAAGCTGTCGAGTTCCTTGAATGCGCCATCCAAGTACACTCTCAATTCCCCGGTGGCTGTCACAAACGTAGTCAATTCCTTCAGAATTCTCTCAAGTTTCACCATCCTTTCATTAGCATCTCTCCGTAGAGCGATGCACCGCTGAGTGAGCGCAGACAATCGTTGTTTGACAGGCATCAGATCCAAGTGAGCTTTGCCTTCGTCTTTAAGTTGTTCACCTAGTGATTCAAGCTGGGATTCCAACTCAGAGATTTCGCCTTGGATAGCCTGCGCATGGAAATGCATAGGGGACTATCAGTTTTTTCACAAAAAATTGCCTGACGGTTTTTCTAGTTTGTGATGTTAACGAGCGACGAACGAAAGGGGGGGGGGGGTTGTAAGGTTAGGGGGGATGGTTCAGTGGAACTCAAATACAAGAAGGACTTCAAACTACCTTCTCCTTGACCTTTTTGAATTTATTATGAGAAACCACTTGGTTTTCATGGGGTTTACCAAGAGCTTGCTTACCTGCATAAGTAACCCACACATTTATAGTCGTGTATATCATCTCCCCAAACTACTCAACAGAATTCTGTACCTTAACAGTCTCAAGCTTTTTCTTTCCAACGTCAATATTTACTCCTTCGTAATCACAATCCTCCATTTTTCTCGCCACTCTTTTAAGTTCGTTTTCAACTGGTAGCAGCAAGCCTCTGTACTTCTTCGCCACCTGCGAAGCTTCCGCTACTTGACGCCGTCTCTCCTGATAGAACTGGTTTACCTGGCTCCATCTGTCAATCATTTCTTTGACGTCATCCTTTATTTGCATCACTCCTTCGGTGACGGACAGATCTTCGCAGCTTTCAAGCAGGTCATCTGAACTGTCCACAAGAGAGCGGTAGATTGGGCGATGTCCTTCTATATCCTCCTGTAAGAACTGCTGCAAGTACTGTTCAAATGAAAGTAAAGTTTTAGTTCCATATAATAATCCTTTAAATCCCAAGATCTGATTGTTAATTCTCCCCTCTGAGGAACATTAACTTAGATTCACAAGTCGACTAGTCTAGTTAACCCTTTAACTCTCATGAGTGACCAAGACAGAATTTCTCCTTACAATATCAATACAATATCAAGCAGACAAGTGATGAGAATAAAAAAAATATCAATTAGGGGATTATAAGTCGATCCAATTCCAAATTCTCCAAACTAACATCACAAGAACTATTTGGCAGACAGTAAGGAGAATTACTGATGAGATCTTGGGAGTTAAAGGGTTGAATCAAGATAATTTGGTTTTATCAACTGAGTTGATAATATCAACTAGCCACCGTTAAGAGATCCCAAAGCTGACTCTTCAAGGTGGCCAATTTACATCAACAACTCAGTTGTCATAACCAAATAATCTTGTACTTCCCCCCTCCCCCTCTCCCCCTCTCCCTCCCCCTCTCCCCCTCCCCCTCCCCAAACGAAACTTACTCCCTTTCCTTCTTTAGCCCTTTAATCGTCTGCGAAAATGTTGAGTTGCTCTTTTCGTCTTACCCGAAATCATTTATGCGACGTCAGATTGACAGTTATCCCGAGTTAACTGCACAAAACCAATATGCTGACATTTAAATCCCCAGAGTACATGGGGAAAAGATTAGGGGTAATAAGCACTTCAGATAAAAAAAATGTACGTTTTACAGAATTATCACCCATTTACCTTAAGAAATGTTTGCTCCCTTATCAGCGCATGTTTTTCACAAACAATCATCGCGTTACAATCTGCAACCATCTGTTCGGTCTCTGTTAGCCATGGAAGTAAATCACTGACTGAATCAGAGTATTTCTGAGCCAGTGGTACAATTTCCTCGAGTTCCTCCTGCCTTTCTGTTGTGCTGTAAAACACTTCCGTCCACCGGCTTTCGACGTCATTCAGGTCCTTTTGAAGAGCTTCACGGTTTGGGCCTGGGGCAGTCTTTTCCAGGACCTCGCGACCGAGTTTGAGAAGTTCGTTGAACACAACCTCTCTCAAGGTGATCTCAAGGTACAGACCCTTAAAATAACAAAACATAGTAGATAAATGGGATGTCCTGGATGCGAGATAAAATGTATGATATTGCACGCATATTGGGCATGACGCATAGACGTAACAAACATTTTTCGCAAAAGAAAACAAATGCCCCATATAAGAACCAAAAGCATGAAACTTTTTCAACCAGGAGAAAGAGTGGTCAGTGCTAATGAACATCCTCACTTTTACTTTTTTATTCATAATTACCTCATGATCTTCTTTCTGTCGTTGAACCACCTCGTAAATGGCACTGATGGGCTCTAGCTGAGCAACGCTCCTTTCAAATTCATTCAGATTGTTTTGAGCTTCACTCAGTGACAGTTGAAAGTCTTGACTATTAATGACTATGTTTTGCAGACGGGCTTGTCTTTGTAGCACAACAGAGTGTAGGCGTTCAAAGGGCTCTTCCACCGCGCTGAACTTCTCTCTTAGTTCAGCAACAAGAGTAGGATCATCTTTTTCTGCTACTATGAGGTAATCAGTGATTTCTTCGAGCACGTCAAGCTTTGCGCGGTATTTCTGGAATTCGTCATTAAGACCCTGAAAGCAAAAACAAAGATTGCGATGGGTTTAATGTCGACTGCAAAAATGCTCCCGCAAAACTGGTATCAGATAACTTCAAATAGGGATCATTAGGGGACACTTTTCGTAGTCCTGAGAGTGTTACCTTAGTGTTAGCCAGTTGTGCTTTGGCCTCGTCGCTGTCTTCACTGATGGGTAATAATCCGCTGATCGTTTCTGACATTCCTTCCAGCCACTTCTCGATTTCGCGATGCACCTCCATGAACAGAATTAGCTTCTCCACGTGTTTTGTCAATCGAACCTGTACACAAAAAATATACAGTAAGCTTCTTTTTGTTGTTGTTTTTTTGTTAGAGGATTGCACCTTATTGTAGATATTATGGGATGTTGTTTGTTGTGCAGAGTAAACGTTCGCACCATTTTATGATTTGCCTTTCACGCAGCATCCATAAATGTCCACAGTTGACCAATATCAAAAGCTACAAACTACAAAGTACAAAGGTGAGAATGCAATGCAGAAACGTGTTTTTAAAGCGTACCTTTTGGCGTTTTAACTTGTTGACGTTCATCTCATATTTCTGAGACACAGTGGCCAGTTCTTCAGCTAAATCCACAGCTTGTTCGACCCGTGGAGGGCCTGACATTTCGACCACCTCCAGATCAGCTTTCTGTTCCTCAAGAGTGCTCAGAAGTTCCTGCGAGTGGAAATCATTTACGTGTCAGAAAGGAGGCTGTTTTTCAGTGGAAGTCGAATATCATCAAGGTTTGGAGCGGTTTGTCTTCACTCCACGCCGTGATTGGTCCAGAAAACTTTTCCTTCTTTTAAATATATCAGGTTAAAAAACTTAACCTTGTAACCTCTTAGAGTGACTATTACCTAATTTCTCCCCACACTACCACCCCTAAATCACACATTAAGGTAACAAGAACAAAGGAAATGATCACCGATGAAAGATGCTCTCGACTGTTAAATAAATTCTTCTTGTCAGCGTCTAGGGAAATGTATAAAGAACACTAAAGGGAATGTGCATACTGGATATGCAAACTATCTACTTCTAGTTCTGATTGAATCCTTTTGACATTTATCTTTGTTCTCAATGGCTTTTGTGATAACCTCGGGTTCAGTTTCAGGTTCAGTTTGCAAAACCAATAACACTATCGAGTTGACTACTTGTTTTGCGTTACTGAATTGTTCCTTAACGTTTTAAGTAATTTTATTTTGAACGTCACTTGTTAAAAGAGAAAATGTCACCAGACTCAACCTACCTCAACTTTCACTAGTTCTTCTTTGCCCTTTTCCACGTCCAACCCGATAGCGGGCTCAGACTCAAGATAACTGTCAACTGCGATAAACGTCAACTCGACAGGTTCCAGAGCCTTTTGGTATGGTTCAATACTCTGTTCAGCAACCCGGGTCTGCTTCTCTAAATCAAAGTTTGCCCTGGAGAGCTTATCGTAGCGCGTATTAGCATCTTGAACTTCATCTATAATGTGTGACGTGTCTACAGTGAGAGAGCTGTTCTCACAAAAATCAATTAGGGCCTTTGAAGCCATGTTTAACATTTGATGAACACCCTTGTGGTTCTCCACTCCTTCTACGAATGCCTGAAACAAAATTAATGAAACGTTAAAATCCTAATGAAGAAAACAAAATTAGAGGATGAAGTCATTTTTAAAAACGTTGGTATCCAATATCTAAATAATTTCGGGTTTCAAATGCGATTTCAGTCTCTTTTTCTCCACATAAATTGCCAGTGGTTTGAACTAACAAAAAATAAGTGGGAAATAGAACTCTTTTCTGCTTCAAAACTCAAACTGCTTTAAACCGACAGACCGACAGACCGACCAGGCGAACGATCGACCGACCGACCAGCCGAAAAACGGACCGACAGACTGATTAATTGACCGACTGACAAAATTATTGAGTGAATGACTGACCCACTGATTCACTGACCGACCGTGCGACCAAATTACCTACTGACTCACTGAATAATGACCGACGTTGGCTAACCTTACCGGAAAAACTAAAGTAACTCTCCCTCTCTACCGAAAAAGTCGAACGCCACCACGTCACCGAACGACTATCGTCAAATTTATGTTACCTGTGCTTCAGCTTTGTGACGAGCAGCACTCTCATCGTCACGTGGTACTTTCTTCAGTGACTCCACTTTTTCTTCTGCGCCTTCCAAATAAAGAGTAAACGCCTGAAAAACCTCACTGTATTGCTCTGCTAGAGGCTGGAGTGAGTCTAAAGTTTGCTTTCTTTGGGTGGATTTTTCCGTCACGGCAGCGAAGCGACGGTCGATGTCTGCTAGCTTGTACTTGAATATGTCACGCTCTGGCCCGTTTGGCATAGATGCCATTGCATGGTTGGCGTTACTATCAACCTGTTGGATCACTGGCTGTTCACTGGCAATCTCTTTACATAACACCTGCAGAAATAAAAAGGCATTGGTCGGATTGATATTTAAGCATCTCTTTCTTCACTTGTCCAACGGTTTATGCGCCACACTTCGGAGTGAGGGATTTGAGTGCCTCGCTCGTCTCCACCCAAGAGTACAAATAGTATTGGCCACTTGTCAGAGAGGCCTGCTGAAACTTGCTGGGAGTAAAACGAAGACTTCTTCTTTTACATCAGTGTCGCAATAACCACTTTATGCTATGCACAGATATTGGAAATAAACAAAGGCATTTACAAAGTAACTAATAATACCCCACCTCTTGATCTTGTTTCTGTCTGTTGACTTTCCCAGGCTGCACTACGATGGGTTCCTGTCGATTCAGTGTCTTCTCCATTTCCACCAACCAACGAATGACGTCAGCAAGCGACGCGTCAAGCTCCTGGGACTGAACAAGCTTCACCTGAAGTTGGCCAACTCTCTCCACCACCGCAGCGGAAAGTATTTCGTAAGCCTTTTGTAATGGGTCCAGTTTGGTGGCGACCACATCGTCTATAGTCTGTTCCTCAGGACATACTTCAACAAGTCTGTGACCACAGTCTTCAGCGGATATTAACAGCGGTTTCTTTTCCTCTAAAGTGTCATGCAAATCCTGTAGCATGGAAGGAAAAATTTGCAAATTTATTTAATTTTTCGATTACTTATGCAGCAAACGGGTTTCCGTCTCACCATCAAAATGACCCAGGGTCTATTTGAGGCTTTAGTTACTTTCCGGTTCGAAGAAAAACTTTCAAACAAGCTCCAGAGCAAACCGTAAAGGACTGGTCTAAGATGGTTTTCATAAAATACTTCAAAATTCTTTGGAGAAATTGACCGAACAGAAAACGACAGACATCATTTCAGTATGTGCTAGACAAATATAAACAATTCAAAATTCTTGCCTCAGCTTCCTTCAGTTGTTTTTTGATTCCACCCAGATTAGAGGAAATAGGCTCGAACTGCTGAACTGCGGCTGAAACTTTGGGCAGCCAGGCTTCAAATTCAAAAATAGCAGTCTGGAAATCCTCTGCATTCTCGATCACCTACAAGTTGAATGGAAAGATGAAAAATTCATCATCCGCAGTAGGGTATTTCATTTCACAGTTTCTTGTCGAAGACGAAATTTAATGGTGTAATAAAGAGTTTAAGAGAAATCCTTTCTACAGTCTTTCTTTTCAAATACAACTAGACGTCCTCTTGGATACTTGGAAAAACGAACAGTTTTCTTTATCAAGTGCAATCATCAGGAAAATTAGCTGGTGTAAAAGCAGCTTCACGAAACAATAAAACTGCCTCATCACTAGCCATAGTTCCATCAAAAACACTACAATCTAAAGAAAACTCAACAGTGAACAAGGTTTGAAAAAAATCGCAGAAGAATGACAAAAACCGTGTCTGCCGTTGACATCGTAAGCGGTCAGCGCTAACTCAGTTTCAAAGGGAATAGTTCTCTGACTTGACAGTATTGCTTGTCAACAGATGCAAAACTGGCAATGGAAACTTAACAAAGCTAAAAGATCCCTGCACCTGTTCGAGTTTAAGTTCTTCTGCCCCCAGTTTGTCGTAAAGGTCTTTATAAGAAGCATTCAAAGCAGAGAGCTGATCCTGTACGGGCGAAGAGTTCACCAGTTGATGATCCACGCTGTGAACAAGCTTCTGGCCAGCCTCATTGAGGGAATCGACGTCATCTTTACCATTCTCAAACACCGACAATAACGTCTAAACGAAATCACAATCAAATAAGAAACGTGTTAAAAAAGTGAACGTAGGAGGCAAATGATAGAGATCTCGAATTCCGACTCACCTTTACTGTGTCTCTGTTGGCTTTCGCTTTGTTTACATCTGCTCCTAATTCACTTGGGGAAGCCAAAGTGGTTTCGGCGCGGTTCAACATGCGTTTGACTTTCTCAGCAGCGTCTTCGTACTGCTTCAGTTTCTGATGGACATTGTCAATCTCGCTCTTCTTGGTCTCCACGACAGCTGTCATGACTTGCCAGCGATTTGATACTTCTTGGTTGAGCATTTTGATGGGTTCCAATCCTTCTGTGATGTTAGCTGCATCACAAGCGTTGCTGAGGGCCGTCGCCGCTGAAATGAAAAACTCGTAAACCGGTGCGTGGTTTTTGACGTCCTCTTGAAGAGCCTAGAAGCCATAACAAAAATTAAACGTTAGCCAATGATAAAATTTAAAATTATTTCTTCCTTCCGAAGAACGGACTTCATCTGAGAATTCTCGATAAGAAAAATAAGGAAACATAGGAGAAGATTTAGACTCAGATCCTAGTCCGCAAAGCACTGCATCACTATTTTCTTGTTTTTCTTGTTGTCGTTTTTACTAAAATCGATCAAAAAAGAAAGTCTGATGGAAAAAACCCAAGCCATACTCAAGCAAATCAAAGTTCTCACCGTTAAATTCTTGCGTTGACCATTCAAGCTTTCGAAATTGCAAAGAACTGGAGTGAGGTTGATGACTTTCTGTTCTGTCTCTCTGAGCCAAATGTTCAATGCGCGGTACGCGTCATCGTAGTTATGGGCCAATGGAAACACTTGCTCAATGACAACGTGTCGATTGTCGCTTCTAACTCGCACTCCTTCCCAAAGGGAACGGGTGGCTACCACACGGGTTTCAAATTGTTTCTTATCCGGGGCTTCCTCAGCTTTGCCAAGAAGACTCTCTGCAGCTGGGAAGAGGTAGTCGGAGATTGGGCGAAGGCGGCCTACTTCTCGAGTGACGATCTGGAAAAGGAAAACGTGTCTCAACTTGGCTCGATGAGTTGTGCTTTAAGGCAAGGCACTTTACCCTCACAATACCTCCCTCCATCAAGGACGATAAAGGAGAATACATGGGTACCAGAGAGCTGTGAGACGGAAACTTAACGTTGGACTTGCATCCCAACACTCCAGGCCGCTCTACGCTACAGATACTGGAATAAGCTAAGGCGGTAAAGAACCTCAAGGCTCGTTAAACTTAAACATTCCGTCGCACAATAACTAACCTCATGAGATGCTCTCTGTTCTTTTATGACGACAAACTCGGCTGATACAGGTTTAGCTCGAGTCAGAGACTTGTCCAGCTTTACAACCCTTCTGTCAAAGTCATCAAAGGTGTCAAACACTCGTTGTTTCTCCGTCAGCGCCGTTTCGAGTCTTCGGCGACGATCCGTCAATTTCACCGTCACTTCGTTGATGGTCGACTTCGCTCGGTTGATGCTCGAGTGAACTTCGCTGATGACTTCGGGTTCGCCGTTGTTTTCTCTGATGATCCATTCGCCAGTCTCTTCCATAGTGTCAATTTTTCTTCGATGAATGACAACCTCCTCTTCCAGATTCTAGCAAGATGAAACAGAAACTACTTAACGTTTCGAAAGATAGCTTAATTTAGTTACTCCTTTTTCTACTTTATTGCTTTTGCGCAACAAGGAAACTAACAGTTCTGGGAAATCTCTCGCAAGGAACGTAACATTTAAGGTCTTCATAAATGAGAAAGTTAACAATCAGCGTCAGCATAATGTATGCGAAGAAAGACTCCAAAGTTTATCGCCTTGCAACGAAACCACTGAGTTTAGAACGAGTTATGTGAAGGGCTATATAGTGAATACATTAGCAATTTCGAAATTTTATGTAGGACTTCCCTACTATGACAACCTTTAGGAAAAGGCCACAGGGCAAAAGCGCGTCATGAGAGAGTTTTAGATCCACGTTTGGTGTGTTCACCGCAAACGTCAAATCGCGGTCAGCAGTTTGTGGTTAGAAGTTTCGAGACTTTCAGCTTTTTAGACCGACGTCGGCTTTCACCTGGAAAAAAAATCGATATGTGCGCCGCCATCTTGAATTACACAAAGGATAGAGGTCCTTCATTTCAAATACAAAATGTGGCCAAAAGATTGGTTTTCTAGCATCCCAAACAGATTGGTTATGAAGTAAAGACTTTACCTCACATATATTTACAGGACATACGCGAGAACTTTCGAACAGGAAGGAAAAAAGCATCAATGGAGTTCAACTACCTGAAAGTGCCTTGCCCGAAGTTCAAGCGTGGCCGGCAAACGGCGAACGTGACCGCTAGAGTCTTTTCACGTGACTCTTAGCAGTATTCAGAGACAAGCGTGGATCTAAAACTCTCTCATCAGTCAACAGACAACGTCAGTCGGCAACCTTTGATGGTAGAGGTAAGCTATTCTTTAACGTACCTGTACGTGTTGTAATTGGTCCCGGATGTTGTCTAAGTCTGTGACAACGACCTCAACTGAAACAAAACTCATGATACCCATCACTTTCGTCTCAATCTCATTTCCAGCTCCCTGGAAAACTTCCACGGTCCGGATGTACTTCTCCAGTTTGACTTTTCTCTCTTTCAAGCGAATCTGTCGAGAGAAACGATGCAAGCTCCTCAGCACTGGTATACTGTTGAATTCAGTATCCTTCTTCTGTCTACAAACTGCTATGGGTGGATTTTTAACCCTTTAATCAAATATGACTGATTTCTAATTTCTCTTTACAGTCTCACCCTTGAATCAAACGTAAAGTTGACGAGAATCAAGGAAATGATCACCAATTAAAGATGCTCTTGATTGTTATACAAACTCTCCTTGTCAGTTCTTTAGGAACTGTATAGAGAACAGTATGGAGAATATGCATCTTTAAGTTAGGGTGTATCGAGTAAAGGGAAGATAGACTATGCCGGAATAGATTAAGTTTCTGTCTTAATCACCTGCATGACTCTGTTGTCTTTGATAATAGTGATGATATACTCGTTGTTGGTAACCTGCTTGGACAATCTCAGTAACTTTATTTCCGTCTTTTCCAACACGTCAATGCATTTCTGTTGACAAAGACCCACACACATCCATGAACTTCAGTTAATTGCCTCCGAAACGAAAAATTTCTCAAAAACACTGTGACTGTTTTGTACTTACGTTAACTTTGATGAGTTCTTCCTTAGCTTGTCCGATGTTAAAGCCGACTTTAGGCTCGGTTCCCAGAATACCCTCTGCTTCAGCCATGACTTGTTGCATCGGTTGTAACGCTTCTTGCACCTGAAGCCAAGACAACATTAGTTATTTTTTTGTTTAGAAAAAAAAAGGCCAAGTATGAACCCTTGTAAAGGGGGAATCTAGCTATCAAATGTTTTTACACAGTTTACGTTTCATTGTTTTGTTGTTTGTTTGTTTGTTTGTTTGCTTAATTGCTGGACTGCCTCACTGCTTTTCTCACTCTCTGAATGACAAATTGAGCAAGAAACCAACTCAGAGTATGCCAGACGGAATTAATGAAAGGCTGACTGACTGACAGAAAAAAAATTCACAAAGACACGCATTTCTGCAATTAAAGTGAACGTTGCAAGAGTAAAAAAATGCACTTTTACACAAAGTCGGTACACACCAATGCAAGGGTCTTGTTGGAATTTCTCAGTTCTTTTTCTCCACCGAGCACTTTCGTATTTAACGCCTCCCATCGTCTCTTAACCTCCTCCACTTCACCGATCACCATGACAACGTCGTTATTGATTAACAGCTCATGACACACGCCAATCAAAGCCTCGGACATGGTCAAAAGGTTCTGGAACACTGGTCTGTGGTTCTCCATGTCCTCACGCAAAGCCTGTCAAACGAGAGTTAAATCTTAAAGATATATTTAAATTTTGTGTCACAGTTTGACGAACCTAACGAAGCGTAAGAAATTTGGCCTAAGCTCCGTGCTAAAATAGAAGAAAAAACATAAATAAGTAAAATAAACCCCAAGTCACCTTGAGTTGTTCTTGTTTCTGTGACATGATTGTGAGGTCGCCTACGTCACCGAATCCCAAAGCCAGTTCGTCAAATTTCTTCTCGCTCTCGCTTAACCACGTGATCACCTCCTTTCGCACTTCCACGTAGCCAAATACGCTCGGTACCAGTTTACCAAGACTCCTATTCCGCTCGTCAATCCCCGCTCTTAAGCTTTCCCAGCGGTTTTTCACATCCGCAAGTCTTAACTCTATGTTGCTTTTGTCGGGTATGGAGTCTGCCCGTGTTAGCATGTCAAAACCTGCTTTTCTGAGTTCTTCGTACAGAAGAGCATGGAGTTCGATGTCTTCTTTGATGACCTTAAAATTCAAAGCATTTGCTATCAGTTCCATACTAAAGATATGGTCGTTAAGATTATGAAACTGTGACAAACTGACCGTGGCGACAATTTGCTCCGCACGACATGAAGAATACTTTCCTTACATAGTTGTCTCTACGAGAGTATATTCTACCTGCAACTGCTTTTACAAATTCTACCTGGTTTGAATTTATGGGAAAATCGCAACGACTACTTTTGATAACAGGACATGCAAAAAGGCTTCTCGCCTTGCGTGTCTAACTACTTTTTTCAGATTTATTCTAACGACTGAATCATAATCCAAACCAACTACGTCATTCAGTAGCACAAAAACGAACAACTAAACTGCTTTCACTTGCATGGTAAAACATTTAAGTTACATTCACAATTTGAAAAACTTGAGCCACTTTCCTGAAAAAGCACAAGAATCTGTAATGGAGGCCACATCACAACTGCTGTGGCCATCATTTTTGTCATCGAGGCAAAGCTAACAAACACAAGAAACTAAAAAACCTTTCAACCCAAACAGAACTCAGTCATTCACTTGGGAAAAAGGAAACGTTTTAATGGTTTGTTGTTAAATATATACAGCATACGGAGATAAACCTCTGGCCATTAATTAAGCGCCAAGTTACCTTCAGTCCAGAACCTTGCTTCTTGATCACACTTGGCTTGATTGACAGCATGCCAAGGGCCTGGAATCGACTCTCGGTGTCATACAGCCATCTTTCAAAGTCGTCTAGCGCCTCGTTGAATCCTTGACAGCGGTAGAGAGCAGTTTGTACTTGCGCGATCCGATTTTTGATTCTGTCCTCAATGTTGCAGTACAGATCTGTAACGCTTTGAACTTTGGACTTGGTTGCATCCACAAACTTTTCGTTTTCTTTGTTGTCCTTCATCAGTGCCAGTCCATCCGATTGTAACGAGCCTAATTTGGGGCGTCGCTGAGCTAAAGCGACCTTAGAGGCCTTAAAAAGAAAACATCGAGACACAGTTAAAATTGCCAAAGGTAGGGACAGCGAGTGAACAAAAGGAAATCCTTTCTTTGAGAAGTCAGACCACGAGATTTTGAGAGTTGATTTGGGTTCTTTTAACCCTTTCACTCCCAAGATCTTTTTAGTAATTCTCTCTACTGTCTGCCATAAAAATTCTTAAGATGTTGGTTCGGAGAATTTGGTATTGAGTACCAATTCTTTATTCTCATCACTACTCAGATTGATATTGTAACGCTATTGTGAAAAGACGTTGTCTTGGTCACTCGTGGGAGTTAAAGGGTGAAGAAAGGGCAATCGTGGACAGGAACAGTATCAAGTTCTTTCAATTTTTCAGACCCTTAGCATTCGAGTTTTATCATACTAATGATACTTGGAACACCCCCTAATGCCTAAGAAAAAAGCTCAAAATCGTACGCGAAGTGCAAGCAACTCTAGAAGGTGTGAAAAGTTGAGAAATTCACTATCGCTATAAATTTAAATGATCAGTTTCCTGTAAGAATTATTCTCACCTGAAGCTCAGCCAACTGTCGCTTTAGTTCTTCACTGTCACTACCGACTGATTCATCCGCGATGGCAGCGTCCACGCCAGTTAAGTCCATTTCTAACTCCTGCAGCGCAGTCATGAATTGATCCGAGGAGTTGACTTGCGCTTCAATCAGCTTCTCGCGGTTAAGCAGCTCCAATCGAATCCGTTCGTAACGATCATTGGTTGTTTGCTGATCGTTGCGCGCTTCGCGTGACATCCCGTGGTAATTGTCGAGTTTTTCGGCCAACTCGGCGCCGACCTCGTTCATTCGCTTGACGTCGCGTTCGCGTTTTTCTACAGCTTTTAGGACACCCTGAAGAGAAATCAGAGCAGTTACAGATTAAACGAGGGCAAATTCACCAATGGAAGATGTGCAAATGGTGTATTGGGAAACCACACATTTATCGCTGTACTCTTTTGCTAAATTGTTCGAGAGACAGTTGATACCAGTCAAGGTCCACTGCCTTGGAAAATGCTAAGTTTATCTGAGGGATTTCGTTCGCAGTTAATCCATCATTAACTAATGAATAAAGGGGGTTACGTTTCTGAAGAAACTATGGTGCTACGTAGGTGGGAGAGTGTAACAGTGTTATTTAGTATAATCAATCGAGTTGGCAACACGCTCAAAAAGCCAGCTTTTAAACTCTTTACAGTGGCCAGTTTACGTTATCAACTCAGTTGATAATACTAAATTACATCATTAACTAAGTTAGGTTTGGAATAACCCAGCCTGAGTTACAACTGTAAGAGCACCATCTTTCATACCTTGATGTTCTGTAACTCTTGTTTTGCTATCTCTACGTCGGGCGACACACCAAGATATGATCCTAACTCAGTTTCAGCTAGTGTCACCACATCCTTCACGTTCTGCGAATTGTCGTGGTATTTTTGAGCCAGCGGTAAAACATCAGCGATTTGTGCATGTCGTTCGTTTGTTGTCTTCTTGAGCTCTTCCCATCTCTTCTTCACATCTTCCACTTTGGCGCTGATTTCATCTTGTTTCGGTCCTGGGCCTGACTTCTGCAAGAATTCAGTGGCCTTTCGGACGAGGCTGTTGTAGCTCGGTTCGTGCATCAGTACGTCGCGTCTGTCGGCCTGGACAAAAAGGAAAAATGACATCGCTAAGATAAGTGTTCAAGAATAGTGCAGCTTGTCACTAAGGGTTATCCGAGTTTTGTCGCCATAAAGAAACAAGTGGTCCCGTTTTTACGCGTCGATGAGATTCTTTTCTATAGCGTTTCACCCGACTATTCCCCCACTCCGCCCCTGGGTTACTAAACGCACTTTGGATTTCCTTACAATCTCACCTAACTCAGTTATAATTGTAATTGGAGTTTGGACGTTCAAAGGATAAGAAGACCATGGTACAATAACCACTGCAAGGAGTTGAATCTGATATACTTCCAATACATTCCCGCCAGCTACTGATTGCGTCAAAAATAAAACAGCCACCGACGTGCAAAACTGGAACTAAGTTTTGATAAAAGGTGTTGACATGCTTTGCTCCTCTAGGAAAACCCTACTAGTACGTCCTCATGTGCTTATAACAAACCCTTTACAACTCAAACTTACTGTGATTGCTATCTCCTCGTCTTTGAGTGTGATCAGATCAGGTTTCAAGGGCTTATAGTTCGAGGCCACCTCCTCCGCACGAGAAAGCCAAGAAATAAAATGATTCAGGGCTTCCTCTACAGGTTGATGGTCAACTGGAAGAGCGAACAGTCTCTGCTCCTGAAACACAAAACATGTCTATGAAAGTTTGAAAAAGATATCTAGACCAGATGTCTAAACGTCACAGAGGACAGGCTGCCAAAGAACATGGATTTTCGGACCTTTGACGCAGAGCTGCAATTTTCCTTTTGAAGGACTCGCAAACAACCGAAACATCAATGCCAACTTGAACCATAACACAAATTATAGTCATGAAGGCGGAGCGGGGCTACTCTGAAATCGCTTGAGTGACGATTTCTACCTGTACATGCCACCGATTGGAATTCAAGATCAGCGTCCTGAACAATCGGCTGTGCATGTTATGAAGGGGAAAGAAAGAAGGGCAATGTGCAAACATTCTTTCCCTCGTCCATCGCCCAAGAATAACCAACAAGCTATACAGTTGATACCTGCTGACGTGACAGGGAAGACAGGTAAAGTCTTTGTTCGCGGATTTTTATCTCCAGGACATGGAAGTTTTCTTTGATCATGTCCAGCTTTTCTTGGACATCGCGTGGGATGGCTTCACTCTCGGGTTCTCCGTTTGGTAACCTATGGCGGATAAGACAAGTAATGCTACGAAAACGGGGATGGAGAACAGCTTAAATCAAACATCATATTTTCATCAGTTTAAATGAATAAAATAATAGAATTATTCAAGTAACAGAGTCTTGGTGAACTTGAACAATATTTTATTCAATGTGTCCCAAGCGTTCCGTTCTTTATAAATTCACAAAATATGGTTTTAGACTATTTGCACTAAGATGTCATCTTGTTAATTGTTAAAACACTTTTTCCATCAAGTCGAGGGTTCATAGCTTACTAAGAAAACGTAGGTGGATCTCCTTTGAATTCAAGCTAAGGAAATTAAGGTTCGGTTCACTTACAAGGCGCTTGATCTGTGCGCGTTCCTGATGAGCCAATCACCAGTCAGAGTCGCTGTCGTAAGCAGTGGCTTGTGTTTACTGATCTCTTCGTGAAAAGCCTGTAAAAGAAAAGTAAGCAACGTCATATGAGGCTACAAGAAAATGTTTACCAGCAGCAAATGTTTCCAAAGACATGTCATCCCTGATCTACTTTCTGGAACGTTCGGACAATATTTATTCTGAGAGATTTCGCGGTTATCAACGGCTGTACAGTACTCTCAGGGATTGTTTAAGCACAAGGTATGCGGACAAAATGGCGTGACTAACTGAGCGACTTGGAAATGCCAGTCAAAGAGAGATATCGTCAGTATTTTACATCTTTTGACCTTCAACTCCCAAGCTCTAACTGTTAATTCTCCCCTCTAGCTGCCGACACATTTCTTTGTAAATTAGTTTCGAAACTTTTGGTGTTAGACCAAGATAACTTCGACCTAATAAGTTTGAGTATTCTCGTCACCTGTTTACTGGATAATGTATGGATGTTATAGGGAGAATTTACAAGCAAATCACTTGTGGGAGTTAAAGGGTTAACACTAATTCAGTGTAGCTGAAAAAAGCGAAGAAAAAAACAATTTTCTTTGTCACTTTTCTTACAACTGCAGGCGTCTTTGGGCGCCAAACAACATGTCAAAGAAGACTTGAAAATGTCTTCAGTTTAAGTACAGCTTCGTAAAGTTTTGCGCCATTCTATGTAAATCATATTTGAAATACTGTTATTCTAAAGTGAAAGTAAAAATTTTTTTCTTCCAATTAATATGGATAAAGAAAAAGTGTTTACCTCCAGCTCCTCAAGTCGTTTCTTGACGGCCTGTCCATCTGTGGTGTCTATGTCTATTGCTAGAAGCTCCTCCTTTTTCCCGCCGAACTTGGCAAGAAGCCTTTCAACCGCCAACTGAAACTCATTGGCTTTACGCATGTGCTCGTCGTAATGTTCTTCAAACCGGGTCATCTTACCCTTAAGTGCATCTACCCGACTTGACAGCGCATCCATTTGACTGCGCACCGCTGCCATGTCTGTGGAAGGATCTTGCAGACTCAGGAGAGCTTCCCCAGTAACGTGAGCTCTTTCCGCTGAATTGTTTAGTTCTGATTGTAAGTTCTGGAAAGGAAGACGAGAAAACTCTAAAAAATGATTGCTTCAAATTAAAATACCTCTTAATACTTCTGTGGTTAAGTACTCCAAAGTCCAATATTTATAATTTTCGTCAAAGAAACCAAGCATGAAAACAAAAAGCGGAAAAAGTGTTTACAAAGAATTATTGCATGTTTAAATATGAAATATCAGGGTACAAATATTGCACCTGCGGGTGAAGTTTACTTTCGAAAGTGTTAAAATATATTTCATGTTTATAGAAATTATGCGAAAAAGTTGTTTTTATTTAACAGCGGGTACCTGCCTAAAACGGGCGAAACAAACTGTTCTTTTTGCTCGAAATCGTTAAATTAATCGTTTCTTTGAACGAAAATACAATAAAACTATTTACTTTATGACTCCTTTAGAACAACATAATTTAAGTGCCTGTCATTTGCATTTCGTTTGATTATTATTATCGTCCCAATCCGTGCGATGTTTGATAACGATCAAGAGCGATTACCATTTGAAAAATAATAATCACATTCACTCGAATTTGAAATTTGAAATTCCAGTTCACGTATTTCCAAGTCAAATCACCACAATTAGTAAAACCATACACAAAACCTTGCCAATTTTGTCTTCAATATTTAAGGCGTACCAACTGCATCAGTACTAAATTTAGAAAATTCCTCGAAAGGAAAAGAACGGTGTTTCCAAGATTTTAATAACATCTCGGAGTCCCTACCTCCGGTTGTTGACGATTTTTCGCTTTACTATAAAATTTCTTTTTCCCAGCCTGCAACTCGCCATTGCAATAAAAATATTCGGACGAAATACGATTTGCTCGCGGTAAAGATTGGCCAGACGATCTTCTCACACGGACATTTAAATGTTTGTTCAAACAGCCTTGCCAAATAGTTACGGCGCGAAAATATTCCTCTTTTCCACTTTCTGACACATCGTTAGCTTGTAAATTGAAGGCACGAGGTTTTCCGTCCAAAGATTTTTCCAAGAAACATCCGCAAGTTGATCGGCTCTTTGAGTTGCTTATCATAACTCTTGCAACGGGATTTACGGTACTCTTATTCGTGGGTCCCGTAAATCTGATAAACGTTCCCCCATTCATTTGAGTACGGACTGAAGTCACCTCTTTTCTGTCGCATGAGCATTCTCCGAGCGATCGCCTCGTACGGAGTTTTAATCGCAGACTGCTAATGTCGGCGGCTTCATCAAATCTCGCGTTATTACAATGCCCAAGGCGATCCGTCTTAATTTTGCAACCTCGAGATTCACATTCTGGAAGATTACTCCAATTTTCCTTTTTGTGCATTTTAAAACTTCAATAATTGTGTTGTAAGGTAAGATCTACGTGTTCCTCGGATGAATCGATGGATTTATCGTAAGCATGATTTTATAAACAACTTCCTTCCATTCATTCGCTTGTTCGACATGAAATATCCAGAATAATCTTTGATGATAGGTTCCCATGATGAACAAATCCAGAAATTTTCCTTTTCATTGTGTATAACACAGATCTTTGCTTGGTGTTTAGACGGTTGGTGATGACTCAGGTTTCTCAAAACAATCCAGAGAACCGTTGCGTCTACATAAATTTGCTATCCTAAACACTGCCACTTAATTATACATTCACGACACCGAATTTACATTTGAGACAAGGTCGCCGTCTTTGTTGTTACGGGCTGCGCGAGTTTAAACAAAGAAACAGCTTCTTTCTCAGTGCACTACGTTAAACATACGATCTCAACAAAAAAGCCCTAATCCTGTGTTCCCACTGAGAAAGGAAACAGCGAAATTTTAATGTCATCTCTTGAATATACTGAGAAAAAAAATCATTTTGATTTTTGCAACCAAAAAAAATCAAGTGATGACGTGTTTCTAAGAATACATTTTACAGTAAATTCCATTTTAATAATGTTTTGAAAAGCACATTTGAAAAGTTTCTGATTCAAGATTTGTGAGGAAAGCGTAATTATCTAATCTACGAAAGTAACATTTTCCCTACTTGATAGAAAAGAAATACAATAAATGTCACAACACAAGAACACTCATGATGAAATCATGCGGGACTCATCAGATTCCATCTGCAAATCTTTAAGAACGAAAGGACAGAAAAGGCAATTTCAAAGCAACAGTGACGCGCTGCAGGAATTTCAATGACGAAGAACTTTCGGAACAATATGTTTTGAAAAAGAGAATCTCTAAAGCAGATTTCCTTTTAAGAGGCCTACAAATAAAAATACGAACAAAAGAATTATGCTTTTATTTCCTCGCTTGCTAACATCTCTTTTCACATCGGTCCGTCCTTTGTATTTTGATTCCAGTAATGTAAAATAATTAGCAAGGTTATTCTTTTGCCAAAAATAACCAAACAAATAAAGCGCCTCGATGGAAACCATGCTGAGCGGTCCGTGGGAATTAACCTCCAAAATTCAACAACTTTGATTCTTTACCTTCACGTCAAAAAATTACCAAAAACCAAATTAGCTTGTTTACAAGACTGTCTTCATAAATTAACACCATTGAATATTTTGTTGTAAAGAGAGCATGAAGTAGCATCGCTGTACGTGATGTTCGAATCATCTTTCCCTCTTCCAGTGTTTTTTAGACTTTAGTCGTGTATATTTACAGAAGAGCACTATAAGAAGGCCTTGACAGTTTCTTCCTTAACAACAAACGCAAACGTGAGAAAATACATAAGTTCTTGACAAATCGAAATTTTGCCGGATTTTCTATAAGGAAATGCCAGTTATATAAGGACACAATTAAAAAAACAAAACAAAACCAAAAAAACAACATTTTCAGCATTATTTTCTGTTCATGGCCCCCCTCTATTTTCATGTATTTTATCCAAAAATTTGACCCTTGAAAAGGATCGGACAAAGATACAAGAAAAACTTTGGATCTAGTACAAGAGGAGAATGTAAGTACACGTGCCAACATCACATTTATGTCAACTCAAAATACGGAGACTTTGGCGTTTTTTTCTTTCCCGCTCGAGTACTAACCAAATGAGTTGACTTAAAATTCGAAATACTTATAATAATTGTAATGATGATAATGATAATGAAAATAAGAACAATAATAATAATGGCAATAATAATAATAATAATAATAATAATAATGATAATATCTCTCCTCTCCTCTCCACACTTTAATATACTATTTATTGTATAATTTCTTTTTATTTCTCATAATACAACTGACGATGGATGATATTTCATCCGAAACATGTTTTGTTTTCATTAAAAAATTTTAAAAATGAACTTCAAAAGCGTCGTGTGGTTCATCAAAGCATTAATAATAATAATAATAAAATAATAATAATAATAATAATAATAATAATAATAATAATAAAATAATAATAATAATAATGATACTAATGACTATGATATAATGAAGTTGCAAAGTTTCACGCGGAAATGGAGTAATAACGTGAAAGAATATTTTAAAGGCACTACATTACAGTTTGTTTATCCTTAAAATTCAGCTTAGCTTATTTTCACGCTCGTCAATTTCCATTTGCAATCCGTTTCAATCTTCTCCATCTTCAGCTTACCTACTTCTTTCATGGTGTACTGCTGTCTCTTCTTTGTTCCTTATCTAACTGAACTAATACTTTGAAGTCAATGTAACGGCGCAAAAAATGTCCCATAGAATCTTACTTACAGAGGCCCCTTAGACTTCTAACTTTCTGTGAAAGCCTCACCTTTATCTTCTCAATCTCCTCCTGGATCTTTTCAGGCTCCGCTCCGAATGCACGCTGGGTATTCAGTTTGTCTTCAATTTTAGAAATCACTTCTGACAGGTTTTGTAAGGCATCATGGAAATCGTCCGCCAGAGGCGCAACATTTTCCAAGCTTCTCCGTCGGTCCGCGGTCCTATCCACGATGCTGCTCAAGGCTTCGGTCACGTGATTCACCTCTCTGGAAAGTTCCTCTTTGTCGCCAGGTTGCGCAGTTTCAACCAGGACCTCGCTGACTTTGGTGAAGTTTTCAATGATTGGTGCTCGATCAGCGATTTCGTTTTCAATGTCCTACGAGAAAAAGGGAGGGATCTTTTTAAAAACTTGTGGTGTTTTTCTCACCTTAAAAATGTTAGAAATTTTACATATGGAAATAAAAGGAATGAAAGTATTTTATGCAGTTATCATTTCCCACGTAAGTGATTTAAGGATTCAGTGAAGTTAGACGCTAACAGGTAGAATTTTTATGAACAGATTAGAATCAAATGATCAATAACTGTGCATTTTGTTATTGCTCGTCCTAAAAGTTGTTTGTAATGAAAATATCAGATTGTAATCCTCATACTCGAAAAGGAATCCCGTTTTATGAACTTTTAAAAAGTTTAATTTTATCGTTGGTTATGTCTGTTACCCTCGTGAACGCGTTTAAAAATAAACACTCAGCCGAGTATCAGTCATTTAAACGCTACTATTAGATTCTCTCGTTAACAACGACTGTATTTAATTCAGCTGCAAACAAATGAGGAAAGAAGTCGAAAAATAAATGAAATCTTGAAAATCACAGGTTCATATGAGATTTACAAAACTTTTACGAGTATGAGTTGGCTCAATAAGAAGATCAAGAAATGAATGATATTAGCTACGGTTAAAGCATATATGTAAAAAGGAAACTGATATAAACATGACAAACAAAATGTAACAGTAATAGAAAGGGATGTAAAGTGAAAATAATTTGTGATGTGAGAACAAAGTAAAAGATGAAGGTTGCACGAATACAAGCTGAAATCAAGTAAAAGAAATAATTAGCTGCAAGGAAAAAAGTAAACATAGACGAAGCGAATACATGAAATGAGTAACTGAATTGAAAGTACGTGTAGCAGCAAGATCATAAACACGACTGCTAGAATTGGCCAGAAGTACGCGAGTAAGATGTGGAGGCTTCCTTAGAAGTGCACAGTGGAGGTATGATTCATCAGAAAACAATCACTACATAGCCGACATACACTGATAACGGACAAAACAACAAGGTTATTCCATATACATAAAACACCAGTATTAGATATGTGGTGCTAACATAACATGCAAATTGTGTAGTACATTAATCAATTTTTGATCATCAATGGAATAGGACGCGTCAAATCACATTGCAGATGCCTCAGAGTGAACTTTGAACTAACGCAACTACAGTGATAGATGGTGCGATAAGCAAAAGGCATAGATGAACCAAGATAGCTTCAAATGAAGCCACAATTTACTTGCTACTAATTTCATTTTTATCAAACGTCCATGCAAATTTTATTTTATTAGCAATAAATAGGTTTTTATTACAGTCTATCTTGTTTACAGATTATCACATTTAGGATCGCATCTCAGTGTAGTTCCAAGTTTTTCCAAGGTTGACTTTCTCGTTACGCATGCAAGCAATGACAACAAATCTTGTTTAAAGAGGTTTAGCAGAGGTAGAGAGAAAAGAGCCAGAAATGGCCTCATGGCCGATATCCACAAGCACCGTGCAAATTACTCGGCATACAATGTTCATGCAATTCCCATCATGCAAATCAACAAATATTCTGCGTGAGAGGAATACCTTGATTTCTTGCAATTGCGTCTTGATTTCATCCACTTTCCACGAAACGGCCCTCATCCAGCTCAACTTTTTCAAAGTTGTGAGCATCCACTGCAGGAAATTCTCCAGAACAAAATTAAACCGCATGTGTCTTGAGCTGTAGATGAAGATCAACGATTTGTGCTCCAATACATATTGATAAAGTGTTTCAATAACGACAAGGTAACGTTGTACGACGGTTGTTTGGTATGGAATGGACACTCGCCGGGAAGATGTAAGCTCAGCTTGATTAAAGACAGCGGATTCAGGTGTGATTGTTTCCACAGTTTCAGTTTCCTCATATGGAACCACTTCCTCTACTGGCCTTTGCATTCCGATCGTCCCTTCAACACTTCCATGATGCACAGTTCTTGTTACTGTTCGTGTCACAACTCTTCTGATCCGTACACCGTGTTCGTCAACATACTCTTCAAATTCTTCTGGCGCGTCATGTTCTGTGTGGGATATTGTTGTTGGTGCAACATCTTCTGTCTCGAGATAAACAGGTGCCGCCGACTCAAATACCTTTGTACCCAGATCTTTTTTCTGTTCGTCGCCAGATTTACGTATTATACTTGTGGTTGTGACGGTGCGTCTCACACGAACACCATTTTCATCAACATATTCTTCCACTTCTTCTGGTGATTCACCTCCTGTTTGCGGTAAAGTAAATCCAACCTCTATAGGTTCAATCTGTTGGCCTTCTCTTTTTATACTGGTTGTAGTGACAACACGTCTCACACTTCTCCTTACACGAACTCCATTTTCATCAATATACTCTTCAACTTCTTCTGGTGATTCATCTCCTGTTTGCGGTAAAGTAAGTCCAACCTCTTCAGGTTTAATCTGCTGGCCTTCTCTTTTTATACTGGTTGTAGTGACAACACGTCTCACACTTCTCCTTACACGAACTCCATTTTCATCAATATACTCCTCAACTTCTTCTGGTGATTCATCTCCTGTTTGCGGTAAAGTAAGTCCAACCTCTTCAGGTTCAATCTGCTGGCCTTCTCTTTTTATACTGGTTGTAGTGACAACACGTCTCACACTTCTCCTTACACGAACTCCATTTTCATTGATATACTCTTCAACTTCTTCTGGTGATTCATCTCCTGTTTGCGGTAAAGTAAGTCCAACCTCTTCAGGTTCAATCTGCTGGCCTTCTCTTTTTATACTGGTTGTAGTGACAACACGTCTCACACTTCTCCTTACACGAACTCCATTTTCATCAATATACTCTTCAACTTCTTCTGGTGATTCATCTCCTGTTTGCGGTAAAATAAGTCCAACCTCTTCAGGTTCAATCTGCTGGCCTTCTCTTTTTATACTGGTTGTAGTGACAACACGTCTCACACTTCTCCTTACACGAACTCCATTTTCATTGATATACTCTTCAACTTCTTCTGGTGATTCATCTCCTGTTTGCGGTAAAGTAAGTCCAACCTCTTCAGGTTCAATCTGCTGGCCTTCTCTTTTTATACTGGTTGTAGTGACAACACGTCTCACACTTCTCCTTACACGAACTCCATTTTCATCAATATACTCTTCAACTTCTTCTGGTGATTCATCTCCTGTTTGCGGAAAAGTAAGTCCAACCTCTTCAGGTTTAATCTGCTGGCCTTCTCTTTTTATACTGGTTGTAGTGACAACACGTCTCATACTTCTCCTTACGCGAACTCCATTTTCATCGATATACTCTTCAACTTCTTCTGGTGATTCATCTCCTGTTTGCGGTAAAGTAAGTCCAACCTCTTCAGGTTCAATCTGCTGGCCTTCTCTTTTTATACTGGTTGTAGTGACAACACGTCTCACACTTTTCCTTACACGAACTCCATTTTCATCGATATATTCTTCGACTTGTTCCGGTGATCCATCTCCTGTTTGCGCTACAGAAAACTCAACTTTCTCTGGTTCAATTTGCTGTCTCCTAATACTGGTCGTGGTGACATCACGTCTCACAGTTCTCCTTACACGAACTCCATTTTCATCGATATGTTCTTCGACTTGTTCCGGTGATCCATCTCCTGTTTGTGCTATAGAAAACTCGACTTTCTCTGGTTCCGTCTTCTGTTTCCTAGTACTGGTTGTAGTGACATCACGTCTCACAGTTCTCCTTACACGAACTCCATTTTCATCGATATATTCTTCGACTTGTTCCGGTGATCCATCTCCTGTTTGCGCTACAGAAAACTCAACTTTCTCTGGTTCAATTTGCTGTCTCCTAATACTGGTCGTGGTGACATCACGTCTCACAGTTCTCCTTACACGAACTCCATTTTCATCGATATGTTCTTCGACTTGTTCCGGTGAACCATCTCCTGTTTGTGCTATAGAAAACTCGACTTTCTCTGGTTCCATCTTCTGTTTCCTAATACTGGTTGTAGTGACATCACGTCTCACAGTTCTCCTTACACGAACTCCATTTTCATCGATATATTCTTCGACTTGTTCCGGTGATCCATCTCCTGTTTGCGCTATAGAAAACTCAACTTTCTCTGGTTCAATCTGCTGTCTCCTTATACCAGTTGTAGTAACATAACGTCTCACAATTCTCCTAACACGAACACCATTTTCATCGAGATATTCTTCAACCTCCTCTGGTGACTCTTCCTCCGTTCTATCATCTGGTGAAGGGACCAAATCGTGATAGACAGGTGCCGCTGATTCAAACACTTGGGGTCCTCTGTCATCTTTATTTTCGTCAATCGCCTTTGGTGACTGGTCATCTGTTTTCGTTGGCAGTAAATTGGATTGTGGAATCTCCTCAAACGATGAACTCAACTCAGGAATTATCACTTTTTTCTCGAAGTGCACAGAAAACACGTTTTCTTTAACTTCTGGCCTTTCTTCTGGCTCGCCTCTTTCATCCTCGTCTCCAACTTCCATTCCAGACTCCGCAGGTAGTTTGGGTGACGGCATATCGGATTCTTCTTCCGACGGGAACGCAACGGTAACAGGTTGTAATGTTCCTTTCAACTGAGTCGTGAAAACTGATTTTCTGAGCTTCTGTGTGCGACGACCAGCATCGGAGGCAATCATCACTATCTGTTCTCCTTCCTCGGGATCTTCTCTAAGCTTGGAATCATCGACATCATCAGGTTTCAGGACAACCTTCATTGATCCATCTCGCAGCACTGTTTTCATTGTAGTGGTATGAGAAGTGCGCATTACTCTTGTTATCCGTTGTCCGTGCTCGTCTGTGTACTCCTGTACCTCTTCTTTTGGCTCAGGAGGGATATCGACATCCATTTCCAAGTCGGGCATCTGACGTTCTACTCGTAGTATTGTCTTGGTGGTCGTTAATTTAGCAATTCTCTTTACCTGACGTCCGTCTTCATCAACGTATTCCTCGATGACTTCTTCATCAGGATCATCACTTTTATCTACCGAACTCTGCAATGAAATACTTACCTCGCCTGGTTCCTCTTCCAAGTAAACAGGTTGTGCTGATTCAAACACGACCGTCTCCCCATCGTTGTCCTCGTAATCTTCTTCGTCAGAAGAGGCGCCAAGAAGGGGCCTTCCCCATTCAAATTCTTCCTGTTTAGTCTCTGGTCTAGATTTACTTGGGACTTCAAAGTTTAAACTTTCAACGGTGCCCATTTCGACGGCTGTTACTCCAAAGGGAGACTTATCTTCCACTCTCCCATCACTATCAGAACTTTTTGCCACTGGTTTCCCTAATTCAAACGGTCTGGGTGAAAGGAGTACGTTAGTTCTTTCAGCAGCACGTTCCGTTTTCCCAGATTTGGGAACTTCAAATGTATCAAGGAGATTCTTTTTGACTGTGGTGACCTTAAAGGGACGGGAAGAATCGCTGTCTGTTGGAGATTCATCATCCTAAAGATACAATGAAATACCGCGCGGGTCAATTAACTCCAAAGATGATAAAGCTACTTCGCTCAACTGATGGAGATATCTCTTTAATGACCGGCTAGTCAGGTGACCTAATGGTCACATCCAATTAATTGATGATGGTGTAAATTCTCACTGCCTGGCTGTTTGACAAACTATCAAACTTGTGAAGAGAATTTATGCCTCACTGATCACTTCAAGTCGTGAAAAGTCGATAAATTGTGAAGAAACTCTTCTACATCCAATATTTTTATACTTTTTCCAATGTATCCTTTAATTTCCGTCGCGATAGGTAAATAAAATTGCCTCTTCAGATTTAATTTGCATACAAAACTGAATACAAATTAGCCCCACGACAACCTAGAAAAATTTCGCAAAGTTTAATAATAGGCCATTCAAATATGTGGATAAGCTGTTGATTGCTAAAAATTAAGTCTCATTAAGGTTTCAATTGTCCTCAAATACTGCATCTCAGATCAGTCCTCACAAGCAATTAGAATACAGCCGCGGGGCCAAAGCGGCGCGTAGCAAACACATGGAAGTGATAATTGTCCACATCTTTTCGCAGTTTTTCATGGGCAATACAGACGGAGTTGATTTGATGCTGTACATAAATTACCTAACTATCAATATTACACTACGAAATATTACCACCATCAACATATTAAAAATTGGAAGTTCTCAGATATGTATCGCTTCTAAAAGACCGAACAATATAGTTTTTCGAACAGTCTACTCGCAACTACAGAGGTGATGGTAAATCAGTCGTAATAAATAGAATACTGGCAATTAAGAGACAGAAACTAGTACATTTTTCCTGAATACGACATCACCTGATCCTTGCCACACTATAATTTGTGCATTGTTTGGGTTAGTGATGTTAGCATTCGCACATACAAATTTCATTAACTCGCGTGTTCAAAATACAAACCAAGAATTCAACCCACAAAATATCTTCTAAAAACAGGCCGAAAAACTAACCAGCCCCCTGATTTTCATCAGTCGATGTGCCAAGACACTAACTACATTTATGCTAAACATTCCAAGATAAACCATCCGTGTCTCAGGGTGTTAACATATCTGTCTCTTTAAGAATAAGTTTAGAGATCAACTCACATCTTGTTTGCGCCGTCTAAACAAGCCAAAAACTCGTCCCACAGCAGTCACAACGGGATTCATTTGGACTGTGGCTAAGAAGCTGAATTCAGCGACCGATCATGCTTGTCAATAACGAATAATTACCCCAAGAGATTCGTGCTAAATTGTTCAACCAGAACTGTTCCCGCACAATATTGCGGAGCGAGTGTTTACCGACACAAAGTGATTGGGCGTTTGAAAAAACAACAGAATTAAAATATTCGTCAATGTTCAGAAAAGTGTTCAAGGAAACGGACGATAAATGAACAAGCAGCTGACGGGCCTTAAATAACATTACAGTAACCTCGTAACACAAATTTATGCATTCCTTCTACACGTTCTTAAGACACCTTAAGAACAATAACAGCCAAAAGAAAACAGTGTCAATTGTAGTTTCTAATCACGTTCATCTTTTCTCTCAATGACTAAAAATAGTCTAGATCCTTCCTTTTCGCGGAATACACGCAGAATACTAAGCAACCATGATCCTTTCCAGGCTCGTACCTAAGGGTTACTTCCCACCTTCAGAGGCCGAAAAAATCGATTTTTCTTCTATTTGACTAAACTGAAATTCAAACATTCAACCTAACGTTCCCGTAAAAAAAGGATCTGAAATCTATCTGAAAGCACCCAAGTTATTTATAAAAACGTATTTTCAAATCAGTTAATAAATCAGGAAGATGTCATAACTTGGGCGAGTGCCCTGAGGGAATTTTCGCGGCAACCGCTCATGTTGGGGCTCGATTTTCATCTTATTTCCATATATTGTTTACATCACGCACTTTACAAAATTCATACGTGGAAGCTCTTTGTTTATGGGAAAATCTTTGCTCGTGGAAAAATAAAAATCGGAAGAAAGTCCTTGGGAAAAAAAGAAAAAAAAACAGGCCCCAAGAAGAAAGAAAGGGTACCATTCTGTCAAGAAAAGAAAAAAAATCCTTTGTTAAAGTGACTGAGGGAACTCCACGCTGGCGTCCAGATTTCGAACAAAGAAGTCGCCGCCAAACCAAAATTTGCCATACATGAGGGTCATTATTGTGTCGTCCTCCTCAACGCTTCCCTGAGCGATCGAGAAAAAAAAAGGGGGGCTTGAATGGGTTACTTTTCCCACGAAATCTTTATCATCGTCATTGACGCCAGGAGGTCTCGTTGTCCTATTAGTTTGCGGTTTCAGGAGGCGAGATAATCTCCTAGCGTGGCGCGAGTTGTTGGCGAACCTTTAAAAGCTAAAATCTCGTATATGATGTTGGGAGGATAACAACCACTTTAAGCAAATTTATAGGGTATATAGATTTGACCCATTCTCGTAAAATTTCGCCGAAACATCCTAGGAGTAATGACAAACGAAAGAGTGTCGGAAAATTTTGATATTTGAAATATTTGTCCCGTAGCTTCCATTTACGCAAAACGAGTCGCATATTTTTAGCTACTCCAACTTTAGATGCCGATATCTACACAACCAATCAGAATATCGAAAAAGCCTGACACACTTTGTTGGTTGATGCCTTGTGAATGAGACTATGTAGCCATTTTGCTCGTGCTGCAACATCCGATACCCAATAAATTCAATAGAACCTTCGGTCGTTTCACGCCTTACCGGCTCCTAACGCTTCCTTAAGAGAAAAGTCGCTTAAATTATATTTTTATGGTAAACTGTTTTATTAAGCTTTCTCCTGATATATAGTTTGCTAGGATTTTAGTAAAACTAGCGCGCGTACGAATTTTTTCCCGAAGGACACCCGCGAAGGTGGGAAGTAACCCTAAACTTTTACCCAGTGCTTTTCGATTTCAGAGAGACAAATCTTTATTTATTCCTAGAACAAGAATATCATTCTCAAATTCCACTCGATCAGCTGATGCTACACACTAAGCACTATCAAATAGTGATCATACAGATCTGGGTAATGACACGATAAACTTAAGGGAGACACTCCTCCCTGGCACTTGGAAAGGAAGCTCACCTATGCCCGGCTCCACAAATTGGCATCAAACGTGACATTTCCAGCGTGACGTCCACTTCTCTTGGGCATCATTTCACTTCTCTATACGTTAATATGACAACTGCACTTACCTCGGCACGGTTGTTTTCGCTACAGGAACAAGTTTACGTGAAAACGATAGTGTGAAATGTGAGACGTGGAGCATGAAACGTGAATAGAATGAAACGCGATGCGTGAACTGTGATGTGTGAACCGTGACGAGCGACGCGCAAGGAATTTCTTTCCGGACTTACCTTGAATTCAAAACGATTTTTTAGCTCCAGCAACTGAGTTTGGAGTTGATCCCACTGGTTGTTAACTCCGGTCACCTTATCGACGACACTCCTTGGGTCCTGTTCTGTATCCTCCAGATGTCTTATCACTTCCTGCCCAGACTCATTGGTGTTGGCCAGCTGGTATTTCAGACTGGATATTTCGTGATTTAAGGCCTATTTAAACAAAACAAAACAAACAAAAATTAAGTTAAACAATTTTAAAATATGTTTGGGATAATAAAAAACAGTAAAATAATGAAAAGGTGCATAGGTGCTTTAGACTGCGGAAAATGAGGAAAGTTAGATTTCTTTGAACACATCAGTCGAAAAGCTCTCAAAAGGACTAAGTCGATGACACAGATTACCATGAATGAGGTAGTTACAAATGTACTAGCCAATTAATCAGTTCTTAAAGCTAGTAACATAACGACGGCTAAGAAACTGTTTAAAGTTTAACCACGTTTCCCCGGGAATTCAAGTGCTCGCCACGTTTTTCACTTCCTTTGAGAAATAGTTCTTGAACCAATCTTGCTACTTCAAACCCTTCTTTTTGACCCTTTTTTAAATAGTTCCATATTTCTTTTTTTTTTTTTTAATTTTGATGACGAACGACTCGTTTAAACGGTTTAAAGACATCACAACATGCACGGGAGTTACCTTGACCCGTCTGCTAGGATTCTTGGGATCGTCTTCACTCAAGAGGGCCTCGATCTCCGAGCGGCGCTGTTTAATCTGAACCGTGAGAGACTGGACTGATTCGTCCAGGTTCTTGACCGTACTCCAGGTGCTTTCCAGCTCTTTTTGTCGATCATTTGAAGCTACCACGATGAACTCCATGCGGCTCCTCACGTTGGCAATTTCTTCCTGTAACGAACAGAGTAAGTCGTGTTGTTCATGGTCATGGTAACTCATCGAATACCTTTCTGCAAAGCACCATTTCTCGCCGGGGGGGGGGGGGGGGTAGAAGAAAGGGAGGATCACACGGTTATAGAGACCGGACCTCTAACAGTCAAAGGTAATAGTAACTCGTTTTCACTCACCCCATACGGTGAACGGAGACTTTCCACAATCAAAATTAATCATTTATATCCCAAGATCCGTTGCAAGTTTATAGGATGCTCTTTCAACCCCCTTCCCACCCCTCCTCGCGCGCAGTGCAAGGTTTACTCGTTTTGGGGCTGAAAATTTATCTGCCCACATTTACCCTACAGTTGCAGTAAACGACTGCGAGGAACCGCAGTAAAGAAACTTTAGCAGCTAAGTTTTACCTGGATTTCTTCACTTCCAGCAGCACCTTCTCGGTCCTCTAACAAATCATTTCCGGCTTTCAAGAGCAGTTCAACATCTCCTTTGTTCTGGGCAATCTCTTTTTGTAGATTCTGGCGAGGAAATCCAAAGCAAATCTGTCATGAACATATATTACAACGCTTTTCCAATGGCTGTTGTAAAATCAAAATTGAAGTGAACACCTCAGTTTATTAAAACAGCCTAGAATGCTAAATAAAGAGCCATGATCAGTTCATTGTGATACACATATTTTCACTACCTTCGATTTGCTGAGCGTGTTCTTTCTCACCAACTTTGAAGTCTTCACATCACGTCAATTAGCTTATTATGTGATAAAAAAAAAGCGCTATGTCTTCGAATTGTGGTCAAACTTTCAGCACATTGACAAGAAAAGCGTGACAAACAGAGAGTAATTCTACTTCGGGCTTTCTTAGGTGTCCAAAAAGTCACGCAATATTAAGGTCATGCACATAGCGTGACAGGGGTCTTCAGATCTTACCTTGTGATCGGATATTTGACGTCTAATGGTATCAGTGTCTCCCGCCACGGGTTCTAGTTTGCCTAACCTCTTCTCCGTCCTTCCCAGAAAAATTGTAATATTCCGCACCAGTCTCCTGTATTTTTCCATCTGCAACACGGTCGTCTCCAACGTGACATTTCTCGTTTCCAGTTGTTTCCACACGTCATCGTAACGCGTGCGCACTGATGTCAAGTCCCCCTCAAGCGGAGTCTGAGGTGTTTCACCGGGGTGCTGAGATGTAATACTGATGATAACTTTCCCCAGGCCAACCAACAGATCGATTTGAGCCTTGTAATTCACGGCTTCGTTTTGCAATGCCTACAAAATGAATTCAAAAGAGATTTGATAACTTCATAACGTCCTGAAAACCCTTGGAGTGACCAGCATCTTATTTCTCCTTACATCAATACCGCCGAATTATTTATGAAGATCGTAATAATTAAAGAAATGATCGCCAGCGTAAGGAGCTTTGATTGTCATTCTTTTTCTCCTTGTTAATGCCAAAGGAAATGTAAAGAGAACAGTATGGAGATTATCAAAACTGATGTTAGGGTACGAAGGACTTACGAACCATATTTGCCAGAGAACATAACTTTTTCTTTACTTAATAAGATGATGGCAGACAGGTGCCTTAAGGAGGAAAATTCGGCGGCTTCATTCAGTTTTATTCAGTCCTTTTTGCTTCCTGGAGCCTTATCTACAAGTCAGATTTTCATTTTCTCTTCTAACCCAAATTACCTTCTGTTCTTTCATCTGCGCACTGAGTACATCTGGGTCCAGACCCACGGGAGGTATGGAGACAAGCCTCACTTCTATGGTGTCCAACCACACAGTGACGGTTTTGTACACAGTGTAAAACTTTTCAGACTGTTCCTGTAACTCGTCAAACTTTGCCGTGGTATTGAGCAGTTTAATCGCAAGAGTCTGCCAGTTCTTGTTCACGCGGTCTAGTGTTTCTAGGATGATGGACTGTTGCTTATTTTTTTCCAGATTAATCAGTTCGTGTCCTCCCTGGTTCACGGATTGGAAGGCAGGCCGCATCTTTTCGACTTCGTCTTGGAAATGCTAAAAAACGAAAACAGGTGAAGTTGAGTATATATCAATAGAGTGAAAATCGCTCATTGCCCATTCTTATCTGAGGCGAAAGTAGGGGTATTTGTACAAGATCAGCAGCAAAGCCATCTTACCTTCCCGGAGTATCTGGTAAATTCAAATTAGGATTTCGAGCTGCTAAGATGTAGATTTCATTTACCGTAAAAATAAAAGTTTCGAGTAGAACAGCATAGCGTGTATCCAGGAGTTTCACCAAGTTTTTCCACAAGCGGCTACTAAAGGTGTAACAGGAGGGGGCTGTGCCCGGAAAATGGCCACAAGCAAAACCCATGCATGAGAACCTAATAGCAAGCTCAACAGACGGCGGTAGACCGCTTTTAACGAAGCCTCTGGTGTACCACTCCGTCTTTAAATAAGGATTACAGCGTAAAAACAGATCATACGACAGTGAGAGGCACACCAATCAGGGTTGTCGAAAAGCTTTAGGGCAACCGGAATGTGATAAAAAGTATTTTGGTTTTATCAATTGAGTTGAAAGTGTAAATCGGCCACCGTTGGGAGTTTCCAAAGCTGACATTTCGCTCAGACAAAGGGTTAACTCTTGAAATGTCAGCTTTAAAATTCTTGAACGATGGCAAATTTACATCATTGACTAATTTGATAAAACCAAATTACCTTGTAGTACCTAAGCCGACGTAGTGCCACAGTTTCTTAAGCAACTTAGCCCAATTGTTCATTTGTGTTACAAAGTATCACACGTATCCCACCTGTAACTTCTCCTCAAACACCAGGATATCACTAGTCACCAGTTCGCCGGCGTCGAGCCTCTTGATCATACCCAGTTCCCAGCGTTCAAAGTCTTTTGCGATCATGATAAACACACTCTTGAGTTCTTCCTTACGATTGTCAGATCTTTCCAACACTTCAACCCAGAGTTTGTTGAGCTGTTTCAATTTGGATTCTTTCTGCTTCTTCTTCTGAGAGTTAAACATTTCGTTCAGAGCTTCCACAGAGGTTCCGTTTCGGTTGACTTCCACTTGAAGGATCTGCGAAAAATTAAAGTTTAGGGTTAATGTTAGGTCAGGGTGAGGGTAGATACGCTGTTGCTCATATACTGACTTTAATCCGTTTATAACACGACGTTTGCAACTAAGATTCAAAACATTACCTCTTGAATTCTCAACTAAGTTTCAGAGTTAACCAAAATAAACAAACTCATCTGCTATAAAACCAAGTTTTCTAACCCAACCTACATAGCTGTGTAAAGTAGATACAATTAATAGTTTCTTATTATATCTTGTGAGTACACGAATTAAGAGAAAAGGCATGTATACGTGGTTTCTCGAATTGGATTCTTCAAACCTTAGAAACAATGCTAAAAGAATGAAAATTGTGTCCAGCAAAAGTATTTTCTGGAAGCATAAGTTCTTGTTCTGTTAGTCGCGTTACCTTAAACCGCTGCGCCTGGTTCCTGAGTTCAATCAGATTGCGTGACACGGGTGTAACTTTGTCAAGTTGTTTCTTAAGTTCAGTCAGAGCCTTGATCGCAACATCTAATCCATCCTTGAAGTTCTGTGAGGTGGTGAGCGCTGCCTGCAACTTTTCCTGGTAGACACTGATGTTCGCACACAGCTCGTCATATCGTTGGCTTATCGTCTTCCCTCGCTCAAACTCGGGCGTTCGAATCAATCCTTGGACACTGTGGCCAAGTACCCCAACAGCTACGATCTCCGCCTGATGTAAATTCACCTCTGTCTGCAGAACCTGACGAAAGACAAATCAGAACGAGGAAAACAACCTGTGAGGCGTGCTAACACTTCAATTACCTCACCCACTTCGTTCTCCACGTGGTCGAGAGGTTTTTAAAAGCTTGACAGATTGGTCTGACTCGAGACACTCTCCGAGCCAGTGGGATGGAAATAGTATGCGGGGACACAGCCAATCAAAAAAAATCAAATCGCCATATTCGCGATTCATATGCAAAGCCGGACATATGATTGGTTCATTTGTACTACGTGGTACAAAATAGTCTTCTCTGATTGGCTATGTTCTATAGCGCCCCGTCTACCACGGAGCGACTTTGTTCCTTGCGTTATCCCGCGCTTTAGATAGCATCTTTATACTGTACGCTCCCATTGAGTCGTATTGGTATTTCATCTTTGTTCTGATAGCTGCATTGCAACGCTTTCTGTAATCATTTCCAGTTACCTTCAGTTCAGTGATTTGCTGTTTAATAGCTGTTGGATCTGACTTCACAGGCTGCGCCATGTACCGGGCTAATGTGTCCTCTGCTTTGTTCAACCAGGGTAACACCTGTGTGGCTTGACTGTCATACTCACGCAATTGCCGCCATGATCGGTCTAAGATAGTTCCTTGTTCACTAATCAGCAAAAGAAGCCTGCGAAGGGGAGAAAATGCCTTAGTCGCAAAATATTCATCTTTTTACCCCTAAGAGTGCTAGCATCTAATTTTTCCTGACAATATCACCACTGAATCAAATCGTCTGGACACGAGAATGAAGGCAATGATCATTAGCTAAAGAAGCTATTGGTTTTTTAAAAAATTCTCCTTATCAGCATCTTGGGAATGTATAGAGAACAGTATGGAGAATTTGCGTACTGATGATGGGGTGTAAAGGGTGAACTGTTTCGAGCCTGGTGGGTCGTAACTTCCGGGGTTATCCTAGCCTCACTGGCATGTGGTGACAGAGAGAATTGCCTCCTTCGGTACATTAGACTATCGAATGTAATCACCACAGTTTCTCAAGTTCCCCCTGGGGCAGAAGGCTAGGGTGTTACAAAAGAACACAACGCAGGGGACCGGCCCAATATTGAACTGTCAATACCGATTCAAACGTCAACAACTGGGCCGTAAAATGACTCTACTTACTGCGAAATGCGACATGAAATGCAACACGTGGAATTGTAAAGAGATCTTGCAATCAGTAATGCCTCAAAAGCAATCAAGATTTGACTTGCGTAAATTTCTAAAAGGTTGTGCGATTTGTAATATTTTTTTTTTATAGAGGATAAACTGAGATGCCAAAAAAAAACAACCAACGAAATCAAAAGAAAACAAAAAAATGTGAAAGGAATTACTCTTTACCTGCTGTAGCGCTCGTTAATATCAGCAAGCTTGTTCTCTAGTACCCAGGACTTTTCATTAGGGACCGCTATACTAACTTGCGCCGGCGATGCAACATCTGTGGATTCTAATGTGGCAACAGAACGCTCGAGCTCTGCGTGGAAAACCTAAAGAAAATAAAACAGAGCTAACACGTTGAAACCGGCTCACACATTTCTTACAACTGCAAATGCACGAGAACGACAAGTAGGCCCTTTCATTAACTGCTATGAAAATATAATCCCACAAAGTACATTCCCAATGAGTGTCCATAGGCAAACTTTAGTCAAACGCGCTCATCCAAGAGACTGCAGACGTTCATTTAAGTACTGAAAAGTTGGGGTGTACAAAATGAACAGAATCCTCCACGAATCCCTCTAACTCAACGATTCCGACTTTGAATAACGTCATGAACAGTCATTATCGGATGGGTAGTGCATTGAACACAATGCATTAAAAAAACTACAATACCGTTGCCAAGACATGAACATTAAACTGGGTTAACAAATACTGGTGGCTAGGCTTGAAAAGACTCACATCTAAAAAGGTTAAGACCGATGCCACCCTTAAAAACTCTTAAACACCACCGAAGATAGTACTCAAATAACGCATAAATTTAAATGTTTGGGTTTCTAAGTCAATTTCACTCACGGCAAACCGGCCAATGATTCACTGTAACACACAGGTCTGCGATCAATGGTCACACTTCCTAGCAGTCAATTGTTATAAAATATAAAGAAAAATGGTCACCTTTGCTTCGTGTAGGAAGTCCTCCCCACTTTGGTTTACCTCCTTTAAGTCTTTCTCGTGATCCTTCACGTCGTCGACAAAATGCTACATTGAAACGAAAGCATTTTTAGAAACATGATTGTATTGCGAATATTAAGTTACCTTTTTCCAAGGTCAGCCTATTGTTCACTGTAATTTAGTTTGGCCTTTAAGAAACGTGGATCAAACGATAAAAAGATACAAACCCAAATTAATCCCTTTATGTGTGACTCGTCCAAAAAAAGCTTTCTTCGGTAAATATTTGCATTATAAAAATGTCAAACGCGCCAAAACGCATACAAAAATTATCAATTCAAAAGAAAATAAAAAAAAGATGGAAAAATTCCTTATTCAAAACTTTCAAGCGTCGCTTTGAACGTCAGTCAAGAGGGAAAATGAAGACGAGCAGAATTACTCTTCGCCCTAGTTTTATTGGTAGCGAAAATATTGGCGGGTGAAGAACACCTCGTGAAAGATGCATCTCTATGCGGAATATCTGAAAGCGGAAAAATGGCTGTAATATTTCTGATGAATAATCTTTAAATCCGCGTGAAAATCTCTAAATTCCACCTGAGTGAGACATTCTTTTCTGAGAATAATCCTTATGAAAATAAAAATTGTTTGACCTCTTACGCATCAATAGTTATTGGTGCGGTACTGAGGAAGTACTTTCTTCTTAATTTTGAAATGACTTTTTTACCTCATCCATTAAGAAGAATGAATAGGTTCTTAATATTTGATTGAACATTTACGTGTTTCACGCCGCTTGGTTGAAGGAAAATATCGAAACACATATTTGATACAATGTTTTACTGGTGTTGCGTGACTAAGAAAATTGTTACGTGACATACCCAGCGGAATGAAGAGAGGACAAACTCTTATCTCTCATTTACGGGTAAAGATCGAAGGTTACAATCACAAAGTATAGACAATGAATCCGGAAACTGGATAAAATGGAAAATGAAGCTTAACATTATTTCATTGTTCCGTTATCTTGATGGAAAGCCATGTTCAATGAACTAAATCTCTTTACATAGGAGCACACAAACCTTGTGAATGAGAAGTTTGTCCTGGGCTCTTTGGATATTTTTGGCATCCAGGAGAATCGCACTGGCCTGATCCTCTGCTTTCTTGAGCCACGCCTGAAAACAGATTACGAAATTCACTCAAATGAACAAATACAGCAAGAACTGAAACTGTGAGAGGATCGCCCTTAACGCCCAAATCTTGTTCCGGGTTTTGTTTTACTGCAGCCAGATCATGATGCTTTAAATCAATTTTTGCCGCATTGCAGCTATCATACACTATAAGTAATTCGCTTGATAAGAAAGGAATATCACCAAAAAAGACAACGATAAACCAAAAGTAAACACAAATGGAAATATTTAATAAGGATTAAAGTTGACAGCCCTGAGAAACATCTGCGAAATGGTTTAAGATACACAAAATGGTGACGGGGCATACATTCACATTTTAAACCTAAATTTTCAAAATACTATAGAGCTATTATCATCAAAAGGGCATCTTTTAAAGATCTCTACTTTCTTTGCTTTACAAGCAAAGGGATGTGTGTGATAAAGCAAGAAAAAGCATGCACGAAATTCCATTTTGCGACTGAAGAACAAAGAGTACGATTGCAAAGAGGCTGATAAGTCATCCCGCTGTCCTCTTTGTTTTCCATGCGTTAGGTGTCAAATGTTATCTCAAATCCATTTATCTTTGGCTCCACCATGCAAATTTTGTCTCCTTCTTTAGTGCCCTACTTGGTAAGGAGCCAACATCACTGGCTGATTGCAAAAAAATCTAAAATCATTGAAGCCACAGCTTAGGCACTCGCCGACCACAAACGGATTAAAACATTGAGGACCGTTCGTGAGGTAAAAAAATAAGTTGAAAACATTTTTTGGAAATATTCCATTTTTTGATGCAATTTTTTAAATAAAAATAAAAATAATAAATAATAATAATAATAATTTTAAAAAATAACACAAACCATACCAAGAAAGGATGCAACAGTTCTTCAAAATTCGTTAGCTTTTCGTGGATCCTCACAAGTCTCATGTACCGATTGTCGAGCTCAGCTTGCAGTCGTCCCCACCTCGCTTCCAATATGCTCATCTTCGAGTCAAGTTCGGCTTTCTTCGTGGGCGATAGAAGCTGACCGCTGCCTTTCAAGAACTGCTTGCTCTGCTCGAGCATAACTTCCACCGGTTTCTTCCTCTCATAGACTGCTTTGGTAAATCGCTGGATGAGGAAAAGAACAATATTTAATTAATTTCACTCTCTAACTCCTCTGGTCTCAAGATCTTATAAGTAATTCTCCTGACTGTCTGCATTACCATTCGTATGATGTTAGTTTGGAGAATTTGGTATTGGATCAACTAAAAATCCCCTTATTCTCATTACTTGTCTGCTCTATATTGTACTGATATTGTAAAGAGAAATTTTGTCTTGGTCATGGGAGTTGAAGGTTAAGAACTGACTAAATCACCGCCTCTGAACGCTTAAGTGCCAAAGAAAACTTTTATCTTAGGAGCTCCTTCGGTAGTGAATTGTAAAGTAGGTTTTGAATGATTTTGGTAGTTAGTTATTTCCCTTGTTGCACAATTAGGTCTTCAAGTACTTATTAAAGCGGTTAGCACGAAGATGTTGGCATGACGTGCTGCTCAATAAATTCGAGAAAAAATAAAGGTCTTACATGTTGGTATGTTCACGATATCGTTAAGTAATGTTTCCTGACGTGCAAAATAACTTTAAACTTGAAGGAAACTAGAAAATATTAGCTCTGAAGTACAGGAAAATACAAAAGGAGACAGTAAATACTATGACAGTACAGGAATGACTACGGATGAAAAAGATTGAAAGGGATTTAAGTAAGGAACTGCGAAATTTGGCGGATTTTTTCAAGATCCACACAACAAATGATAAACATCTTTAACAATAACAATCTAACCCTCGGAAGTGATCGATAGTGCTCAAAAGTAATTGGATTATCTAATTAGTACTAATGGAATGTGGATACGGGATGAAAAACGTAATAAAAATAATAGCCAATTTCTCAAGGCCCCTCTTACGTCAATGCACTGTTCTGAAGGACTAGTTAAAAAGGCACCCTAGAGGCAAAAGGTCGCTAGATCAAAAATTGTGTCAATGCTACTGTTCTTATTTCATTGATATGCAAATAAATTTCAAAACTTCAAGTTAATTCATAGTGGATTTAGCGTGAAATTGCAGCGATTTAGAGATTAAATACGATGCTCAAAGGGAACTTATCGAAGTTAATGTCTAATGTAGACATAAGTCTCGCGAAAAGTTAAACAAAGTTTTTTGCAGTTCAAGAGTAAAGCAAGCAGCACCCTAATGACGTGAAACAGCCCTTGAGTTCTCCTGTAATGCAAACAAGCGTCTGATAAACATATTTTAACTTGATTTGCTTGCGCATTTACGCTACTGTTCGAAAGAAGAGTGCGACCTCACCATGTCACACAAAGAGACGGCTTAGATAATAAATTCATCAACTTCGCTGATCTGAATTTCGTACTCAGCGATGTACTAAACAGACCAGTGTAGAGAACGTCTCCGAACAATCGAGCAAGTACACTTAGGCTGAACGAGGTCTATTCCGCGGTTGCAGCGATCAAAATTACCAATTACAGAACAATTCACACCAACTTAGAGCCGTTAAATAGGAAGGAACACAGAAGTTGTCGAACCTGGGTTTCAAGTTACAAAACATCGCGTCCTTCTCTCCACTGGAATCTTCAACACCAACGAATCGAATAATCGACGTTGTTTAAAATCCTGAAGAACATTTCTCGACGTAATTTCTGTGGTTGAGAGCTGACTAAACGAGTTCAGTCTTCACAACCGCGTTTTCGCGTCTGTTCACTAGCTCTCTGAGAACAAGGAACCTTCCTTGTGCTAAACTTCAATCATGATTACGACAGGCGACGTGTTTGTTTTCCGTGATTATTAAAATCACCAGAAACGACTGTTTGCTGATTACATGCAGATTAGTGCGAAAACGTTTGGCTTTCTTAAGGAACTGGTCTCAAGGGACCATTGACCGAAAATAAATTTATTTTAAAAACTTCCTTGGATGTAGGATTCCAACCTATGAATGAACTGTGGCAGAAAGAATAATTACAAAAAGCCTTCTCGTCAAAAGAACTAAAAAAAATTCACAAAACAAACGGTTAGTTAAGACTCTTACTAATTAATTCCTCAGCCTTTATTCCAGACTCAAATCTCTAAGAATGTAAAGTAAATCTCAGTTTTCAGCCTATGGATTACACCCCACTGAGCGACTGGACGGTTCTTCTAATTTTGTTTATTCCGTCGATCCACTTCGTAATTCTCCATTCTGGTTGCTAACTTCTGGAAACTAACTTCTCTATCAAGATCCCGCTTCTCGCTGACAAACCATGGAGAAGTCACATGTTGTCAAAGAGTCGAGTAATACATGCACTGCCATGCGGAAAGATGGGTATACCTTAAATTGTCACTCTAACTCTGTGGTTGATAATGAAAAGTAGGATATGCGATGATTCTTAGGAGACTTTTTCAACCAAAACCTTTCACGTAGGCAAGAACTCTCACATTGTTGTGCAGCCAATCAAATGAAAGCAAGCCAAGTACAATGCGCAGTGTAGCACTATGGGACCAGTCCATTTACCGCCAAATTCGACTCTGACCTTCGGCCCAGTGGCTCTCAAAACAGGGGCAAAGTCCCACGCCAAAGGTGCAAATAAATCTGTAAGACTTCCACTGTTCAAAAGCTGATGGCGAAAATCTAAGAGCACTTGAGTTTTGGCGTAATTACCCTTTCATCTAGCGAGAGTATTTTGAAAATGAGATCTTCCCCGTTAAAAATTGATTCTATAATTTACGTCGTTTAAGAAACTATTCTCAAAAGAGACACTCATTAAGCGCTGGGGTAAAAAACCCGTCATCACGTCACTGTCACTAGATGCTAGAACTTGTCCTGGACCTCGCTATTACGCAAATCAAATGACAGTCCTTCGCGTAAATTGTTCAGTGTAGTACTATGCCAAGGCGGTCTTTCCGAAGTCCAAAATCCAGGATTTTTCCATTAAACAAGAGCGCTATTCAACGTTTTACACTCAGACTGTTAGCTCTTTCATAAGCCTTTTCATACCCCATCAAATTCAATCACTAAGTAAGTAAGACAGGAAAACAAAGGAAAGGCAATGATAAACCAATTGGAACAAGGAGAGTCAAACTAGCGACGGACACATATTGACCAGAGCCGAGGATCATAACCAAGAGACTTCTCTCTATCTTACACTTACGAGAATTAACTTAAGAAAGTTTTAAATTTATTGCCACTTATCCTCTTTAAAGGACACGATTTCCCTGTGATCTATCATTATCATGTTGATCTTACCTTCTGTTCTTCAATTTGCTCTTCTAATTGTTTGACATCTGCGGGGGAGGCTGATTGCGTCAGCAGGATTTTCTCCGTGTCGGATAGCCAGTCAAGTAAGTGCTGTATCGAGGTGCACCACTGTAAGCAGGCCTCTTCAACCTGAACAAGTACAAAGCGAACGTCACAAAAAGGTATGACTGAACGTCACGCCAATGTTGGGTGACCTTCGCACAGTGAACCTAACAATGCCAGTTGTCACGACAATGTGCGATTTTGATTTAATCCAAAACGCCATTCACATTAAAACAATACGAAAAATAAATGAGATTAATGCGCGCACAATGGTTAACCAGTATAGCAACGAAAAAATTTATAATCGCATTAAAAATTACCCTAATCATTTAAAAGGGTGATCACATGTCCAGGTTTATGTCATGTTTCGAATGACTAACTTTGTAAAATTCTGGATACCAATATGTTATTTAACAACGACGCTTTCTTTCAAGAAACTGAATACAGATGTACAGATATGTAACACTTACAAATGTGTTTCCCTTGTAAAAGATTACTTTTTGTTACCGAATATTTCAAAAACTGGGACGCATGGTGAGCTTATCCCATTACGAAAATGGAATAAGAGGAGACAGACAAAAAAAAAGTTCTAATACAAAAAAATCAGCAAAAGCTTGGACAAAGCAGAAAACGAAGGGTCTTTTTTAGATTCTTGGCAGCTCGAGCTTTCGTGAACCGCTCACAGTTAAGGCTAAATGTCGTATCCGATTTTTTGTGCGAGTCGACTTCTGCCACAAGTAGAGTGTCAAACAATGCCATTACTTTTAGAGAAAGAAACCTGCAATTTGGAGAAAAATTACAACTGTGAAAGAACGCCTAAGGGTCTCGTTAGGCTAATCATAGCAAACCAAACGGTGTCGCCATGGATTAATCCAAACGCGGCATTTTAAACGCAGTCAAGCCGCATTTAAGAGAGGCGTTAAAAGAAACAAGTGGTTATGAACCATTAGCGGCGCAGTCTGTTGAGGTGTCAAAGATAAATACCTCCTGAAGAACAACCTCAACTTGTCACAATCTACTGACGGTGCAGAGTTAGAGTAAATAAAGTAAATATTCATTAAGATAATCGGGCAATAAAAGTCGTGCATTTTGTAAGGTCAATTGTGAGGTAAAGAGTAGGATTAATTTGCGAAAGGCACCGACTCACTTCTTTGTGTTCTTTTCCGTGTCTTTTCAAGGTCTCCACAAGGTTCTCCATGGCAAGCTGCACTTCATTCAAGAGTTTTTCGTATCGGGCGTTCATACTCATCAGGGATGATATTATTTCCTCTCGGCCCTTCTGCGCACTTTCCAGGAGGGGGTTGACAGCTTCTCGGGACTCTGGCAGGTGATGCAGGCTGTGACGATAGTCCTCAAGGTTCTTTTCCCACATCTAGCAAAAAACACCAAAAAGAGTTCAGTACTAAGCTATACTCCTCTAATTCTCACAAGTGATTAACATGTAATTTCTCCCTTTCACATCTATACATTAACGAGCAAACAGGCGATGAGAATATTCAAACTTATCAGGTAGAAGTTCTTATCTTGACCTAACACCAAATTCTTGTGACTAATTTACAAGGAAATGTGTAGCAACCAGAGGGGAGAATTAACAATCAGATCATAGGAATTAAAGAATTAAAGTAACTAGGAAGTAAAACTCCCTCTACAAACTTGTAATATTGAATTGAATTCGTGTTCAGATTTGATCATAGAGTGAAGACGGGCTTCGTATAATTCAAGCTAAATGAAAGAGGACTAGCCAGTCTCCTACTAATCTGACCCAAGTCCCCGCTCACCTGTGATTCATCTGTGTATTCATGTCCAACAGTACAAAGAGTTTTGATTGGTACTTGCTGGCTTCGGATATCCGTGTAGAGAGACTAAAACAACAAATTTGAAAATCTCGATTCAGTTTTCTGCTTTGTTTCCAGCCATAGCTTTGTAAGCAAAAAGAATTGCATCATGAACAAAAATTGCAAAGCCATTCATCCCTCAACAAAGATCTCCTAATTGACGGATATTGTGTTCATCTAACTTTTTTACACCAGGAATTGATAAAATGTAAATTCTCCTCGATAGTCCGATAGATCATCCAGCAAACAAGCGATGTTAAAACGAACTGCTATCAGCTAGGGGTGTTATTTTGATGATCATCTACAAAGGAGAATTACTTGTCTGATCAGATCTTGGAAGGTTCAGTGTTGAAAAGTTACTCAGTTGCTAGAATATATGGCGACAAGTCTTCTTGCAAATCGTACGAAGGAAGATTGAAAGTTTTTCAAAACGATAATGAATTCTTCATATGAACTAAAAGACAATTGCAATTGAGTGTCGAAAGTGTTCCAGGATTGCTATGATTTTACTTCCCTTCACTCTGTGATTGGTCCAGAAAGAAACTCGCACTACTCTCTCAACCAATCAGATGGAAAACTAAAACCAATCCCAACTTTGCTTTGGGTTTTCCCGCGCTTCAAGCAGGTTGCCTGTGTTTACTTTGAGTTCCCATTGGTTAATGAAGATGTTAACCCTTTTTATTGATTGGTAGTGACAACTTTGGTTTTGGCTCTTCGAAGCTCAATTGAAATCTGCTCTACCTTGTAACTTAATTATTTTCATGCCTTCAGGCGCATAATAAGCATTTTAGACTCACTGTGAATTCCTCCATAACACTTTCAGCATTACTAGGGTCGGTATTCCAGCCCCGGTCTTGGACTTTTTCCTCGACTCTCTTCAACCAGTCCAATTCATTTTGCAACCCAGCTTGAAACTGCTCCAGTTTGTGTTCAGCTTTTACCAGGCCCCCAAGACGATTATCAATCTCGTTCCGAGCTGCTTCCCATCTCTCGAGAACAGCCTGGACTCTAGCCTTATCAAATTCCTTGAGGTCGGGCAGCGATCTTCGAATGTCGTCCGTTTTGTCCTTCCTTGGTTCTATTTCGGTCTGGAGTATTTCCTATAGATCAAGAAATAAAAAAGAAAAAGAAGGGTTTAAACATTTATTAATTTATTAATTAATTTATTTAGTTATTCATTCGTTCATTCACTTTTCAGTAAACGAACCTGCGAGCCGCACTGGCGCACTGGGGAATATTGGCGCGAAGTCGTGGTAGTGCATACCAGGCGCAGCAAAGTCCGAGAAGAAACAACTGAGGGCCGATATTCCTCAGTACAACTCAAGCAAGCAAGGTTAGTTGGTAGTTTATTGTATGGCACTCGGACCAAACTGGTTATGTTGAATTTTCCAGCTTTCGAGAAAAAAAATAGGCGGCTTATGACCGTTTCCGTGGATACGCTTCGTATGACAAAATTTTGACGAAGTAAAAACCAATCAGAACGACTGGATTTACCTAAAGACTACCTTGCCACGAAATAATTGAAGTTACGTTAAGTTTTCTTAACTCCTTTTTCTCAAAAAAAAAAAAAAAAAAAAGAAAGAAAAGAGGGAGAGAGAAAAAAACAAAAATGAACATAAAAAGATAGAAATTACAGTCTTGTTATTTCTGGTTACCTGTATCACTTTTGTTTGATGCTGAATGTCTTTCAAGTTAGCAGTAAGTCCCGGCTGTTGAATAAGGATCACTTCAACACGTCGCAAACTGTTTTCAAGATCTGTTACCAGTTCAGCAATGTTCAGCAAAAACACAAGCCTGTCGATTGGAAAAGAGTGCGATCGAACAAATAGGTGATATAAGTTCTACTAGGGCAAGAAAAGCTACTAACGTTAACTCGACGGCTAAGCGCGTTCAGTGGAGGCTTAGGAGAGCTCAGACGTGACAATTTAGTTTTGCATCTGATTGGTTGAGAGAGAGGCGCGGGTTCTCTGGACCAATCACGGACCAAATTATAGAAAGAAAAAAAAAAAAAAAGAAGCAATCCTGAATTACTTTCGACACTATTGAGAATTGCCCCAAGGATGAAGGTTAGTACGGGATTGACAGAACCCGAGGGATCCAAAGTAAAAGAACACCAGGCAACAGGAAGGCCATGGTATGGATTCACAGAAGTACTTATTTTTCTGTACAGAAATCCCTCATTAATATTTTATCGTTATTTTGGAGTCAACCCTGAGTTAGTGTCAATAGGATTTTGAACAACTCGGTTCAGGGTACAAATGCTTCCTGGAACACGCATTAGCATAAAAGAATTTCGCCAGAAGAGTACGCGTTTAAGAATTGATTCAGCCTCAACTCACATTTTGTGCCAACCGTTAGCTTCTTTCTTAACATTTCTCCATTTTTCTGACAGTAAACCTAATTTGCTCTGTAGTTGAGGATCCATCTGAGTCACCACGGATTGTGTGAGGGAGTCGTACTGCGGTGTTCTCTGTTTCTGCTCCTCTTGCAATTTCTAAAATGCAACAAAGTACAGCATGATTGTCAGGGAGCGAAAAAAAATTACGTGTTGTAAAAGATGTCACATGATGAATAAACGTTCTAAAGTTTGCTTATCGATACAGACAACGAGGTCGAATGTCTTCGAGCTCATATACGTGCAGCTCATTGGTTCAGTGTGATTGATTGTAATTGATGCGTTTTGAAATCCATTACTTGTATTTATGATAATCAAAACGCACCAATGAATGTATACGGAAAAAAAAGCAGTGATAGTTTGCCGCTGCTCACATCTAACCATAAAAATTGTGAAACCTCATCTCACCGCAAACTACACCACGCAAAAGAAAATTTTGGGATGTTGGGAGAACACTCCAAAAGTTTGAAAATCACGAGCCAGATTCACAAACTTTTCTCAAATTCTCTCAACATCCCGTGTGGGGTATTACAACAGTAAATCGATAGGAAGAGGGGTCTATTGCTTCAATAACTGGTAGATGATTTTGTGCATTTTCATCACATGTTTGCGTAACAATATAACCACACTGTACAAGTAAAGACTAAATCACCTCAACTTGCTGAAGTGTGCTGGAAAGGCTTCTTTGGTTTAGCGTCTCAAGTGACTTTGTTTTCAAGACCTCTTCAGATCTGTTCACCCACGCGAGAAGATCATTTAGTGTGCTCTGAGCACTTTGCTGAAAGGTAAAAAAATCCAAAATTTAAATAACTTTAATAAGTTGTGTGTAGTGTGTGTTTTTTTTGGTGAGTGATTTATGTGTTTTACTTGTTCAAAAGAAGTTTAGAGTGCTTTTCGATTGAGTGTCGTAAAACGAAGAGTAATCTAAAATACCAATCAGAAGAAGGAAAATACCCTGAAAAACCTATGCCAACTCAAAGTAAAACTGACCAAATTGCCTAGGGCGCGGGAAAACGCGACCAAGTCGTGATTGGTTTTAGTTTTGCATCTGATTGGTTGAGAGAGTGGAGCGAATTCTGTTGACCAATCACAGAACGAAAAAAAGCCAATCGAAAGACAATCCCGGATTTCTCTCCACATAGTATTGAAATTGCTCCAAGAAGAACTTCTGAAAGTGAAAAATTATTGTTTCATTCACTTCACCTTGTCAAGCGTTGGCACCGTTTGTGTTTCAAACATGGTCTCTGGTTCTATAGCATGTTCATTCAATGACACAGAAGCTGGTTCTAGCCGTTCTGTGATGCCAGCTATTTCCTGGTCATCAGGCATTTGGATTTCTTTCCATAGTTGTTCCACATCTTTTGATCCAGCCAGAAGTGGTATCTTACCCTGAAAAGAATGAAATGATCACTGATTTTTACGCAAACTCTTTTATCGAACACCTTCATATTCTAGTATCTGTTTGAAATCTGAGTTTTCAAGAAAATCTGACTAGTGCCAAGTCATGTAGCACTTAGAAACAAAAGGTTCAGAACATACATACGAACCCCGATTGTGTTACCAGCGCAGGTACAAACATTATTTTTCAGTGCAATGAAAGGGAACCCAGCGTGATAGGCAAGCTAAACACCTAAATTTTTAACAAGCGATCTATGAATATTATCCATTCACACTGTAGCCGGAGTTTTACAAAATTTGATCAGCTTTGATCCACGTTTTACTACCAAGGCAAGATTAAATTTTTGCGTGCAATTAACCCAGGATTGGTGTTAGTCCTTTAACTCCTAAAAAGTGACCAGCATCTAATTTCTCCCAACAATATCACCCCTGAATCAAACAATAGGGTCATGAGAATAAAGGAAATGATCACCGACTAAACAAGCTCTTGATTGTTAAACAAATTCTCTTTGTCATCACCTTCGCAAATGTACAGAGAACAATATGGAGAATATGCATATTGATGTGACTATGTAAAGGGGCTAATAGGGAAAATGTCAACTCAGCCCTAAGTAGGGTGAAGTTCCAGGAGAGTGGATCATCGCTACCCATCATCCTTAGAGCCTAGGTCCCAGTCTCCTATCCTTCACTGCTCATGATACCTGCACCAACTTTGTTATCCCTTCTAGCAAGAAACTGTACCAACTAACCTTCTCAGGAGAAGTGGATTTTATGATCTTCACTTGCGTAAAAACTTGTTCTTTGCTTAGGGCTTGCTTTAAATTCCAGTGTCTTGTTCTCCACAATGTCAGTAAATGTTTATACTGAATTTCTAACCTGGTGAAATAGGAAAAAAATAATACTGTAACAATACTGGAGAAAAACCTATCTTTAAAGGTTGCCAAAAGTGATAAATGAGATTGAATTATTGATATCTTATTTGTCTGTTTTAATTAAATTGTGATATATTTTTTTATAATTTCTTCTCAGACAATATTTCTTTCTACAGGTCAAATGCTTGGTTAGTCAGAAGGTAATATTTTCTGATCTGACACAAAGAGTCCACTCACAAGACGTTCTTCCTTACCAAACAGAGCACATGCAAAATCCAAGTTTTTTTATGTTGAAGGTTAAAATATGTGACCATTACCTGGTGGAAAATTCTGTAGCTTCCACATCTGGAGCAGGAATAACAAAACATACGGATGGAACTTCACACTGTCTACTGCTGGCATTTGTAATCTGTCAAAGAGTACAACAATTTTCATTAAAAAAAGAACAGATATGGTGATCTATCTGTTTTTATCTACATGCCTTATTTGTCTTGTCTGTCTGTCTGTTCAGGGTAGTCATTAGGAAATGTAAAAGATGCACAATCTGAACTTAGTAGACAGTTGAATTGAATTGTGCTTGCCAAGCATTTGCAGTGCACCTTTCTTTAAGGGGTTGAGGGGCATGCTCCACATTTTTTAGCCAGACAGTGATGTTGCAATCAGTTAAATTTACTTCTTTTCTGTTTTGAGCAAAATTCACAAGGTAGCCAGCAGGTTTCTGCCTCTGACCGCCTTCTAATGACAATCCTGCTGCCTGTACATCTGTCTGCGAACAATGTGTCCCTCTTGTTTATTTACCTGTTGATCATTGATTGTTTGTTGGTTTCTCTTTCTGTCTACGTACTTTGATTGTTGATTAGTCAGCCACACAGCTTGTCTGTGTTTTACTGTTTGTATATTGGTTCTCAGAAGATCTTGATCACTGCTTTAGATTTAACTCAAAGTAGTTATTTCAGCAATAATACATACTTTCCAAGAATGATGCTCAGAATTATCCAGGAGTAGACATTCTTCACCTTTGTTGACAACATTCTGAAAAGCAAATTAAATAGCACACCATGTGTTAATAATAGGCCATCTAATGGCAAAAGAAATCCCAAATTTCTGACAAAATCAAGTTTATCACCAAATAGTAAGTGTTTGAGAAAAATACTTAATAACCCAGCTGTGTAGAACTTAGGTAAGAAACTTCAAACAGAAGTCACAAATTCCAATCACTGCATCAAAAAGTGCCCGCCATTCTTACCTGCATATTCTTGTAACTGCACACTGGATCAACCAAAACTTTGCCCTTCAATTTGGATTTTCTTTGTGGCAGGGGAACTACCTTTTTACTCAGAAGTTGCAATGAGCTAACGACATCTTTGAAGTCAACAAGTTCTTGCTTCATTTCCTACAAGAAATTTTAAAATACGTCAAAAAATTAACAAAATGTTTCTCAACATCCTGAAAGAACAGATTGAGATTGTGTAACCTCTTCCAATAACTGTATATTTAATAAAGACCTAAGGAAACCCTGAGGAAAATAAAAAAAATTGAAGGATCTTAGCACAATCAATTTGCATGGTAACTTGTTGCATAAAACATGACAATACTGTCACATTTTGGAACATGCTATAGAATCCTGTGATCAATGAGTTGTCACAGGCAAAGTTGACTGAAGAGGTATACCACTGCTTTGAGTAGGATTTTCCAGTTGAGACACCTGTATTAAATTAGTACCTTACATTTAAGGGCACACCAGGTTATTTTGTCATTAAGATTGTCACTTTGTCTGGACAACTGAGGAGGTTATAGACTTAGAACCTTCATAGCAGGACCCCTTCTCTAGTAGTAGTAGTAGCTCATCAAAATACAACCAACATGTAAAATATTCTGCAATACCATACACCAAAATGTCTAATGAGTTTTTCTTTTTTAATCATTCAATTAATTTACTTCATATGCATTTCTCCTAAAGGAAGAGCAAAGCAATAGAGAAGTGATTTGTAGTCCAGATATTTGTACTTGATTTACACATTCTTTGTACTCTTAATTAAACAGTTGGCTAATAAAAGCTTATCGTAAAAATAGACTAAACAATGTAGATATCTTTAGGTGGAATTTAATTCTCAGAACCAGCATTACAAGTGAAAAGATGAAAGGTAAAATCACTCAGGATCAGATAAAACTGCAAGGAAAAATACTAACAAAGAAATACTGAGATGAATGTGCAAGATTAAGGCAAGAAAAGCAATAAATCAGTTATTGACAGACAACAAACTAGGGCCAGTAATAAGGGGACTGGATTATATTGCTGATTGTCATCTATGGCACTCCACCCCCTCAGTCATTAATCTGACATGATCAAATATTCTTATATGATCAAACATTCTTGTATGATCAAATATTCTGGAGTGATCAAATATTCTGGTATGATCAAATATTCTGATGAAATCTAACATGTGGAAAGAAATCTGATAAAACTTGGTTATGTTAAAAGTGCAAAAGGAAAAGCTGTTCTTCTACTTATAAGATAACATAACATTCTTTGAGGAATTATCTTCAAAATGACAATAGGTAATATAATAATTGAGCAGAACTTTCTTATTGCAGAACTTTCTTATTGCAGAACTTTCTTATTGCAGAACTTTCTTATTGCAGAACTTTCTTATTGCAGAACTTTCCTTTTGAAGTCATGCCTGATTAACTTTTGATATACAGAGGAAACATATGCCTGATGAAACATGAACAGAAGGTAGGAGGAGGGAATGATTGAGATGCTGACACTCTTGTTCAAGTCTGACACCATCTGTAATCCACTATTATCATAATTGTCAGTGATCATGCATATTGTGCACAGTTAACCCTTTAAGAGTGACTAGTATTTAATTTAGCCCCACAATATTGTTCTGCATCACATCAAATTAAAGTCAAAAGAGTAAACAAGATGATCAACACTGGAGGAAGCTCTTCATTGTTGAACAAACTCTCCTAAACAGCACCTCAGGAAATGCTAAGAGAAAAGTTCCTGAGGAGAAGTATATTGATGTAAGGATGTAAAGGGTCAAATGGCTGAGTGATTGCCATTAAAGGCTCTATCTGTAAGTATATGGTCTAAAGCATCATTAAAGAACCAGTAATATTATGTGCAGAATTCATTGTCTAAAGAAATGATTCAGAATCAACCTAACAGTAGTCTACACAAATTGTTGGCAAGAAATTATAAAAAAAATGTAAATTTGTGTGTTAACTATCACAGTTTGATTAAAACAAACAAATAAGATATCAATACCAATCCTTTCCACTATGTTGAGTTTCAAAAAGATATGCTATAAAAATATCAAAATGCATAGCAGTGCACTTTGAGAGAAAGATTTACTAACAGTGTCCACCTTAGGAAAACTTAGGCAGAAATTTTAGTGGATGAAACTGAAGTATTGAGACCATCTTCAAAAATATCACCTGGGCTTGTGTTTCCTTATCATTATGAATAGAAATTTTGTTGTGGTTAAACCTAGTATTAGCTTGGTAAATTTCCAAACCAGTTATATTTATAATACTTCCACAACTTTGTAATAGTAATATATTTAACTCATGCTGACATCTGATGCAAAACTTTTATGTGATGTGTACAAAAAAGTCAACAGCTACAGCATAGTAAACAGATGACAGCACAAGTCATGCCAAAACAACTCTTTAAAAAGTTTCCTTGTGAATTTGAAGTTTACTTTGTTTTTATCTATATTTTCAATTTATTTTGATACAGCAAACAAGGGCAGTTTTATTCATACTGGTGGCATGTCTAAACATTTCACACCAGAAATATGCATTTAAACTGAAATATATTTATTCCTTGGAAATTTCTTTAACCAACTGTAAACATTCAGGAAAGAAGAGGCATGATATTTATAACAAAATTTTTGCTTACCAACAGCACAAGTTTTGAGCTTAATTTTATTTTGCCATAATTAAATAATTTGAATAGACATACACTATAATCCTCTGTGAAGGTCAAATTTTCTCAAAGAATATAACTGTAAGTTAATCGGAGAGTGAAATAACGAAAGAAATAAAACTTAAAGATCTGTAAACAAGACAGAGAAGTGAAGCGCATGATTCTCCCTTGAACTAGGCTTAAAAAAATGAAAGCTTCTTCGTGAGTATGACTCTTGCCAAATATTGACACAAATTCAACGTTTATTTGACTTGTAATTTAATACCGCTTGCGGCTCTAGCAACGTCGACCTCGATCCCCTGAAGCTTCACCGCATGAAATTAACAACAGGCGAAAATTGATCACGCGAGACACGTCGGGGTTTTTTTTGTTTAAAAATAACCAGCTGTGGAAAACTACCAAACACAACTCCATAAATTTGTCTTGCAAATGGGCCAATTTACTTTCAGAACACTTCGTCAGACCGATATCAAGTATTTAAAAATTCCACTCGAACAACATTTTCGAGTTAAAAGATCGAGAGATAAAAAAGAAAAAAAAAGCGCTTTCGGAAACTGGAGTCAGACATAAGCACACTATTCTAGAATGCAAATTAAGCACAGTGTTTGTCGCTAATATAAGTTCATTCGCCACGTTTCGACCTGTTCAAAACACTTAAAACAGTCTTTTTGGATGAACATCTAGGCAAACTGTTTACCTGCTTAAGTTGAAGCATGTCCGTAACGACGTCTTTAAACTTTGGCTCTAGATCCTTCTCACTTTCCGTCTTTGGTCCGCGCAGAAGCAACAAATAACGTTCTCTGGGTGCAGAAACACTTCTTTCTTCGATCTTTCGATCGAAAATATCGCGAATATATTCCAAAGAGTATGCGATAATCGTTCCCATTTGTGACTGTCTGACAACCGGGAAGTTTTCCAATGGAATTCCCGCCTGGACTGCCTGCTCCGAGGCAGGGAGAACTCTTTCTCTTAAAAACCTTTGCCAGCGAGAGTCGTGAATTAATTGATCGTGATCGAAGATCGGCTGCTGTGAAGTTCGCCATCTCACTACAGTAGCCGCGCTGTGTAATGCTCGTCTGAATGCAAAATAAACACGAGTGCAAGGGCCCTTTATCATTTGAGTTACGAAAGAGACTGGATGAAGAAGATTATGGAAAGATGCTCGCGACAAGCGCGCTGTTCTTATGGGAACCGCTGCAGATCTTCGTCCATGTAATTTGTTTTCGTTCCTTGATCGGTAAATGAAGTACAAAAGTGAAATTAACGCCACGAAAGCGACAGCCGCCGATGTAAATAAAATGAACAGGAGAAGTGGTATGGGATTCCAATGCAAAACTACGCACATTTCTTAACTTTCGCGACGGCTAGCTTGCCAGGACTGTTTTGATAAAGAAATTAAGCCGTCTAGCACTTTCGGCATCTGTTTCGTCTAAAGCTTCGTCGTTGTCGTTTGCATATAAGTCATTGTTCGGAAAGACGGCTGGATCTGACGTTTGAGAAGTGTGCCTGTGCACGTGTAAACTGAACCTGCGTGGATCCAATTCATCAGTCACGAGTTCTCACTCCACAAATCAATCCGTCAGTTGCACTAATTAACTCTAAAAAAATCAGTGAACAAGTGTTCCCAGTGATAGACGTCAATTCCCTCTGTACAATCAATACGCTTCCTGTTCTGGTTATGCAAGTGGACCTTGGAGCAATAACTTCCAAACAACTATTTCCACACTCGACAGGAAATCCGATACGCGCGCGTAAAGTTCGAAACCAGACACTCACAAAGAGAGGCAAATTTTGAATTTTAATTATCGAAATTAAATATTAATAACTTTAATGCTAAACTACTCGCAATTTGTTTTTAATATCAGATTTCAATAATAGAGACCGGAAAGGGTGTAAATAAACACCGAGAGCATTTTAAAATACCGCGAAGTAACGTCAGAGTAAGCAAGAATTACCGTGATATTGCGTGAAAATCATCTGGTCGACTTGCAAAAGTTTTTGGAAATAAAAGATATTTTCTAAAAAGCCTATTATGCAATTTCTCGTAAATCGAATATACATGAGCAGCAAACAGCTAAGAAATGCACCACAGTTAAAATGGAAAAAGATAAAGGCTTTGTTTATCATGCAAATAGATAGTTCACAGTAGTTACTAAGAATACTAACCAACAATCAAATTTCGTAAGTCACTTGTTTAAACACCAGTGGACCTTTACGAAGACAAAAGCTATTCTAATGCAACAGTTTTGTCCTTCTGTTACCGCCACGTCAGATGTGACCAACAGCACTTAAGCTAGAGACTTCTAGGTATTGTTAACCACCTGTCAACTTATAAATTCCAGACCAGCAAATCATCTTTTTCCAATAATAGAGTGTATTCTAGAGGGTTTTTGTTTTTCCATCTATGCCCACGTTCTTCGCGGGATATACTATTCTTTCAACTGGTGCCGGAAATTATATGCAAATACTACGATATCAAAAATAGAACCAATGAGTTCCCTTTTACGATCATTTTGTGATTACAGATACTATAAGCATTCGCACAGAGCATGCTGGATGCAAGATACTACGATAGCGGTTTTAACGTGCGCGCTCTCTTTGGTGGATATGCGTGTTTGAAAGAAAGTAGTTGAGCACGGTTTACCGCTGTCACAGGTTCTCCCAGCCCACCTCGTGTTTAGATGGCGCTATATAAACACGGGAAAAATCCCCTTTACTCTGATAATTCGCTTGCTAAAGAAATCAGAGGAAGGTTTATAAAACCAACTATAGAAAATAATTAATGCAAAATGCAATCTGCATAATTGTCTGTGAAGATGGGTGGAAGGCGGACTCAGGGTGTAATAATTTTAATTGCCGTCTTGGAACAAAAAGTTGCGGTTGACCATCGTGATGAACACATTTATAAGTGAAGTATGATCGTTTTACTCACGAGCCACTCATTTTGATTCTATGAACTTTTTAACTGGTAACAGAAAATCAACTGACCATTTTATTTCCTCACTGATTCTTTGCACACCCCACGATTGTCAAGACCCCATTCAGACAATCAATTTCCTTATCAACTTGATTATTTTACCCCTCCATAGCTTCTTTAACAATTTAAAAAAAACCTGAAGGTCTCCTGTTTTCGTAGCTTCCAGATTGTAACTAGAGTACGGGAGAGTATTACAGGATTTATTTCTTGATGAATCGTCAGTCAGGACTAAGTTGTAAGACAGATGGAGCGTCTCCCGTCAAGCGAGACTACACCCCAGTTGCTTTAGCCGCTGGTCGCGGTTAGAATGCCCAGAAAAAGAGACGAACGCAAATCGAATTGTTGTTTCTTTTTCTCGCCTAGCATGCCAGGTAAGAGAAAATTCGAGTCAGGAACGCGGAGGAAAGATACAGGCCGAATCCAAATGCAACATTTTTTTGATGTAGATATAGCTGACTCCGCCTCTGGGCATAGAGAAAATTACGTGTTCTGATTAGCTACCCAAGCGAGGCATGTGAATATCTTGCTATATTCACCACACGCCGAGTCAATAACACATAGAAACCTGGGCTGTTTATTAACAACTCACCGTCAGATTATTCAGAGCTTGCTCGGCTGCGTCACGTGACGATATGTTTTGTACGTCATATTCACTGTTCAGTCGATCGATCAACTGAATCATCTTTTTCTCTGTGGTATGTGCGTCTTGGAAATACTACACTCAATCAAGTAAAAGGAAAAGCAGGAAACTTAAGATGCATTTAAACCGTTTCAAAACTGATCCATGTCAGTATCTGATTAACTGCGCACCTACCGCTCCCTTATTCCCAAAATAATCAACTGATAACAAGTCAGGGTTCTTGTTGGGTTAGGGGAGGGGTAGGTGCGCAGTTGCAGAGATACTGAACCGAAAGAATACAGATCAAGCAGAGAGTGACGAAAAGTAACGGAATGTTGTCAGTTTACTCTCGATAAGAATACAAGATCTCACAAGGCTGGAAGAGACTAACATCAGAGGTTGAACAGATTATTATGGTACAGAATAAACCACACCTGTTGGTACATCTCTGCATTTCTCACGTGCTGCTGGAAGGCGACGAGAAGTTGAGTAAGCCACCACCACTGACTGCGCATGGCATTCAGGTACGCCTGCATGGAAAAGATATCAGCCGAACACTCTCGTTACTAGACTTTTAAGCCGTTGTTTAGTTCTCGTGATTAATTTCCTCTGAATTGAAAACAACACAATGGCGAACGTGCTGGATTCCGGATCGAGAGGTCTGGGTGTACGAAATAGTCGGGTCACTGCCTTATGTTCTTAGGCAAGACCCTTTGCATCCAAAGCAGGGAGCTCCTTCCGGGAATATGATGTGTCTACGAATAAACTCAGAGAAAGCTGACGAAATTTTTGGGGGTAACCAGGGAAAAGACCATCATTCCATTCGGGGAAGAAGCAAACTCCGGCAGGGATAAGTAGCTCCGTTCATGTTCGAACCTTCTCACAAAGATTTGCCCTCACACCTCTCCACCTCATCACCCTAAAACGCTGAATTGTAAATTGCTAAACATTCAATTCTCTAGAAAAAAGTACGCTAATCACCGCTATTCTTTCACGTCACAGGGCCACCAGTGACGATCCCCGTCTTTTCTCTTAATGAATCTCACCTCTATTGGTTCTGGCGCAGGGTGCCCACTCTGCACCAGGTTCTCTCCTTTGGTAAGCAGCATATTGTAGTGAGGTTCTCTGTCTCGAACATCAAATTCAAGATTCTAAGGGCATAAAAAATTTTACAAGTTTAACCATTGAACTCCCAAGATCTGATTGGTTTCCTCCCCTCTAGCTGTTACACATTTCCTGGTAAATTAGTTGGGAGAATTTGGCATTAGATCAAGATAAGAATCTCTCAGTGATAATTTTGAGCATTCTCATTACTTTTTTGCTGGATGATGTATGATTACTATAAGGAGAGGTTACAAGTTAATCACTTCCGGGAGTTAAAGGGTTAAGCAACAGCGTCATTCCCTACTCTGCCCCAATCCCGCTCCTCTCATAATTACAATACCTCTCCGTGTGCTTGAAGATCTTCAATGTCGTGATCTGTGATGGACCAGTCACGTGAGACCTCGGGCTCTTCCCGCTGGTTCATCCAGATCAATTCTTTGGTGGCTTCGCTCATAAACTCCACAAGACTCTTTAGATAATTAATGCGATTCACAGAACTTTTCTGTAAGATAAGAGTTCATAATGTATCAATACACAATTCGAATTTGGACGCACTGATCAACAACAAAAGAGAAAGAAGACATGTAAGATCAAAGTGTCGCACCACAAGAGCGGCGTATTCTTCGTGGATTTCAATGATCTTCTCACTAAGACTTCTGTCTTCAGCCTGCGTCAAAACAGAATGATATGTCAATAGATATCTACTGGATACACATGAGACATTTCACCCTCTCATCATCTAATCATCATATCAATACTCCTTGACCAAGACAACGCTCAAAGGCACTCCTCGACCCCAGATCCCTTCCGACCTAGCTCCTTCAGGTATCGGAACTACAAGTGCACTGGTTTTCCACGACACGTAACGATTTTCCTCATAGTTACGACGCCCTTAATTTATCAGTATTCTTACAACATTTTCCGCCCGGTTAGTAACACAAAACAAATCTCACCTCCAGTTGTTTAAGTTTATCCAGTTCGTCTTTAAAGGCAAGCACAGCATCGTGTTGAGCATGGTGGTTTTGTTGGTGTCTCTGTGCAGATGGTAAATCCAGACCAAAGTCTTCCTTTTCGATGGCGTCCTGTGCAAAAAAAGACATCGAGATTGGAGGTCAATGGCTATCTACGTATAGGCTGTAAAAACAAGGGATGTGTAACTTAATATCTGTAGCAGGAGCCACTAGCAACGTTAATACTTTTATTGAAAGTATTGTTTCAGTTTCTGACTCTTCCATCAGAGTCCACAGTGGAAAGTCGAACAGAAAGAAGATTTTAATGACAAGAACACTACACTTTCAAACTACAAGCGCGTTTGACTCAGAGCCTCCTAATTCAAGAGAAAAAGACATAGTTTGAAACATGGGTGCGAATTCACAGTTTCTAGACCTGCAAGTCAGAGGTAAACAATAACGAGCATAAATTGGCAAAAACAGCCAGAATTGAGTGCAGGTCCACAAGAACATTAATGCAACGTCTTCTTGGATGAAGTTAAAGACCTGTCATAAATCATTCAAGCAACTAGAAGGAAAGTCCTTGACATTTTGACATCTAATTTACCTAATTTTAAGAAGACAGCAGAGAGCTCAATGTAAAGAAATGAGCTTCTAGAAAACATTGCTCGTATTTTTGGAAAATATTATTATGGGGGAGGTTAAATAACACCAAAAAATGTCTTTCTGACATTTTACATGAGGGAGAACATTTTGAAAACGCAATATTTTAAATACCTGATATTTACGAAACAACATTTTTCTATCCAATCGAGCCATATTTTAGGAGCGTTGTTCCACGTATCAGTTTTCTGACGAAGTTAATTTTTTGTCGCAAAAAAAGACAACTGCGTAACGCTTCATATCAGCGAGAGCTTATTGCAAAAATTTATGCCTGCCTCTGACTGTGCCAGAACGGCAAATAAACATCAACAAATAAATGCAAAACGGAAAAATAATGTGAAGTTTCTGGTTACCACCTGCTAGATACGTGTTATTTAATGAAGATAAACAACCTACTGAGGGTTACCACAAAGAGGTGAAATATCTATTTCTACTTTGCTCGAGTTTATCAATAAATTATGCCATGTCTCATTTTGAAATTTTGCCCATATGATGACAAAAACAAGAAACACTTCTCACAATCACAAAACTATGAAAACAAAAACATTTTCTCACAGTTTAAGTTATGATCGGGGAAGAAACAAAGTTTCTAAATTTATCACTGAATTCTATTCCTGGTTTGTTCCGATCGAATCTATGGCAGTCTGCTAAAACTCAAAATGAGTTTTATACCTAAGTCAACGAAAACCCTCTCCTTAAGTTTTCCTTTTGGTCTATACATGATGGTGAAACTGATTCACAATCAATTCCACGACAATTTAAACTTAGACAAGATGTCTAAAAATAACAGTGCATGGGGAAGTCGAAACTCAATACCGGTAATGAAAACATGGTGCAAGAGGCAGGATTCCACACGCTAAGAACTGATTGAGCCTGTGTTTAAAATTCTTTGGCCAGCAGTCGGACTGCATAAATCACAATGACGTCACGCTAAAAATGATATATGATTAAAATAGCCGAGGAGATATGAACTTCATTTAAAACCAAAACTCAAAAGTAACGTTATTATCAATTGCTTGCTAATCCTGTTCACGATTCAGTTTTCGACCAAAGTTAGTTTTTTAACGAACCTTTGTTTCTCTTATCCAAGTTAACATTGCATCCAATCGCTGTGATTTATCCCCAGCTCCATCCAGTGCTGCAAACTTCATTCTCACTCGTGTGCGGCCCTGGGTCGAGGTTGTACTGTCGCTTCCGTCTGGGATAAATTAAAATTTATAGGTAGAATCAAACTCAAAACAACTATTTACTCCATAGCCTAGGCGCCAAAAGACCACTTCTTTGCGCTGATAATCAATTGCAGGGAGATTTTTTAATTGACTGTTGTCATGCCAAATCAAAAGTAATCCCAACGGTCGATTAACGCAATGCACCCTGCTATCAGTATGCATATTCTCCATACTTTTATCAATACATTCCATGTGGAACTAACAAGGAGAATTTTTCAAACAATCAAGAGCTTCTTAAGCTAGCGATCATTTCCCTTATTCTCTTGACTTTGACGTTTGATTCAGGGGCGATACCGGAAGGAGAAATAAAATGGCAGTCACTCTTTGGCGTCCAAGGGTATAAATCGAGAAGAATCAATCAGAATCAAAAGAAATGGAAATAATTTGAAGTGTGGAAAACATCTGATTGAAAAATCAGGACAGCAAAAGTTTTTAAAGACAAACCACAGAGTTCTGTTTCTTTCTTACCGTCACTCAAACCCTCTGCGGACATGATCCGAGCAACAGTTGTCCTTGTTTCTGTGGGGGTGCCCCCTGAGGAACGGTAGGTCCTCTTTGTGATGGTTATGACCTTTCTTCTTGTCGTGACCTCTTCCAAGTCTTCTAGGCCGGGCGTTGTTTCCTCCGTTGACACCACAGTTTTCTCCACAGGTAATTCCAGTTTCATTTTCTTGCCGTCAGTCGTGCTATAAGTCTGGTAAGTGAGTACTTTTGTGGAACGAGCTTCCAATCGATCCTTCATCTCAGACCAGCGCCTTTCAATGGACAGAACTCTAAAAAGGAAGGAAAAACATGTTCGTGAAGTGGCCTACACGGCTGGAGCCTTTTTAACCGGTTTCTTCAGCATCAAAAGCCAGGAATGCTGCCACTTCTGTGGTCAGCTTGTATCCGTGAAAATATTTTAACATTAATTGAGGTAAAAGTTGGCCATAATTTGTATAATTTCCTCTTAACAAACTGTAGGTCATTAATCTTCTTATAAATGTGCGAATCGCTCAGTAAAAAGTCTCCCAGACTCACTTAATTCTTATTTCATCCGCTCTGGAGTAGCGGCCGGCGACAAGAATGTCCACGCCAGATAACATGTGCTTGATACTCGTCTCAAACATCTGCAGGAATGAAAAAAATATTATCAATCCAGACTATATCAAAATAATGCAGGGAAATTGCAAATTATTTTATATTAAATACATCAAAATCTCTTCCTCCTGGAACAATTATGACCCCGCTATCCAAACGTCCACCCTCTGTTTCCTAAAATTAGCCAAATGCAGCCTGTGTGAGTGCCTGTGTAGCAAAAAGACAACTTAAGGATGGCGCTTACCACAAGAGACTTTTCAATTTGGTAGAAGTGCTTTCGGCGTGTCTCGCTATCAATGGTATTACCGACTTCCTCTTCCTGCAAGGGACAAAATAAACATGATACACGTTTCAATTAATAAAATATTCTTATAGCCCGCCAACCAGTCATGTGAAGGAGAACAAAAACTTGGAGTGAACTATTTAAGCAATAGTCCGCCTTTTTTGCCAGTTTACCACCGGCGTAATAACCAATACGGATGTTAGGAGAACGCAAGAAAAGTTTGTAAATCACGTGCCGAAGGCTATAGGTTTACCAGTGCACTAAATGATAGGTTTTGGACCAATCAGGACGCTCCTAGTATCTCAATTATTTCATATTTGTAAAAGTAATAGGACCGAGTGGAGTCCAGTTCGGTCTGTAATCAGACGGGTGATGAACAAAAATCGGACTACCGCGATACGCGAGTCCGATTTGTTAATCACGAATATGATTACAGACCGAATTGGACGACATGATATCCTGTTACCAATTCATCAAATCTATGACAGAATTTGAGAACGAAACTTAACATCAGTTATACGTTTTCATAAAAAAACCAGTTAACTCGGCGAAATGCGAGGCAACAGCGCGCGCAAATGACGCGTTCTGTCCACTTACACCGGCATGACGTGTTAACTGTCCCTTTAACTGTCCTATTACACTGTCCAATTACATACATGACGCGTAAACTGTCCTATTACACAATCTAATTACAAGCATGACGCGTACACTGTCCTATCAGTGTTCAAATCGGGCTGGTGATAACCAATCACGTTCGAGAATTTTGTTGTAGTTTTGATTAAACATAGATAGCTGTTACTTCTGTACTTACTGATTTGATTCTTTCTTCAATGTCATCGAGTGAAGCGTCGACAAGAGTTGCCTGGTGATAGAGAGGAACAAATATTGATTTCTATATTTTAAATTGTAAAATTGATCCTATGATTCAGAAAGCAAAGGAAGCATAAAAATGCATGTTACCAAATATAATAGTTCAGAACGCGAAGTTAACAAACACACCATCAGAGTAGCTTACCACGACTCCGTAATCTCCTTTTATTGAACCTGTTCATTGAACCCAGGGGTAACATGCGATAGTGCAGTCTGATTGTCCAGGCGAGTGTAGTCCTGAGAAGTACTGTTGTTGGTAGTGGTGACTGAGCGAAAGTCATCATCAGAGTCACTTGACTATGATGAGGACTTCCGCTCAGGTTGTCGAAGCGTCAGTCACCACTATCGACAACAGTCTTTCTTAGGACTATACTCACCCGGATGATCAGACTTCACCATCTCCTTTTATAATCACCTAAAATTGCTTGGATTTCTTGAAAATTCAACAGGTAAAAGGATTGCGCTACCGGTTTGAAAATTTATTTTTACCTGTCGTGTTTAAAATAAGGGAGAACGATGAATTTGCTCTTCGATCAGTCGATAGTCGCGTATAATCGCTCAAATAAAGTTTTCAACACGTTGTTTACAAACATAACAGACAGTTCCAATCTGTATGGAGTTGCAAAGAAACTTAACCCTTTAATGCCGAGAGCGACATTACATAATAAATGTTTAATCACTTATTCTGAAATTTTCATCACCAAAAGGCCAGTAAAAGATCTGCATATTGAAGACATAAAATCATGGCCCCCTCCAATATAACTTGATTTACCACCCCTACAACTTTTGGAACTTTTTGTCTTTGTACATATACTGTTTTGGTCCAGGTGATATCTCACCACAATCAACGTTCTGAGAGCTGCAATTTACGCTATAGTTTAGTGGTATACCCTTGATTAAGGAGGCAAACGAAAAATTTCAACGTTTTTCCTTTTTCACTTTGGACTCGTTTCAGTCCTTTCAGTTAGCTCCTCACACTTTTTGGTGTCATTTATATCATACCCCAGAAAACACTTTTAAAATTAAATATTAGACGTAGTCTGATGATTCATCGTTCTAATTTTTGAAAAAATTTGGCATTTCCTTCGGGCAGTCAAAGGTTAAGGGCAGCTTTTCCTTTATAAAGAAAGTATCTGCTATGTTTGATACTGACCTCCTTCTGGATTTTTTCTGCCACTTGATGCATCTGTTCAAGCCTGTAAAATATTTGGATTCAAGCAGAGGCATAAGATCCTAAATTAAACCAGGTATTCGAGACTCGATCTTTTGACTTTCACACGTAATCAGCGACTACCTTCTCCCAATAATTTACATACATTATCATGCAGACAGGTGATAAGTTCAAAGTGGATTATCAGTTAGCGCGTGTTATCTTGATGTCAGCCCAAATTCCTTTGTCTGGGGGATTAGGCGGGATTAATGGTGAAATTTATATATGGGAACATTTCATCTGTCGATTTAGATCCTCTGAGATTGAACTGAAAACTTTCTACACGGATTTCATAGTGTGCCCAGAAGCTGTCTGTGATTGGTGGAGGCATTTGGAAAGAATATATGACAGCTGATCACAAGCACTTTCGTGGAGATGCGTATCAAGAGACTGTGTAATCCTCTTAATCGTAAACTTTACCCTTTGATTCTCAAGGCCCCGCTAATGAAAAAGACAACACGATGGTCGTTCAAGACAGATTTAAATCATTCTGGATTCTTGTGGGCGACATCTTCTTTTCAAATCATCACATTTTGCACTTTCATGAATACGATTTACAGAGTATCGCTTGAGCTGTGCTCTAGAAGAGCCCGAGTGCCACTGGCGACCAATTTTTGAACTTTGGCCCTTGTCTTTCAAAAGTTGGCACCAAAACAACGCCTTCAGTGACCTAGTGATTGTTCTAAGAGCACTGCTTTGGACGCATATCATCTTAACTAAATTCAGTCAGATTAACAGCTGAAGAGTGAAAACATATATCTAACCTGGTAAGCTCAATTCTTAGTGACTTGTTGTAGTTGTCCTGGGTCTCCACAAGCTTTGTCCATGACTGTAAGGAAAAATGATGTAAGTCGCGACTTTGAATTTTGAGAAGAAACACTCCCCACCCACCGCCCTGTACAAGCGAGAGTCCGAAATAGTGACAGTCCCCTTCGCATCCGTTTAAAATAGAGAGAGAGCACGTTGCGTGACGAGACCAAACAAAAGCTGCGAAGGAAATCTTCAATACCGAGAGATGATTAAAATGACCCAGGTTTTAGTTGAAAAATAAAAATATTTAGCGCACAAAGAACACTGAGAGACTCTTTCAAGATGTTCAGTTTCTTTTCATAAGTAGAAAACACGTAAACACACTGAATGAGTCGAAATATCGTAAAAATGTAAACATTCCGGAACAACAGACGACAACTTTGTCATTGAACTCGTCCAATTAATTCGTTGGAAGAAAATAGAACAATAAAAATGTTAGTTTAGAACCAGATGAAGTGTACACGATTCCGAAATAGCATGAGCTGTTTCATGACATTTCCCCGTGGTTTTACCCGTCATTCAGCGCGGCTTGACTCTAAATATTTCTTATAGGAAGGCGAATTCAACTAGTTACTATTCAAGGGGTTTTCAATGAGAAAAACGCACAAGTTGCGTAATTAACCGCTGAGAATCATGTCACATTTAATCTGTGTAAGCAACAGAGAAATCTCTATCAGTTAACGTTACAAAATAAACATTTCTTACCACTTCTAATTCCCTGGGACTACATTCATAAGGAAACTCCAACCAGGTTGCCATAGGGCCATACAGTGCCTGGAAGATAAATAACAAAAGTTACTTAGCTCTTCAGTTGGCTTATTGCAAGTTTTCATAATTTTAAAGCTCAAAACTATCTTAGTTTGAGGCCAGCAGATTTTAGCAGCAGGTACCTAAACAACTTTCTCACGTACACTTTTTTTTTTTTTTTTTTAAGAACGTCGCGATCTCATTTTGAGGCTGAAGCCGAACGCCCTTATTTCGTCTCGCGATTGACGCCAGGAAACGTTCTTAAAATGTTCTTATAGTTGTGTGGTATTCCAATGAATTAATTCTGACGTGAGATAACTGTCCTGCTAGACCACAGTTTTACATTTCTTTTACCATTATTTACACTTCGCAGAAAAAAGTGACTCTCTCTGACTCTCAGTCTGAGTATGTTCTTCGTACGTTCTTAAAATTTTAGTTAATCTCAGCCTAAACGTTCTTATAAAAAAAAGGTTACTATAAAAGAAAGAAGAATTCTTGCCAATTTGTCAAAGTCCAAGACAAGCCCGAGGTCACTTTCCTTCCCAAGAAGATTCCAGATTTTCCCTTGCTTTAGTTAATATTGTCTGAGTTTCTTTCAAGCTGCATGCTATTTTCATCTTTCTAAGATTCTCAGTAATGTTTGCCATATACACCTATCATTCTAGCTGTCAGAATTTTAAAGCCACATAAAACAATGTGGCTATCTGTCTTTCTTCTCCGCATCTTTCTGCTTGACAACATGTTGATATCGTAAGGAGACAAATTACTTCTTGGTGATAGAACCTGTGAAAACTCTGCCAGCGACATAAATTACTTCCTAGTGATAGAACCTGTGAAAACTCTGCCAGCGACATAAATTACTTCCTGGTGATAGAACCTGTGAAAACTCTGCCAGCGACATAAATTACTTCCTGGTGATAGAAGTTGTGCAAACTCTGGCAGTGAGGCGCCCATGGGAGTTTGGTACTGACTTTACTTTTTCATTAACTGTTTTGATTTGTGTGACTGACAACACTCTACAATGGGGATTGCCTGTAATCTAATCCAATCTTTACAGAAAGAACTATTCTCCATAAAAATTCAGAAACACATTTAACTGTACCTGTAGTTCACGAAATACCATTTTTAAGGAATGTCTTGAGGCTTCCATCTCAGGAAATTCACTTATACGGTAGCGGTTGTACTCAACAATGAGCTCCTAAAAGTTAAAGAATAAATTCAAGATGTGTTCATTTTCAAAGGATTATTTCAAGCAGAGGTGCTGCAGAATACATAAAATCATCGAATTTGTAAATCAAAATTTGGATCAATTACTGATAATTTCCAAGGACACTCTTCATAATCATACCCGTATCCCTTCCCCCCTTTGCACCCTCTATCCTTGCCAAAACAACCAACAACTTTACGCATTTTGTTAACTTTACCATTCAACTTTAGCGACGCTTTAGGAAATTAATGTTCACACAATTTTTGTCACCGGTTGTAGCAGGTGTAAGCCTCTTGTGGCTTGCTCTATATCAAGGGAAAAATCTAGGAAGTTTGGAATAACAGAACTCTTAAGTTGAAGGGTGTCAATATTGTACTACAGCGGTAAAGCCACAGAGCAAGAGGAATTGTAGTCAGTCTGGCAGACATTTTAACTCAATGAACGTGAATTTAAACATTTTGTCTAGGCAAAATCTGGAGAGAAACACTTCATTCTCCTCAACTCCTACTACTTTGCTGCACACCATAACAAAAGAAAAGTCTCTTCAGCAAAATTCATGAACAAAAACATACAAATGCTGAGTTTTGTTCTCCTCTATTTCCTTTGTGTTATTATTTAGTTTTTTCCCCCAACATAAATGGTTGTAAATCAAAGGAAAGATGCTTAGTTGATAGTAAATGCACAAATTAACTTTTCCTCCAAACCTTTATTCCATGGATAGTCTTTGGGAATCTCTGTTTCTCCATTTTTTGCTCCACTTTGTTGATCTCCACAACTAGAGCTTTTGCCAAGTTACAATATTCTTCAAACTTGAAAAGCTTTTCCTGAATATAGATAAATCACAGGAAATGAAATTTGACTCAAATAAAGAATAGATTAAAGCAAAAATACTTAACTGGTCAGCTTCGTTCATTTTTTTGGTTTCAAATCCATAAAAAAAAAAAATTAATAAGAAATTGAGAGAGAACTCGACATCTTATTAACAAGGATGCTTACATTATCCTGCAATGACTCTTGCACTGTTGGCTCTTTTGGAAATACTTCATACAAAGAAGATACATATGTCATGATAGATTTTTCATCTGGTTGTTCAGTATTTGCGAGATCTAGAACAGAAATCATAACAGGTTCACGGTCATGCATACAGAAATTTACTTACAATGCATTCATATCCATATTTGACGTAAAAGTTTAAGTAATCCCCTTGCCCGGGAAAATACCCATTTGCTGATCCCTAGTTACCACAATCCATTCTGACAATTTGACACAATCCATGTGGATGGACAAGTGAAGACAATAGCTTAATCTGTCTACCTTTCAGCATCTTATCAGGATTTACCAGCAGTTCTCTGTTATCCCCTTATACTCCTGAGCTAAGGTGATCAGAGCATTGTTATCACTTACCCAAAGTTATGTGCGGCACTATGCAGCTTACCCTGAATTAGTGATGATTTAGTTTTAAACAACTAAACTGAGAAGAACACAAGGAAAGTTCAGATCACAATGCTCTAGCCAGAACTCAAGCCCAGAGCTTTCATTCCCACAAATCCAACCAGCAATTGCCACCAATTCATCCGGCAAACTTCTCCAGCAACTGGTGCTTAACAACAATTCTGAGTGGTTGACCTTCCTGATAGCAAATTGAACCTGTACATTTAGTGATTTATTTTACCTTCCACATCTAAGAGTCTTGGAACACCAAGTTCTTTCTCAGCCACATGAAATGAATACTCCAGGTTTTGATCAGGGCTTGCTTTATTCAACTTAGAGAAGTCTACAAGATCTGGCCTGTTGTTGGAAAAAACAATCACAATTCCATGATATTTCTATTAAAGACCATAAATTCACAAATCACATTTGACTGAAATTTATGTGCCTGACAAAAATCAAACTAAACCCTCTTACACAAATTAAAACATTTAAGATACCTGTATCTGTGAATAATTGCATTGAAAGCCAGCCCATCTCTCCATGAAGTTGTAAAGTTTCCAACATCAACTGAAGGATAACTGAAAACAGAAAGAAACACAATATATTCTTTTCACTTTGCCTCTCAGCAGCATTTTAAGCTCAGCATCAGAGAAAATGTTTTAGGGAAAGTTACATGTTTATCACTTCTGGGAGTTAAAGGATTAAGTAAAAGCAAGCAATTTGTATGATGCACAGAATAACAATGGAAACTGAATGGCAGTTGCTCTTTTTCAGCTCATGATAACTAACTAGTTGGAAAAGGAATTCATGTTTTAAGGAACAATAATGGAGCATAGTAAAGCCAAACTCATCTGCGAAATCCTACTTTAGACACTTAATTGCAAACTGCTCTTATCATCTCAGCACTTACCCCTGAGTTACTTTCTTTGCCCACAGAAGAAGAGCATCTTTAGCTGTCATCTGCTCCTGTTTTCCCACAACTTCCACCTCTGAAATCTGTAATTATACCATTACATAACAATATTGTAAAGAAACATGGACATACATGCATTTAGTCTAGAACTGGACTAAAATGTAATTTTCTGCAAAGATGTTCAAAAGAATCCTACAAGCTATCAACAAAGTAAGGGAAGCTTACTTTTCAAGAGGCAGTGGAACAGTTTTATTTTGAAACTAGTCAGAATTATTCAAGTTTATTTACCTATTAAAGAATTAACAGACATAAAATAAATACATGGTTTATTGTCTGACCTGGTAGTGTAAGATAATTGTCCATATCAGACCCAGGGTAAGCTTGGGATTACCATCCACTATGTCCTCACTACGAATGTTTACCAGTTTCACCTGAAAAAAAATATTCATTAGCTTAAGCTTTGTAGGACATGAGGGGTAACATTGGGTAAAGAAATCTTTCAAACCTGTTACTCCCTAACATCAGTATGCATATTCTCTATACTGTTCTCTATCAATTTACTAAGGTTCTAACAAGGAGAATTTGTTTAACTATCACAAGCTTCTTTTTTCCAGTGAAAAACTCTTCAGGATCAAAGGGTTAGGAAACTTGCAGGAAAGATTGAGGTGTTCAAGAAAACTGTGGTTTAGTTGGAGCTCAGTTTCAAACTAAGCAGGCAGATGCAGATCCATGCAATGTAGTTGAACAAACACACATCTTGTTTTAAGAATACATAGGCTGATTTACAGGGAGAAAATCATCCTCAAGACTTATGATCATAATTAATCCTCAAGACCTATAAATATAATTTATCATTTCATGTGCTTTAAATTTGTAATTCAGTTCAGTACAACACAGATCCTAACATTTCTCTACCAAATACACCCCTGAGTGTCCCATGGTTTTTAATTTCTACAGTATGTGATTGAAGCTTAGGATACCTGCTGTGACTGAAGAAATTCTAAAGCAGTCTGAACATTCTGAAGTCTGTGAAATCTTAGCTGTCCTCTTTCTCTTGGCTAAATAGTAAATATCAAAAAAAAATAGTGAGAAAATTATGAAAGATCATCTCATTACAAAAAACATTAAGTTTACATTCATGTAAAACTTGCAGTTTAGGAAAAGAAGAAATCCCATAAAAACTTTACAAGACAAAAACATCTACAGTTGCAGAGAGATGGTAACAACTACAGATATGCGAAACTAACTCGCATATCTGCCAGAGCTCATCCTCACTTAAATAATATGAAGTAACCAAGATTATTATCAATTCATCCGGATGCCATGCTACATTTAGTCAATAATGGTTACAACTGCATTAGAGAAAGTTTCTTGGACAATTTTCTGAAACTTAGTTACACTTTCCTGTGAAAGATGACTCCATAAAAGTCGTGCACTATCCCTAACCAGACCTTTCCACCATCAGTTTAGCTTGCTAAGTATGTAGGCTACTAAATTAGCCACAAAGAAATTCAAAATGTTACTTCAGTTACTATTTGTTTCAAGGGCTGGTGATTTACAAACTTCTCCTGTGTTCTCACCACACCCCAAACGGGTGATTGCAGCATTATACCAATAGAAAGTGTCATTTACTAGTGCAATAAATGATAGGTTTTGGACCAAACAGGATGCTCATGGTATCTAAGTAATTTTATATCACACATTAGTGCAGTATTCCCAAAACATCAAACACCAAACTTAGCCAGTGCTGAAATACAGAAATCTGGTCTATCCAAGGTCTACTACATACATTTTCTCAAACCACAACTTTTTACAAAATAATATACTTACCAAGTTGATCTTACAAAGAAGCTCTAGCAGTAATAACAGATTGGTTCCATCTCTTAGTTCCTCATATAGATCCAAAATTCGTACATTAACCTGAGAAGGAAACCATTTCAGTAGGTTAGGGCAAGATTCAAGTTAACAAAGGCAACAGTTATCAAGTTATCTTGTCAAAAAGAGTCTTACTTAGTGGATAATGGATAGGTAATTTATAAATAGGTAGCAAGAGGGCTAAATTGCATATTTACAGATATATAATATTACTTATAAAGTTTTAATCCCAAAAAAATACATATTATACGGATAATAAAATACTAAAATTAATTTAACACTGTGAAATTGGTAAAACAAATTCAATCTGTAATAAACATGTCAAAATACATTATTCTCTAAAAACAAGCCTAATAAAAATGTGTTTCTCTAGCAATCTTTTTTCCATTTTGGGACTCAAAAATGCCTATTGCATCTGAGTGAGTCTACTGATTTATGTGCTGTAAGCAAAAGCTTATGAAAGTGGTTATCCTCATCAGTCTGATTTTATTCAGATCCTACTCATTCCTAATCTTTCAATGACCAATTATAGCATTATTGAAATATTAGCAAACGTCCTGAACAAGCTCCTAAAACTGTATAAATCACATCAAGTTAAAGAGGCATGGCTTACAATTAGTTTGCTCTGAAGGATGATTCACCTTTTTAACTCCCTGATCATGAAATGATTAATTTGTAACCTCTCTTTACAACATCAATACATTATCCAGTAAACTGGTGATGAGAATTCTCAGACTTATCCCATAGAGGTTGTTATCTTGATCTAACAACAAATTTTTGTAACTAATTTACAAGCTTGACATTCAGAACTTGGGAGTTTCAAGGGACAACTTTAGGAATAAGCTCCAGGTTTGTATATCATTTTTCTTGCAGGTTGTAAAGCTTTGTAGAAGCTGGTGTTAAGATAACTTCTCTGTGTTTTACCTTGCAGTTTATAAATCATACAAATCATTAGCCCTTATATACTGTTTTTGAAAAAAAAATAAAAACCAACTTTTTAAAATCTTATCCTAGAAATGAATAAACTGCCTTTTGGACATGCGGCCCCTCATAGAGCTTAGTAGTTTTGTTAATGTGATTATTACTTCAGAATATAATCTCTCAGTTAAAGCTGTTCTGTTTGAGAGATAGAAGGGTAAAAACACACTGTGTAAACTTGGCATCGTTATATGGCCAGCCTGAAATTAACTTATTCAAACTGAAAAAAAAATTGAATTGCATGCCTGATGAAAAAAATATCAAAGGGAACTCCCTTTTAAAACAAAAGGTCATACCTCTAGTTCCTGTTTAGTCACTAAATGCTAACCATTATCCTTTTATGAATTCTACACCATTTCAATTTTTTTTATTAGCTAACTGAGATACATGTACACCTTGTAAAAGATAAACATTTAAATTTTAATGTAAAATTGTAAAAAGTCGGCAAAATTTTCCTATCCATACATGATGGTCTCTTAAGACCCTTTGAGGTAATGTATCTTTTCAGCTCACTCCAACATGCCCGAGAAGGCAAGAGAATTAAATTAACTTAATCCTCTTGAGCACACCTTCTACTTTATAACCATTGCACTGTAAAGTGAATTCCAATACAAACTACGGACTCAAGTAATCATTAGATGCAATAGGCCTCTAATGATCGATGAGAACGGAAATCCGTTATTTAACTTAGGGACAGCAGAGGAAAAACTTTGCACCATGTATTCAAATGACAAAAAAAAATTAATGAAACCGCACATTAAATTTCGTAACCTATATCTTACAGATAAGGCTTATGTTCTATTATTAGTAGCAACTAAACACACAGTTGAACCGCAATCGAGAACGAATGAAATTGACAAGCTTACTTTCTGAAGATGATTGTTAACCCACTTTGTGAAAGTTTTCTTCTGAACTGCATCTCTGTGATCTGTAACATAGACGAAATGAAGCAAAGGTTAGCGCAGATTCTTAGTGGTAAGCTTACAATGAAGTTTTAATAAAACTAACTATCCATCCGAGTTGTTATCTTTGAATGAAAACAGTAATTAACACGGACTAATTTACTGCATAAATATACCTGCCTGAACACCGCAGTGTAGCAATGATGGAAGAAAATCTCTAAAGAATTCGCTTTCACTTTCTGTCGTTATATTGGTCAACTTCAGCGAAGCAAAGCTTCTCGACCGATAAGGAAGGTAGTTTAAGTGTTAAATCGACCACTATACTAAGTCGAGTACATAAAATATTCACAAGGCTACTAAAACAAGAAGCCAAGATTTTGCACGAACACTTTCTTCTTCAGTAGCAAAACACATGGTGTGGTTTAATTACCTGGCTCGCTCCGCCTTAACTCGATCATTAACTCATAAACATTGTCGTCTTCCTCATCCAATTCTTCCAACTCGTGGTCCGCCATTTTAAAAAATCTGTTGTCTCCAATCTTTAGGCCCTATTCATTAACCTTGACAAGTACGATTACTCCCAAGAGACTCGCTGCTTCACTCGAAGTCATTTCACAGTCAAACTCGTTTCTCGATCGTCAAATTTTGGTCACAGAGCGATTGATGACATTTACACTGGGCAAGAAAGGCAAGATGCGAGCTCTACCACAGCACCGAAGTAACCATTTGTACTGGACGGTTCTCCGATGAGCAAGAATGCCGATAATTTTCATGCAAGACCTATGTTATCTTTAAATTCCGCCTTCTCAAAATATATTATCAAAATGAAGCCTGCACGCCTCGTCTTTAATAATGGCTGAGATGAATGCGTGATGCGATTAAAAGTTTTCACAGTCGTGTCCTGTCACTTCTTGCATTTATGCCAACTGGAAGTCCAATATAATTTTGTGAAATATGAGAGCGATTCTTGGGGTGTGGGGACAAACATTGTCTGATGTGACCTCCTCTCTGATAAGATGTAATACAGCCCAATAAATTCTTAATTTTATGCAAATGTTGGGCCGGATGGGAAAGTGGCGAAGGACTTTTCTACGTGTATTAATCTTGTAATTTATCCGTGTCTTTTCTTCCAACAACTTTCACCTGATTTGGATTAATACTTTAGCCGACTGCGCAAGTTTGTTTTTGTTTTTCAGTGTTAATATTTTAATATCAAAGAAAATAAGCTTTCTAACTAACAATAAAATAAAAACAATGCATGTCTCGCAACTGCGACTGGAAATCATGTGCTCACTGACTGTGAAATAATGATACGATTCGAGAACTCGGCTGACCGTGCATTTGTTAATGAAAATTGCCAGTACTATTTCTATTTGTATCCTCGAACAAAGACAAATAAAGCAATTGACAGACAGCTCTGTACCTTGTCCTATCTTTAGCTTTATGTAACTGGTTAAACGTCAAATTATTCCGCTAGCATAACTGTTGGCAAATTTTAAGTATAGCTGCCAGAAAGTTAATTCGAAACAGGTACTTTAGCGCTGCTTCGATCGTGAATTGAAGACATGGTAATATACCAATTTAGCTTTCCCATTGTTGAACAGGAGAGAAATTTCCACAAAAACATAACAAGCAGACAGTTAGCCAAGCACAAGGTCAATCAGTTCTAAATGAAAATCTACTTCTCGAGATCTCTGCACGTCAACGCAAAGTAAACAAGTATATGATTCAAGGTAACCAACTTATTAAAATAATGATGAAATTATGCAAAAGAGCGCGCTTACCAGCAATTTTACACACGGCTCTGTCGGCAACGTTCGATGGGCTTCGAGTCCCAGAGCGAGACCTTGGTCTGCCGTGAATGGGAGTAGTTGGTCTAGACATAATAATTCGCAGTATCTTGTGACAACAAGTTCATCTTCTTCTCAGCCAAAAAGAGTCAGTTCTGCTCCACGGTCGAATCTTGGGTTTGGCATCACATCCGTAGACCAGAAATTTCCACATGCAAATAGAATTATTATAAGAACTTACGTTAGTCATTGCTGACACTCAAAAGCATAACAACAGGTATGTTCTCGCAGGGCGCTCTACTCTACCTTGCCGTAGCGATCCAACGGATTAAACAAAGCAACTCCAAGGTACTAAATTAAAATTCTGAAGAGATCGCACAATTTGCCTCTTCACAGACGAGCCACCATGTTTTCCTTTCTTTGAATATTCATTAAAGTTGCTTTTGTGCCGGTTTGTATCGTGATTGGCCGGGCGAGTATGAAAGCAAGTGATTAGGAGCCAAACGCAAAACGCGTGACACACTTTCTTTTTTGGCGCGTAATCCCTCCTTCGCGTTTGAGGTTGTCTCGTCAATTTTATTACTTAATCTTTAGCTGTTGATTTTGCATTTAACGGCACCTATTCCGGACTCGGACAGATTCACTTTAATAAAAACATGGGTGATATGAGAACGAGTGTAAATTTGATCCACTGAGCGATCACATTGAATATTTAAACTTCACGCTTGGCGACCAACCTGCACGAGAAAAATCGGACTGCCTGTAGCGCACCTATGTCGCGCCTTCAATGGGTCAAGAACGAGTGAAATATAATCTTAAGCAGATCTTTCTTCTCTTAAAGAGGTAACGACGGATTTGAACCGATCTTCGGCCACAGGTTCAAAGCCTTGCCAAGAATTAGGCTCGGTCATGCAAAGGAAATTTTTTAATGCATGGTTCCTGTCTTCTGCTATATCATTATATTTTCGAAATAATAGGTGTATTTTTATTGTAATTATGTTAAAAAGTTGCGTGTTGCGTGCGTAATGAGGCGGATACTAAGTAAACAGTGACGAGTACTAAAGGAAAGACTAAACATTTAATATAGGAAGACCGACTCTCATGTGAAGTCGAAGTCCTTTGCTGAAAAAACTTGAACTCATCAAAGTTCACAGGAATGTCCGCTTTCCTAAGATATTTTAGATGCGAAAGACCGCCATGTCGTCGAGTTTGAACTGCACCTAACTGTGACTATTTCCGGGATTACAAAGCTCGAAATTTGCTGCCTTGAATCTCTTTGATCAAGTTACAATTCCATCGCGTGACAACTTGAAAATATGTGCATTATTTGTAGAAACTTTGTAAACAAATGCATAAAACTATTCCGGGGTCTCTGGGTTAAAAACAGAAACGATAATTAACATATCCATTGTCGAATTGTTGCTGACGCGGAAAATCAAATATTCTTACTTTTGACAGTCTTTTTGAGGATCTAATTTACGAACCAGACATATAATATCATCAGATATGTCTTCATTCCGAAGTCCAGACAACGTTGCGACTAAGGATGTGTTCTAATCATTGCTGACATTCCGTTACCGCAAAAACGCACAATATCAGCAGACATAATTCGATACTGAGTTAAAATTAAGGAAACAGCTTGCCATGACCTTATGTATATATTGTTCGTTATTTCGCCGATTGTCTCACTGGAGTCTGTGACCGGAGGGATTTCCAAAATGAAGCTCATTTAGAGTTGTATTCTCATTTGATTAACGTGCTTTTATGGTGAGACAGAGAGAAACAACGAAGAGGGCCCTCGATTTCCTTCCCTCCCCAGCTTCTTCATTTTAGTCTTCCCTCCCCCTACCCCTCCCCCCTCCTCGCCTCCACCGGATAGTTGATTAGGATGCTATGTTTCAGAGGCTGGAGGGGAAGACTATCGGCGATGTAGATAAATGCAGAATTCTATACTATAGTTTGATAAATAAAAATCACCGACCTATCTTTTCTTGATGTATTTATCGCGTGCAAGTCATCAGGCTCGTGTACCCTGCGGGTAGGAAAAGGAAACTTCGAGAAGGTTGGTTCCCACCCTCCACAAAGCTTCCTGTGAGCCACACCCTCCTCCGTCTGAGGAATCCAAAAGCACATTCTGCGTTTTACACTAGCTGCACATTATGGCTGTCTAAAAGCGAGATAAACGGTGCGTCCCTCCTTGTCATTCTTGCCTATTCCATACTTAGATCTACAAATGAAAAAAAAAAAAAAAATGGTTTCGGTGCTGTTGCTTCCGGGGGAGAAATAAAATTAGGCAAGAGTTCACTAGACGAATTGATGACCTCCCGCCGAGAGCGCGAGATCTCGCTAGAGTTTCTCTCCGAAGTTGAAACTTCACGAACCTGCGTGTTCTCCACGCAATTTCAGAGCAGTATATCACCTTGATTTAGGACGTAACCAACAAAAAACGTTTACTTCTAGCACTTAGGCAGGCGCACACTACCCCACGAGCTATTAAGCTTTAATCCCCATTGTGTGTTGATTAAGACTTTACTTATTTACTTAGTATTGCGTGCCTTGGCTTAGGGTTAAGTTGGAGGAAATGTTTTTTTTTTTTTTTTTTTGCTCTTATAACAGTGTATTTCAAGAATTTTCGTTGGGAGAAAACATTTCCGTTGCTTGTTTAATATTTCTAATTGCGTTCTACTTCGACTCTATTGCCGTTTCTCAGAAATAATTATCTGTATCTGACTAATACAATTCATACAAGTCTGCAACACAGTTAGAAAAAATAATTATGCAAATTGGCTGGCTGTACATTCAATATGCAGCCAGCAATTTGCATAAGTAATTCGAGCCAAGGTTTGACTCCTCTCGATGGCGTGAGGTGTTCGCTGAACATTCCAGGACATCCGATAATCGCCACAAAAAAGTTTAAAAAGCTCTCCTCATCCTTCAGTTTTTTCTAGAACATGGTTTCTTCTGTAGGAGCTGTGGGCGGGGCGTATAGATACGAACTGTTCTCGGGCGTCGTTGAACTTCACATAATTAGAAATTGCTGGAAAACTACATGCAGCTTTGAGCAGAGTCGTAAACTCCAATGTTGATCGCGGCGACAAACTGCAGTATGATCGGGCAGTAATGGCAACTAGTTTTGCGCTGTGTAATGTTACAAAGATAATCATTGCATGAGTAAAGTGACCAAAAGCGCCTAGGTAAACAGGATCAATTTTTTTTGTGTCGGCCACAAATATTAAAAAAAAAAAATACCAAGGTTCAAGTTGAAAAAAAAAAAAGCAAGGTTCAAGTTAAAAAAAGGCTCAAATTAAAAATAGCAACCACGAGGTGAGACTACTTTGGAAGGGAACGGCTCGAGATGGGCAAAATTTTAGAGATGGCCCCCAAGGTACTGTTGGCCTTCTAATCCTCATTCCCGTCAATTCTCAACGCTTTCACCCCAGATTTACAACAGCTGAATTAACGACTCCTTTTATATACATATACAGTCAACACTTTAATTGTTATATTGTGAACATTTTGTATATTATTTCCTTGCGTTTTCAGTTTAAACTGTTATTTTCATAATCTTGATCACCAGAACGAACGCAAATTTGCTAAAAAGTGTCTAAAAAGTAGGGGTTTAACAGAATTTTCTGACGCATGATGGTAACGTATTAGCAGAGACCAAGAGATCATGATCTCTGGCTGGGACTTCTAAGTGTGAAAAATTTATCTAAGTTAAATGCATTTGAGAAAGAACTATATATGACCGAAGTACAGAGGTGAAAATAAAGTCGAGCTACTGACAGAATTTCGCTAGCGATACTAGAAATACAGGAAAAATGCCTTTTTATTCGATACTTGCGATTCATTGTGCTATTGAGTTAGTATATTAGCATGATCTGAGGTAGATATGCTTCTTTTAAAACTTACACTTATAATCACAATATGACTGAGTTTAAAAAATATCTTG